GTCATCGCTCGTCAGCAGCTCGGGTCGCCTCTCGGTCCGCACATATCCAATCAAGCGAACAAGAATACCTGCAGCACAAAAGTCGATCATCTCATTCAAATCAATTCACACATCCCGCCAACGGGAAGAGCCAGCCGCCAGTGATTCGCCTCGTGTTGTGTTGCCATAGCCAACGCGCCGGTGCCGAATATATCCTCGCCTCGCAATCCACGACTTGTCCAGCTCCCGCCCCGACATCGATTTTCTGTCCAATATTATTGGCAACACTGATTGATACTCTGGCCGTTCTTCGGCTCACTCGTCTTTCCCGGCTATTTCCTCTACACCAGTCCACACCAACCCACACCGGTGTTACCTCTACGGCTTCTGGAAATCCGTCACACCAGTCAAGGTGAGTTTGCCTGCCTTCGCTTTCCCCTGTCCTGTCCTGTCCCGTCTTTCTGTCGCTGAGCTGGGCTGGAACGGAACCAACGTGACGTTGGACCAAACAGTCGGGTCATGTCGTTTTCGTTTTGCTCATGTCTACCGTCTTCCCTATATCTATATTTATCAATGCTCTGCCCGTCGAGAATCACAATCATTTGCTAACTCTCATCGTCCAGCAGAATCTCATTGACAGTCTAATCTCACTACCACTCAACCACACCACAACCACACTCCCCAACCACAATCCTTGACAATGGTTCACGACGATTCTTCCCTGCGCAATATGGGCCGCGGTGCCTACGACACGACTGGTGTGCCAAAGCCGCCTCCCAAGCCCAAGCGTTGTTAAGAAATAAAGACGGCCTTGCAGCCCGCATATGGCGCGGGTGTGTCTGCGAAACAGCGTCGCGTGTCGTGCAACACGACCTCGCCTTCAGATTGCGACCCCTGCCCTGCTCTGCCACGTTTCCTTCATTCTTTCGATTGTACCACTACCGATCTCTCATGGCTTTACTTTCCCCAGCGATACGACTACTTAATTTCGCCTCTGCTTTTTTTCTTTCCTTCTTCAATGTCGACACTACACCAAAAGGCTCACTGCCACACCCTTGCGTATCAGCATCAAGGGCTCTCCACGCGAAAAGTTGACTCGAGTCGCTTTTCCGTATTCTTGGGAAAATTTGCTTTTTTTACTTGAACACCACCGAAAGATGGGTGCGTGCGGCGTTTGATCATAGACGGATTTGGGACAAAAATTTCCTTGCTTTTTTCTTTTTCTCCCCCTTGCGATTTGCTTTTTTTTCTTTTCCTTTTATCTGCCAAAGGCTTCCGGACTACTCATCAACATTTTTGCCTTCATCTTTCGCAACACGGCAAGACGAGACAAATCGCCGACTCCTCAGCGGCCGAGGTCAGCCGATGGAATGCAGCCTCATCGACTCATCGCGACATGTCTTGGATTCCGCGCACACTTTCCCCACCTTTCTTGGGGTTGGCTGCTGCTGTGTTGGATATTATGAATCACCCACTGGAAATGGTCAATAATGGATGGTACTGGAAGCTGAGTGGCTGTCAATGGTTCTCTTTTCCGACTCTTTCCTTACATTGTCTTGGGACTAGATTGCAACAGTCTTGATGAAGTTTGGGGACACAAGTACGCCTTGCGGGTTCGTTGGACCATGGATTGAGATGCCGTCTCATACTTTGCTGGCAACAGCTTTTGAGTTGCGGACATTTCGTTCCCTGCTTCGCCAGCGACCGGCCGCCAGACAAATCTGTATCGGCGACGAAAGGCAGAGGACCAGAAGACGATGGTCTTGTAATATTGTGTTGTTTTTCTATTTGTACTTTTACCCCACCCCCTTTGGCACACAGAACATTTAGACGGGAAGCAGAGTCTGAGAGCTCTTGGTTTGCGCGAATACTTTATTGCTCTTTATTTACCCCCCGAGTATAAGATAGACTAGATAGATTCTCAAGTATCAACACATGATATTGTACCTCTGCTACTTTTGGTTCCTCGTAAAATAAGTTGCATCATCGAGACACTCGATTGAATCCTACACACATGAATCGGAACGTGCCATGAACCTCATGCGGGGGATCACAGAATGGGAAACCTCGCGTGCCAAGGTCTGGCCACGGTGGTGTGGCGTCTCAGGCCTGCAGAATCGTGATTACATATTCATCAGAGTCAATCATGACCGCCGCGGTAGAGGTAGAGACATGGCAGACACCTTGCTCTTTCGCGATGATAACTGCGATGCGTCTAGCAGTTATGCGCGTTGTGGTCCATTCGTTGGGGATAGCCTGCGGACAAGCTTAACTCAGCGGCCGACCCGGATTCTGGGGACGGCGATGTGATTGTGCTAGACTCGATCAAGTTTACAAAGTTCAGCCATTGTGGGAGAAGGCTGACAGGACAACACCCGGGGGGGGCCAAGCAAGGTACCGACACGCCGGCACGGGTGTCTTGTACGACTTTTTTTTCTCTTCTCTTTTCCTCTTTTCTTTCCCTTTTTTTTTTTTTTTTTTTTTTTCCTTTTTGCTCCAATCAAAAGTGCGACACATCAGGACAGACATGGCTTGTTTGCCCACTCGACGACAGGAAACGACAGAAAGCAAATATACCGAGGAAAGAGAGCCGAGCAAGACACCACAAACCTTGTGGAAGAGGAAGGACCAAATTCAAAAAAAAAAAAAAAATGACGGCATAAGTCACAAGAAGAAAGACAAAAAGGACGAGGATGGTGAGCAAACCAAGTGAGACGCGTCTCTCGTCTCTCAAATCAGTTGTCTTCATCGTGATTGGGCCATACGTGTTTTCTCGGGCGGCGCAAACGAAGAAAGCCACGCAAGGGAGGGTGGTGGCGGGATGGCGCGGGGAAGAAGGAGGGGGCGTGTAACCAAGGGAGGAAGGAGAGACGAGACGAGAGAACAAGTGAAGAATTCACTTACAAATAATAAAGAGTGAACTTTGCAGATGTCTCTGCTTCTCTCCACTTCATTGTCGTTGCCCTCGTTGGTCGTATCACGAAACAATAACAGATGGTAGGCCGTCTTTCTGTGATTCATGGGTTGGAAGATGGTGGGATGCTTTGCATATCGATCAATTAATCAAGAGAGGCCTTTCACATCATCTGCTCGGCCGCTTAAACGATCAATGGCTGAATAGGCTTACACGCGGGTTGCAAGCCCCGACAAGATACGGCCTGCATGCTTTTCCTTTTGCTGCTTTTTTTTCTTCTTCGTCGGAATCACCATCAAGCTAAAAGCTCGGCCCCTGGATTGGGACGGGAAGAGTGTACTGTAGTCCAGCAGCCAACTCGCGATGGCGCTGTAGATCGCATTCCCCTGCATTGCAGCTGAAACAAACCACCACCAGAAAAAAAGAAGTGTGGCACAACTAACTGCAAGCCAGCGCCGCGGGCAAACACTTTGCGCCACTCTCAACATTTATCAAAACTTTTTAATAGGAATTGTGGCCAAAAGGGAATGAATTTTTGTGTGATTTTTCTTTAGACGGGTCGCTTTTGTGATTGCTTCCTGTGGGCGATGGATGGATAGATGGATGGCAAAGCAAGCCTACCTGACCTCTCTGTTGACGAAAATCTGAGTACGGCGATGGGCTCCCAAATTCGGTCCGGTGCAGAACAATGCCAGGCAAGACAATCTCGAGGTCTCGATGGCTTGGCCTGCACGTCAAAGAAAAGAGAATATCGGCCAACTGCCCCAAGTATACCCGAATCCCTTTGTACGCCCTCCAATGATAACCTCGTGAGGCACTTTAGCTGCCGACTTTATTCAGGCATCAACCATCACTTCTTTGTTACTCCACGCCCCATCCGTCCATCCATCCATGGTGAGCTGGCAATCCACTGCTCTATAAAAAGCAACTACCCCAACGCCACCCAACGCCACCCAACGCAAACGACGGCGGTGCCTACCTTTGATCCGAGCTCACGGGCCATGAAACGAAACGAATAGCAAAAAGGAAAAAAAAGAAAGGAGTCATGGCAAAAAGCATGACTGATCAATTTGTAGCTGAAGCTGAGAATGAAGAACCAGGTCAAAAAAAAAAAGTAAAGGCAAAAAAGCCACCCGTTATTATTCGTACATCAACCCCGGCCGAGGCTCCGACAAACCCCCGGGATGGCCACGGACGGGACGGACGGGCCGCACCGATGGTGGTGAGTGCTTTTAACAGTGTAGTGTGTTTATTCACGTCCAATTCAACAGGGCTATTGCTCGGGAGTACTCGTCTCAGCAGGTTCAGCTCGTATAAGTCAAGCATAGGACGGTCATGACCGCCGAAGGACGCAGGTGGTATCTGGCGAAGTAATGGAAAGGGAAGTATATGTGGCTTGCGATGCAATTTCGTCTATTTTTTCATATGACTTTTTTTGGGTATCTCAAATCCACCGAGTCAATGCGTCAATCATCCTTGGAGAGATTTGCTTTTCTGTTCCTGGAAGTAGGCCTTCCTGAGCCAAGTACGCGGTGCTGCGCCAGGGGTCGCCAGCAAAAAGCAAAAACAAAAAAAAGGAACAAAAAGAGACTTGAGTAAAGCCAAAAAAAAAATTGGCAAAAAGAAATTGTTCATATATGATTAGCAAAGCAAATTGGCCGAGTTATAGGCATGGGCTGAAAGAAAGAAGCAATTCTTGGGCGTTGTATGCATTGCTTTTCTTCAGGCCCGGACGGCCAAGGCATCGAGATGCGGGCGGATCGGGTCGAAGCTGGTCAAAGGAAAATTATGTGCATTGATGTAGTACATAGACTATTGTAGTGGGAAAATATACATAGTTAGGAGAATGGAACGGGCCCCCAGAGTCCGTTGGATTCTGCGTAGCCGGGCCAAACGTAATATTTCTCACAATTCTATTCATCGCTGGGAGAGGAGCTCTATACAAAAGTTGCGAGAGTGAGCAGCGGCGCTTGAAGTAATTTTGTTACAGAGTCAATGGCCGTTCAAGATCCATTTGCAAACCAACCGAGAGCTGCGGCACCTGCTCATAGTTGGATTGTCGTAGGCACAGTCGCGTCTCGTATAGAGCCTGTACGTCAGTAAGCTGTTAGCCTTTCGGATCCTGGACGGCACGGGTCGGGTTCAAACTTGCCTGCAAGAAGCTCGGGTTCTGGAACCGCCTCATGACCTGCAAGAACGCCCACGACATGGCCCCCTCGCTGACGCCGCCAATGTTGGCGTCCGCGCTCGTCTGGTCGTCGCGGCATCCCGAGAACATGGTCACCATCTTGTGCTCCTGCTGGTACATCCTGCTGTCCTCGTCCTCGCCCAGCCCCGCCTCCTGCCGCTCCTCGCCCATGTGCCGGAAGGACCGGAAGAAGGACGTCGCGCCCGCGTACAGGTCCTGCGCCTCGGCCAGCTTGTCGAAGCTGAAGCCGCCGCGCAGCAGGTCCGACGCCTCGCCCATCAGCCGCACGCCCTGCCGGATGTTGTCGAGCAGGCTGACGTTGCCCTCGTCGTCGGTGCGGTACACGTACGGCAGCTCGAGCGCGGAGCCCGAGTGGCAGCAGTCGAGGATGGCGAAGAGCGTGCTGTTGGGGGGCATGCGCGAGACCAGGTGCTGGTGCAGCGTGTCCGAGTCGAGCTGCCCGCGCTCCTCAAAGTCCACGGGGCAGATGGTGTCGAGGATGCCCGAGGGGCGCTGACCGGTCGGGTCTTGGACCTGTCCGCCGTGGCCCGAGTAGTGGAAGAAGTTGCAGGTGCCGGGCTCGCTGACGAGCCAGTCGATGGCAGCCTGTCGGGGGGTCAGCTGGGCCGGATCAAGCATTCAAGTGTGTAGATGTAAGGGGGGAGGGGGGGGGGGGTAGTAGTTGCCGCCCAGGTCGTCTCGCAGGATGACTTGGGACCGGGGATCGGACGAGTAGCCGCGGTAGCTGAGGAACTCGGCCATGTTTTCGACATCCTTGTGACAGCCATTGAGCTGGTGGTCGCTGCCGAGGTAATTGATGCCAATGAGCAAGGACTTTTTGCGCATTTCCATGATGGGCGGTTGTCGGGGCTGTGATGTCTGCGGTTGTTTGTTTGATGAGAATGCCTGGTTAGCCGCGTGGCTTGGGCTAAGTGAGGGGTGTACATACATACATGCATGCGCCCCAAGACTCGGATGAGGTAATTTTATCCCACTTGCAGCATGCTGCTTCTGTGTAAAAGTCTCGAGGTCGAATCAATTCTGTGAAATCGTAGTGTCTCCAAAGTCAATAATATCACTAGTTTGATTCGTGGAAATTTGCTCATCTAAAAGTTGAGGTATTGAAGAGTTGGCCGCCTGGAGTTACACATACGATTACAGCGAAATGATGCTTTGTATTCCCTGTTACAAGGCAGAAATGCCAAGATATCTTACACCAGGAAAGAAATAAAATCAGGGTCAATCAATCTTTTGCGCGGATCTCCTCTCCGGCCATGCTCGGCGAGATAGCCGCGTCGATCGCATAAATGTCTCAGGTCCCTTTATACAAGATTTATTCCCTGTTTGCTATATACGAAAACCATGATTAATAACTAGAGACGATGCAAGAACTAACATTTACATATAGTACATTGAATTCCACCCCGGTCTTGGCATATCGAGATGTAGATTCTTGGCGCTATCTCTGAACGTGGCTTGAAACATGGTGGCTGCCTCGCTTGTGGCGCACGGTCGAGGAACTGCGCGACAATCGAATTGCAGACTCGGTCCTGTTGAAACGTGTCTTGAAAATCTGGGCCGAGGCTTTCCTTGTAAAGTGCAGCAGAAAAGTGCGAGCCTCTGCTTGCTGAGTGCAATGTCTGTAGGAAGCAATAACTGGGGGCCTCGAATTGCAGTAACGCCTTGGCAAGTGTGTGAACAGTACGGAGTAGTAGGCTGGCTGACAAAGCAGCAGGGAATCAAGATAGCTCGCGGTATTCCTTCAAGTTTATTTTTCCTGCCTGCTTCCATGACCCAAAAAAGAGTAAAAATCTGACTTCAATGACCGCAACATCGTGCCAGCCTGCAAGGTACTCTCGGTTGCGTCTACTTTAGGAACTCAACCGATGTGGCGCAAGCCTCGGCCGGCATTTCAATGAAGCGCTGAGAAGACTCTACCAGTATTGATGGCAGAGGCACAGTATCTCTGAAAGTCCAGACAATCTAGTTGGCTGAATCCTCGGGCTTGAGCCGGGTATATCCGTATAGGGCGAAGCGTGGGCATGTAGTGTCATAGCCACTACGACCCTCCCGTCAGCTCTAGTGAGCTAGCTTCAATGTAAAATTACTCTTTACCCAGTTCCTGATAATTTCTCTAGTTCGTTGTCCCTGCAGAATCGCATTCTGGAATTGCCGAGCCCACGCTGGACCCGGGCCAGCCTGTTGAGCTCATGAGAACCGTGGCCCGTCCTGGATCTAAGCAGAATCGAGGAGGCGCCGAGATGCCGGCCGTCGCCACCACTTCCTTCCGGTGGACAGCAATACCGGGATAGGCTTGGAGAAGTTTGGATGCTAAGCGGTTAGGCAAACTGGGGTCCCTTGAGCTATTGGATATGGCCCACGATAGTAGTTGGACAAAGACTCACGAGCACAAGTGGCAACGAGAAGGCCGGTTCCTCGGCCCTATCGAACGAGTAAACAGTCAAGTGTACCCGCAACTAAAGCCGACACTGCTCAACAAGCTTGTCAAGTATATAATATCGTGGCCTCCTCCCTCGCGCTCTCGCCCCATCCTGCTTTTGTAGACTTGTTGTGCCTCCCCTAAGCATACGTCAACCGCCCGATCAATCAAGATGACTCGCCTTGCTACAACCTTTGTTGCTGCCCTTGCCGGCGCCAACTTGGCCGCTGCCAAGTGCACTTACAAGTGGCGCGCCCACGACGGCGACACCTGTGCCTCTCTGAGCTCGGACTGGGGCCTCGCCGAGAGCGACTTCATCAAATGGAACCCGTCTGTGGGCGCCAACTGCTCCAACGGCGTCAAGTCCGGTGATGAGTACTGCGTCGAAGATGACGGCACCGGCAGCAACCCGACCGGCTCTCCCACCAGCACTCCCACCACCATCATCACCACCACGTCGAGCACCCCTACCCAGCCTACCGGCGGGGCCCCCTCGCCTACTCAGGATGGTGTTGCCAAGGACTGTAAGTCTTGGACATTGCCTAGTCAACATGGAAAACAGAAACTGACTACATATCAGGCAAGGCTTGGTACAAGGTCCAGAAGGGTGATACTTGCGACATCATCATCAACAAGTACGGTGCCTTCTCCACCGACGACTTGTAAGTTCAACGCCAAACAAACGCTGCAAATGAACCGGGTTCTAACCCTTTGGGTATAGCCTCAAGTGGAACCCCGCCGCTGGAAAGGATTGCACTGGCCTCTGGGTTGACTACTACGTCTGTGTTGGCGTTCCCGGCACTCCCACGTCGCCCACCGGCTCTGACCCCAGCAAGCCGAGCCCGACCCAGGCTGGTGTCGCCAAGGATTGTGAGTAGACCTGGACACTGAGATGCGCCGACTTGGCAAGATATCTAACAAACCGACTCGCAGGCCAGAAATGGTACAAGGTCAAGAGTGGCGACACCTGCGACAAGATCAAGAGCCAGTTCAACACCTTCTCTGTCGATGACTTGTAAGTCAGAGTTTGCTCAGCCCCCGAGCTTCACATTTCACCTCATATACTAATACACTTCTCCACGCGCAGCCTGAAATGGAACCCCGCCGCCGGCAAGGACTGCTCCGGGCTCTGGGTCGACTACTACGTCTGCGTCGGCGTCCCCGGCACGCCGACCTCGCCGACCGGCTCCGACCCCAGCAAGCCGTCGCCCACCCAGGACGGCCTCACCTCCAAGTGCACCAAGTACTACAAGGCGCAAAAGGGCGACACCTGCCAGAAGATCGTCGACAGCATGCGCACCTTCTCCGTCGCCGACTTCACCAGCTGGAACCCGGCCGTCGGCAAGGACTGCGCTGGCCTCTGGGTCGACTACTTCTACTGCGTCGCCGTGCCCGGCACGCCGACCAACCCGCCCCCCGCGAAGCCGAGCCCCGTTCAGGACGGCATCACCAAGGACTGCAAGAAGTACTACAAGGTCCAGAGCGGCGACTTCTGCGACAAGATCATCAGCAAGTACAACAAGACGTTCAACCTGCAGCAGCTGGTTAGCTGGAACCCGGCGATCGGCAAGGACTGCAGCCATCTCTTTGTCGACTTTTACATCTGCGTCGGTGTTTAAGGGATAGTTGGGCATGGGGAAATATCTGATGTATCTTGTACGACTCATGATGTTCTGTATATAGACACGATATAATGCATTGCAAAACGAACCAACTTGGTCAGTAGATCTGATTTGCCGTTGGTGTAAAAGGACAACGAAGAAAACTAGAATACTTGCGGGATACACCTCTCTCAAAGTAGTATATGTACATGGCGGGAGCTTGCTTGATTAGGATGTATCTACAACTAAAATTATATATGCGGCTCTGGCTATTTATACACGGATCTGGGCATCCGCTCTATCTGGACGCTGACCGAAGATTGTGCTGCCGACGCGGACCTCGCCGCTGCCCTCTGTGATGGCGCCCTCAAAGTCCTCGCTCATGCCCATGCTCAGCTCCAGGCTCTCCGGCTCAACACCGAGCGCCTTAGCCACCAGGTCGCGCTGCTCCTTGAGGGCCACAAAATCCTCGTTCCTGTTCTCCGGGGTGGTGGCCTTGCTGCGGGCGATGGCGCCGATGGTCATCAGCCCGAGGAGGCGCAGCCTCGGGCAGCCCTCGACGATCTCGCGGCAGAGGGCGACGGTTTCGTCGCCCGGCGCGCAGCCCGACTTGGCCTCCTCGCCCGAGGTGTTGACCTGGACGTGGACGCCGAGCGGCGGGTGGTCGGCGGCGGCGCGGGCGGCGTTGAGGAGCCTGGCCTTCTTGGCGGTGTCGACGCTGGAGACGCAGAAGAGGTTGGGGATGCGGGCGAGGGCCTTGCAGTGGCCGGACTGCAGGCCGCCTATGAAGTGCCAGTGGATGGTGCGCGGGAGGAGCTCGGCCTTTTGGGCGAGCTCCTGGGCGTAGTTCTCGCCAAAGTGCGCGTGGTGCGCGGGGGCCTGGTGCAACGCGAGGATGTCGTTGGCGGGCTTGAGCTTGGAGACGGCGACGAGGCGGACCTGGGGAGGGAAGGGGTGAGTTAGTGATGCTCTTATTCGGAATGAAGATACCTGGGCCAGAATGGCTTCGTGCAGGAGTCCATTTGCTGGTTGTTGCAGCACCATGGGGCTGTTCGGGGACGTCACGTACGTTACGCCCAGCGTTGAGGGCGGCAATGCGTTGCTGGACGGAGGAGAGTTGTGAGACGAGCGTCGCCGCTCTGGCGGGATCTATGCGCATTTCTTCGGTATTTTCAGTCATTTCTCATTTATCATGACAGGGGCGATGGCCAAAATGTCCGTGGTCAAGTTTTGTACAGGAACGAGCGACAAGAAAAAGAGAGAAATGTCAAGGGCGTAGGTATGACAAGCCAAAATGTCAAAATGGCAGCGTGGGTCGTTGGCTCATCCATTTTTGGTGGCTCTCGCCGCTGTCAACTCAGGCGGTGGTTCGGCTGCTGCTGGAGAGGGTCGGCTCATCATCGGACACCTCAACAAACATCACTTGTGGCGATATCAGGAGCAACCAGCAGCCGGCGAATCTACTGCTGGATAACCTCTCTAAATTTCAACTATATTTTAAGCCCAATTCTGTCGAAAAATCTGCGTCCAGTCACGATCCAGTCATCCCCAGAGAAATTGCCCGTGGAGGGGCAGGTTCGACGACAATGGCCTCTGACCCCAAGTTGCGCCGCCGGGCCAGCAGCGCGGCCACACGCAACGGCCGCCACGCCGGTGGTACGTCCCGGCAGGTAATCAAGCCCAAATCAGCACACACAGCCGACGAATTTGCGCAAGACTTCCTAGGGCCATCCTTCGACGCCGCCGCCTTCCTCAACACCAAGCTGCCGCCGCTAGCCGCACCATCTAGGCCGAGCGCCGTCTCTGCCTCGTCGTCAACGACGGCGGTGCCGCTGGCGGACCTCGCGCAGCAAGCCGGCGCGCTGGTCTCGCAGCTCAACGCGCAGACGACGCGCCTGTCTTCGGCGCTAACGCAGCTCACCGACGACATCCTGCGCAGCGGGAGCCGGCTTGCGTACGAGGTCGAGCTGCTGCGCGGCGAGACGCTTGGCCTGAGCGAGACTATGCGCGAGACGCTACGGGATGATATTGCCAAGTTCTTACCCGAGGGTGCGCAGCGGGGCGAGGAGGGAGGAGGCGAGTCGCGAATGGCAGTAGGAGAGGGGGATGATGAGGATACGGTGAAGGTCGCAGAAGAGGCCACTGAGTTACCTCTACCGGCGGCGAAGGAGGCATACAACGCCGGCGACGAGCCGATCTACGTACAGCAGCTACGGACTCTGACGCTCGTACGGTCGCGCATAGAGACGGTGGTCAAGACATTTGGCGACGCCATGGATTTCGGCTTCCCCCCGTCCGAGGTCTCCGTCAGCTCCTCCTTCCTCTCCGTGTCCGCGCCAGAGCCGGGCTCCCAGCAGCAAAGCTCGGAGGAACGCGGCCAGCAGAACCTCAAGAAGCTTCGTGACGAGATAGGCAACCTATTGCGCCCGCCGCCGACCAAGGACGGCGTTGCCGACCCTGTCGCCGGTATCGAGCAGGCCGCCAACCGCATCGAGGAGCTCAAGGAGCTCAACGGCGTTTGGAAGGGTACCGCGGAAGAGAAGGGCCGCGCGAAGTTTATTGAGAGTCTAGCCAAGATGGTTGAAGATAGACACAAAGAGCTGATGCGCGAGCTGGACCAGCAGCAGCAGCAGCAGCGCGGGGCGGCGGCCTCGCCGGCGAAGAAGGCGGCGGCAGCGGAGGGCGCAACGAGACGGACGGGATCTCCGGCTCTCGGGGATGAGGCGAAGCCAACGCAACCGCCGGGTGGATTCGGGCTGATTAGCCAGCTACAAAAATTACGGAGTGGACTGTAACGTAATGTTATGAGGATTAATGAAGCCGGGAACATACATTCATTGTGCTACAGACGGCCACGGTCCATATGGTAAATTCCGCCGTGAATATCCTCCTACCTGGCATAAGTTTGACACCAATTGACACCGTAGGTGCCAAAAAGATGCTAGTAGATTGCCAAAGCATTGTTCGACACTTTCTTGGCTATGCATGTATGTACCTTAGGTGCTCTGGCGTACGCTGGGCAAGGCGGCATAGTGCTAGGTTACAGTGTCCAACAGTTTTGGCACTGTCTGGATCTAACCTTGTTCCTCCGCTGGCCAATCAAATAATTGGTGGACACACCAAGCGCCCCATGTGGGCGGTGAGATGCCCAATACGGCACAACTCCAGCCATGAGCATCTGTCTGGGGGCAGAACGGCTGTTGCACAACATCCATGTTCGCTCGACTTACTCCTCACCTCACTCTTGACCAAAGATATCTGCGTCGCCGGTCGAGCTCTGCGCAGTGCATGTTTTTCTGCATTTGATTTTTCTCCTCCCTTTTCCCTTCTCCCTCCGCCATTGCGGCAAGCGGGCTGCAAGGCCTCTCCCTCCGCTATAGCTTGGTACAATCACAACCGCTGACAACGAACGCTGCCGACAAGCTTTGTTACCTCACGCCTTAGCCTTGCCGACTCCAAACCTTGCTGCGCTACATTCCAACTCTTCTTACGCTACAGAAATATTCAATAGAAACCGAAGTCTCGTCTTACCCAAGACTTGGCATAACCCACGTCACGACCACTGGCAACACCACCGAGAAGTTTTGTGACCTGACGCCTAGCCTCGCCGAGTCCAACCCTTCGCCACATACTTAAGAAGGCCAACGGCTCCTCTCATCCAGGATTCGACATAGCATACACCCCCTCCTTTTATCCAAGACTCGACATAACTCACATCACCTACAATGGCAACGAGCGACCCTGCCGTGACCTCTGCCCTCGGTGGCAGTGCCGACCGACGCTCCCCTCCCGCTGCGTCCCAATCGAAGCGTGACCGTAAGAGACAGGCCCTTATGGACCGCCTCAGCGTCATGAGCGACAGGTTCCAGCGCGACCAGGATCCGACGTACCGCGACCAACTACAAAAAGTACAATTCGAGCTCAGCCTCATGCAGCGTTTTGACCCGTATGGGGAAAACCCGCTTGACACAGCCGAGGACCTGCGCAAGGAGCACAAACGAGTTCTCGGCCCCATGCCCAACTCGGACAATGCACGAAGCATGATTGATATGGCTGGCATACGTTTTCCCGAATATATGGACGAGATTGAGGATCTCATAGAGCTTCGCGACTTCAAACTGACCCAGTCCAAGGTATGCTTCCGTGCACGGTGATAGGCGCATCAGACACACCAACAAGGCTAACTGTATTGTTCAGGATGAGTACGACCGCAAAGTTCAAGAGTACAAAAATACCCATGCCTACAAGGTCGAAACTGCGAAGCGCGAGTACCGGGCACTGACAAAAACACTTCGCGATCGGATCGTCAACACTCTCACGCAGAAGAAGAACAGGCTCAACCGCGAAAAGGAGGTGCTTGAGATAAATGACTCTAATGCCCTACTCCTCAACCCCAGCCAGTTCAGCCTAACGAACCCCGGCTCCCCCGGCGGCGCTCACGGCAAGCGAGCAACCCGCCTGCGCAAGGACGCGGACGACCTCACGCTGTTCTCTGACGCAAAGAAGCGCAAGCGGAACCACGACGAGGACGCTGCAACGCCCGCCCGTCGTGGCGTGGACCCCAGCAGCACCACGCCGCTGTGGCACTCGGAAAAGGCGCGCGCCTTGGCGAAGCAAAACGGCCCAGCGTACAGTATCGACAAGCTCTTCACGGACAAGGAGCTTTCCATGCAGTACAACACGGCGGCCCTCGCCGCCCACCAGTACGTTTTGCGCAACCGCGCCAACGGCAACGCCTCGCTGCCCGATATGGACGACAGCGACTCCGACCACGCCAATGGTGACGACGACGACGACTCTACGCCGTCGGCCGCGCCCGCCATGGAGCGCAACGTCTCCCACGCGACTAGAAGCACGCGTGGCGCGGGCGCCGCCGCCACGGCCGCTGCTGCCGCTGCCTCTGCCGCCCAAAACTTCCTCGACGATAAGATCCTCGGCATCGAAGGCGTCGCCAACTTTGAGCTACCGGGCAACCTGGAGCTGATCCACGCGCAGGAGCCGCCCAAGATGCCCCCGCCGGTGCCGCAACAGTATCTAAAGCCGTACCCGCGCTCGGCGGACCAGAACTTTCCCGTGCCGCTCTCGCAGGACGACGTCGCCTCGGACTTGACCGTCCTCGGCTTCTTCAAGCAGTACGACCAGGCGCAGCGCCGCTCCGGCGCGCACCTCGACACGCCCACCGGCATGCGGAGGGTCCTCGAGGCCGTCGCCGTGCCTTACCACCGCGGCAAGTACGTGGCCTTCACCGCCGCGCCGCGCGATGACCCCGAGGCTGTTAGCGAGACTCTCGGGCTCGTCAGCAGCGTGCGCGACCAGCCCAGTCCCCCAGCGGCGCCGTCGGGCGCGGCCGCGTTCTCATCGGCCGCGGCTTCGGTCCCCATGAGCAGGCAGAGCAGCGGCGGCACCACTGCCATGAGCCGCCAGGCCACCGGGGGAAGCGGTCGAACAAAGGGTCGACGCGGTTAAGAAGACGACGGAAGCATGCGGACCCCCTCGGGTTCCTAGTTGATTGCTATGGGCCTTTTCTCTGAGACCTCTAGTTTGTTCTTCTTGAAGGGGGTCTCTTATTTTACACAATGACCACACTATGACAGGCGTTTATGATTTTGGGTTTCACCAGAGTAGACGGCAAAAGGCCTTAGATTAGCCGCTGCATCTCTGTGACTGCGCTTTGCATCCTTTTTTTTTTCTTCAATCTCTCTTATGTACTAGTTTCTATGGCGGTTCTGGTTATACTGGAACCTTTTTTATACTTGGTTATATTCGTTTTTCTTTCCCTTGTTGTCTGAGCGGAAGAGTAGGCAGGACGAGTTTGGAGTTCCTTGTATTGGAGAGAGCCACAGCGCAGAAGAATAGGCCAACAGGTTATGGGACGCCCAGGTACAAGACCAAGCAGGAGTTCTCAAGCATTGGTTTGTAATTGAAATTTTTTCAGAGATGTCATCATACCACACAAGGTGCACAACACAGCAAGGATGCTTTTTATAATTGTTCAGTTCAGTTGGTAATCTAGATTCAAATAACACAACACATGCCATGCACTTGTAAGCGCCACGCCAATCGCTCATCAACCCCGCTTCGCTTCCAATCGCCTCTCTACGGCCCGAAGACGAGTGCGCGCACCTCGATGCTCTCTCGGTCCTCGGCCTCCACGCGCGTCCTGGGATCCGCAAACGCCGAGTGCGGCGCCCTCCCGCCGACCACGCCGGACCCCTCCCGCAGCGCCTCACTATCGAAGCACTCGAGCAGCAGGCGCTCGTCCCCCGTCATGCCGCTCAGGTAGTACCACTCTTGCTTCGGGTTGTGCCGCACCGCGGCCGTCTCGCCCGTGTACCCCCCCGCGTACCTGTGCTCCACCGACACCACGTCCGCGTCCTCGAGCGAGCGCGTCGACGCAAACGCCAGCGGGTGGCGCTCCACGGGCCCGCGGTTCAGCGGCCGCCAGACGTTGACGAGGCGGTGCCGCCCGCGCAGCAGCGCCTCGGACTCTTCGGGGGAGAAGTAGCGGCGCACGCGCTGGGCGACCGACTTGGCGGTCTGGTCGATGTGGACGCGGGTGACGGGGGCGCGCGGGGCGCCGGGCGTGGAGCGGCGGATGGTGTGGTCGAAGATGTAGACCTTGGTGGCGCCGGGGACGTTCGCGAGGAGGAGTTGCTCCATCTCCGGGTAGTAGCGGGTGGTGATGGAGTCGTCGGAGGTAAAGGCGGTCTCGGCGGAGGGCGGCACGTTGCGGATCACCTGGAAGGCGTCGCGGTCGAGGGTGAAGTCGGCCTCGCGACCGCGGATGTCGTGGATGGTGGTGGCGAGCGTGACGTCGCTGTAGTTGCGCTCGGGGAGAGGCGGCGCGGGGTCGATGTTGTTGTACGGCACGGAGCCGTCGGCAGGTGGGTGGTAGTAGTTGAGGTCGGCGGAGACGTCGCCTCGGGGTACGGCTACAGCAGCAGTGGCCATTGTGCGTTTGTTTATTGCATGTGCTTGTGTAGGTGGAAGATGCGACTGGATAGTACAACTATTCGAGCACTGGGAGTGCGTTGGGTAGGGGTTGGTTACTGGTTGTATAAGTGGCGAAGCGGCAATGATAGCGTTGACGGAGTCGACTAGACAACTTTATGGCCCGAGTTAATTAAAGGCTGTTATGTCCGATCGGCTAGTCCAAGAGACGGAAGGCGGACTGGATATATAGGTATTCCCGATGATGCGGTGCGATCCCCCCTGCTCAGAGGGATGATGTGATTTCAAATCAATGGCTTTCAAATCAAGACTAGGCCCGTTGACGCCATCCTGAAGAAGTCGGGTGCGGGCCTGCGGGCTGCGTTGTGCATCTAAAGAGAGCTTAATGTGCCTGACCAGTAGGAAGCTGTAGCGCGGCCGTGAATTACTCATCCAGCTGATGCTTTCGTAATACATTTTGTCTTCCCCTCTGCTTTGATAAAATGACGCCAACAGTGGCGGCTGCGTTCGCTGCCCGCCGACGCAAAGGGCGCAACTTACAAGATCGAGGCCCCACTTTCGCCGGGCGTGGCCGAGGACCTCAGATTCAACCGCGGTGAAGCTACAATCTCAATCTTGCAGGCTGAGATGTGGCGTAATAATGAGATGGCTGTTTATTAATTCTTAGCTTTGAAATCATGCGCAGAGTGAAGCCATGATGGAGAGGACAGTGAAGGCGACAGCCACAACAGAGAGGTGTTTTGAAACGAAGTTACACGGAACAAGTAGGACTGAATTCTCACCCTGTGGGAGGGCTTTCTCATTAAACCATTTTTTTTTTGCAAATATTTCCCCCAATATTTGGCAATACGCGAGATGAACTGTAAGACACGGGTCAATAACTATACTAGCAGACGAGCCTAAAATCTCAGCCTTGCAGAGGCTACCGACAGCTCGTTTTGGCTGCATGTGGGTGCGCTTGAGGCACTAGTAGACGGCGACGACCTGTCTCAAGGAGGGATGGCAAGGGTGCTGGATACAAGTCATCTTGAAAGAAGGCAACCTCTGCGGCGAGGGCCTCATCAAGGCGTATCGGTTTGCTGTCGAGCGCAGGCAGGAGCTAGGGGTTGGTCGGTTCGGTTCGTATTTCGAGGTCAGAGGTTTGTGTGCCTGTACATGGAGAGGACACTCGATGGGGCCATTCAACGTGCAGTGATATAGCAGATAGATCCAGGTATCTGTTTTCGGTACGAGGTTGACTGCATGGAATGCAGCCGCTATAGCTGGTAGGAAGCGGCTGAGTTGCTGGTAGTATTACCATAAAAAGAGTGAGGATGGAGATGATGAGCATCTCTGGAGGCCCATACTCTGTGCCAAGAAGGCAGTTAGGCGAGGCTGTAGGACGTGCTTAGTCAGCGAACCAGCGGATTGGGGCAAAATTGGATATTTTATGCCATTCGGCATCTGATGATGTTGAGATTCGACCTGGCGGTGCAGTGCCGCCTTTGGGGAAATCGGTCGTGATGAATTTCTTGAACAGAACATAAAGGCTTTACAATAATTTTTGCAAAAACGGTCCTGGTACTTTCACATGCCACATCGTGACCCAGCCACACGTGGGAATACCGCAAATAACGACAACACAAACAAAGGCTAATTAGCACGAGAAACCCCGCAAATAGGTGACTTCGATGCGGCAAGTGATCCGAGAACCGAAGGTTGATTGATTGCCGTTTTGAGATGGATGATAAGCCTCAACTTGTATTGTTTTGTTGCTGAGCAGCATCGTCACCTCTTGTCGCCCCAATACTTGCTTACCCAGCGAGGCTTCTCGACTACCGAGGTCAAGGCCATGCCCAGCAAGCAATACGGGGATGTCCAAGTGCGGGCCATAACTCGACTCGTTTTATTATATTTATCAGCCGATAGACAAGGTTTTTGACAATGGAAGGTTGCCACATTGCCGATAAGAACCAGAAAAAAACAAAAAGCTGCCACCTATTCACCATCTGTCTCCAGCCCCCCCCCGTCTCAACTATCCCAATAGCCCAACCCAATTTTAACTTTGATGGCTCCACGACGAACTCCTCTTCCCGCCCATACTAATCCGTCGCCGTTGCAGCCTTAATTTCCACCATTCATCATCGCCATCGAGTTGTTGCCCAACTTTTGCGCAAACGCGGCTACCCGTTGCGGATCTTCCGTCTCCGTGCCGCATATTATTTTTGTTCCTTCTTTTCTTCGGCAGCGGCCCACCCGGCTACTCAACGCGACGCCCACCTACGACCCGGCTGATCGACTCTGAGGCTCCTCAGCTGCCGCCTCGGTTGAGCTGCCCTTGTCCATTCTCCCCGTCCCCTTCCCCTGGCGGCCAGACATTGGCGCCTTGATGGACAATTGATCGCAGCCTGGTCGCCATCGAGCGCAAGCCGCGCGACGCACGGGTGCCGCTCAACAAACGGCCAGCCATGGCTCAGCTCACTGGTATCCCCGTCAATGGTCACCACACTCCCGTCACTGCCCCTGGCCGCTCCGCGCTGCCAGCCCGGGTCGTCACAGCCGAGACAATTGAGGATGCCTACATCGCATTCATCTTTTACTGCAACCCCGCCTTGCCCGCCGACTGTGACACCGAGACCCTGCGTGAGGCCTTTCGCAACCCACCTCGCAGCGGCGGCAAAGTTTTTGATCCCTTCACCATTTACGATCTAGTGCGCAGATTCTACGCAAAGGAGATCAAGACATGGACCGAATTGACCACAAAACTGGGCGTCGAACCCCCTGATCCTTCCAAGGAGGAGAGTGTGCAGAAGATTGCACAGTATGGTGTCCGCCTCAAGGTACGGAGCACGACTACGGCTACTAACGACATATCAAACCTGGCGCTAACAACGTAACAGAAATGGCTACACTCTATGCATGTAAAATCCTTTTTCGAGTATTTGATGGACATGCCTAATGAATACTGGACAAATGTGCCCGTCGACCCCAACCCTGTCGCCCAACCGGTCCGTGACGGCATTGCGGTGGAGGATGACATGGCTCTGAGGGCACTGTTGCCTCATATTCGGCCCAAGAGGGGTCGCAAAAGACCCGAAAGTGACAATACTAGCAATGGCTCAAATCAGCGACAGCGCACGTCACCAGGAATCGCCGCCGACGAGTATGTGCCTCAGTCGGCTTGGCCTCACGGAGCTGATCCCCGATCTACGCCCATGGACAACGTGCCCATGAGCGCAGCGGGCGCATGGCCCCCTCATGAGACCATACAAACACCACTGACACGCTGGCCCGCCTCGGCCGTTACACCGTCTGTACGCGATGCGTTCTGGGGCGATGAGCCTCGTTCTGCCGTGACGCCGAGTAAGGCCAAAGGCCCCCATCAGCGCCGCGGAGCAAAGAATGTCTCATCAGCATGGAAGCTCGGTGGTGAGGACGCGCCCAAGAAGACTAGGGGACGGCCCCCAATCAACCGCACACCAATCGACACTCCTTCAACCGCCACGAGCGCCTGGCCACATACACCAAATCCATTACACCCCCAAGAAAGACACGGTACGGACGACTACATGGGGAACGAAATGTCACGAAACGGCTCCATGGCAAGCGAGCAAGCGCCATCGGCTACGATGCAAGAGCTTTCGCAGCCGCAGATGGCTTACAACCATCCTCAGCACGCACCTTGTTATCCTTCGCAGTCCGTTCCGCAGGGGCAACAAGTTGGCTCCCGAGCAGCTCGTCCGAGCATCTCCCTGCAAGTACCACAACGACCCAGTGGCTCGGTGCGTCTAGCAACGCCGCCGCCACCGCCACCACCGCCGCCGCAACAGCAAGCACCGATGCCGCAGACGATGCCGCAGACGATGCCGCAGACAATGCCGCAGACAATGCCGCCGACGATGCCTGTTCAGCAGCCGTCGTACGTAAACACGGAGCCACTCCCTACCTATGAAAACATGCATGCTCCGCCACCGGGACAGCCCTACACAGAGGACAAGGGCGGCGACGGCAAGTACCAAAAATGGGAACCTATCAACGCTGCGCAAGACGCAGGCACTGCGGTGACTGAAGGCTCCGGCAACGCCCTCCCCGAGTACTTTTTCGAGACAATGACGGATCGCACCAACATTGACGCTCTCATGGCCTACTTTATCCGCATGACGTATGAGTCAAAGTGGCTCGACGCCGAGGGGAAGCCGACGGAGCCCGCGTCCATGGACGAGGCGACCGCCATCATCAACGCGACGCTCGAAAACATGTACAAGACGGCGGCGTCGTCGCAGGCGTTCCTGATCAACCTGGCGGCGCTGGCTGGCGCGCGCATGCTCATGACGAACCTGACGCAGTGCACGCGCATGGGGGAGAAGGACGGCCACACGACGTACAAGTGCGAGTGGGAGTATCAGTTCGGCCACCTGCACGGCTACTTCAACATGGCCGCGTCGGTGCCGTTCAGCATGTGGCGGGCCAAGCCGGCGCCGTCGGCGGGCGCCGAGGGGGGCGAGGGCGGCCGCGGGGGCTACGCGAGCGGCGCGGGCAGCGGGAGGTACGCGGACGAGCCGCCGGATTCCAAGGACCCGCGGCTGCAGGCGGAGCACTGGCAGAACAAGTACAAGTCGCTGCTGGGCCAGGTGGACAAGATGGACCGGGAGCTGTTTGACCTGCGGAACAAGGTGATTGATTCGCTAAAGACGGAGAGGGGCGGCAGTGGCAGCGGCAGCGGCGGCGGCGACGCGGCAAGTTAGATATGTGGAGGGAATGCATGCCATGGGATATGGCGCTATTGTTTATTTTGTTCATTTTGTATATGCGGGTAATTTCACGGTGTTTGTGAAGCGTGGCATTTACGGGATGTACTATAGGTATTGCACTCCGGGTAGTATACCATCTTGATTAATTGCTTGAATATTGGTTACCCTTCACACACAAATACTACATAGAAATCCAACGGAGTTCCGCTTATCCTGAAGACTTTTGCCACCGGGCCTCTACTTGCCGAGCGCGATGTAAGCACTTGGGCGGTGACATGTAGGCTCTGGGCTTAATCTTACGGCTCAACATGGAATCAGACATCACTGCATGGTGAGCTCGAGAACTGTCATTTTGGTGAGAATTTGCATCATCCTCTAGGGGGTGTGAAGGACATGCGTGTAGGCGCATAATCGAGCTTGCACCTCCGGTCGGCGCTGACCTGTAAACTGCAATACTGCCGTCTGCCAAGTCTGCACGTTTTGGAGGGCGAGGCTGACAACGAATTGCACATTTGCAATTTGTGGTTAATGAGGGTTGCTGCTCGGCAAGAACGGGCTTTGGTAAGAAGGCATTGCTTCTATCTAGAGCTCACAGGACGAGGCAGAGACCGGCCACCGAGGTGTTTCGGGGCATCGATCTGCAATGTCTGAGCAGCCTTTCGGAATACATACCCGGGAAGTTGGATGCCTTAGGCAGGGCTGCATAGTGGTAGCAGATGGAACAGTGGGCAGCAAGGCAGCGGCTGTTTCGAGCTGAAAAGATGATATTGTTAGACGAGGTTGTGGCTATGATGTGATTTTCAGCAAGATTATTATCGCTGGTGATTATTGTGACTACACTAGGAAATGCGCCGGTAGGTACACAAGTACCGAGTTGGTGACCGACTGTATGTTGGTGTGGGAGAGACAGGTCTCGACCCAAGTCGTGGAGGGTTGACATTGCAGACCTTATGTATTTAGTCTTCATTCACTCAGGTAAGGGATTCTTGAGCAGAATGTGACTTTTCAGCAATTCTTAAACCTGACTTCGCGATCCCGAACCGTCGATCCTTGACGGCGACCCCGATGTTGGGTTCTTCCCCGCTAAACAAGAAGCGGTCCAGCGCCCGCCTTGCCTTCAGCTGGAAATTACCAGCATTTATTTAGAGGTACCTAGTATTTAGTACGATGGAAATTTAGCTTTGGCAGCCACGAGATGGGGCGAAACAACAATGGAGCATTGATGTACTAGTTAGTTAATGTATTTCGAGGGATTTCCGACTTTTTTTTTTTTTTTTCAGCCCGGGCGCTCCAAGAAGACGCCGCCGGGGTAAATGTTAGCGACCTGCGGGACTCACTGTCTGCTACCTGATAAGGCTTGCCTGCTTTTTCCCCGGTCAGCCGCCACATTTTCATGGATTATGGATTATGGATTCTAATTGTCTTCTTTAGTTGATTTCTCCTCCTCCATCTCTTTTTTATCGTCGCCTGTCCATATCGCTCGATTTCCATCGTCACGACTGCCCCCGCGCTGCTGCGACATCACCTCCCCTACCGACACTGGCACCCCAAATTAACCTTCTTTTTCTGCCTTTGATGCAACGTCGTCGGCAGGAAGGGTGTCTTGTCCCTAGTCTATTGTAATCGACAGGTTTCTGTTCCCCGAATGTCGACTGGTACCCACCTTCCACGCGACACTTCTCAAGGCGCAGGCCGCGACAGTGGAAGAGGCATCGCTGTGACGGCGCCTGTGGAGGCGCTGGATATCGAACAGGTTACAATGTACGTCTACCCATCAATTACCCAATGTCTAGATGGACGACGCTTCGCTCCTGAATGCGCTGGCGAATTGCCGTTGCGCCAGGCCCTACGCCGTTCGCCTTCCCCAGACTTTTTGCCGTTGCCCCGCACAGGCACAGGTACAACTGTACCAGTACAGGTTACTGATGATTTAAACTGTCTCACAGAAGCTCAACCTCCCACCGTCGGCATGCCTCGTCGTCGTCGCCGCCCGAGGCTGAGCCCGAGGCTGGCTTTTTGAAATCCGAACCATCGCCGATCAATTTCAATGCCAACATTGAAGCCAAGTATGTCAATACACGCCCCACCCTCCTTCCACCCAACGTGCCCTCCAAGAACCCTCCCGCTGACCTGCACGCGCCATCTAGAATCAAGAACCCCCTCGTCGGTATCCCCCGCCAGACTCTCCTTCGCGACGTCGACGAATTCTGCCGCGCCAAGGGCCTCAAGGAGCACCGCGCCCTCTTCCGCAAGGGCGCTCTCATCGCGCAAGACCCGACCGGCTACGAAGACATCACCGGCGACGAGGCGCCGACACCGGCCGAGGTGGACGCGCTGCGAAACGAGGTGCTGCACAAGTGGCGCGTGCCGCGCATGCTACTTCTCACCATCGCCACATGCTCCATCGGCGCGGCCGTCCAGGGTTGGGACCAGACGGGCTCCAACGGCGCCAACCTACAGCTGCCCCGTGCCCTCGGCATCGGTAGCGACTCAACCGCCGACCAGCTGCGTGTCGGCCTCGTCAACGCCGGGCCCTACATCGGCACAGCTCTGGTCGGCTGCTGGCTGTCGGACCCGGTGAACTACTTCCTCGGCCGCCGGGGGTGCATCTTCCTCGCCGCCAACTTCTGCCTCTGGCCCGTTCTCGCAAGCGCCTTTTGCCGCACCTGGCAGCAGCTCGTTGTCTGCCGCCTGCTGATGGGCGTCGGAATGGGCGCCAAAGCCTCCACCGTGCCCATCTACGCGGCCGAGATCGCGCCCGCGCCCATCCGCGGTGCGCTCCTCGTCAGCTGGCAGCTCTGGACTGCCTTTGGAATCTTCATCGGCACCTGCGCCAACCTCGTCGGCGACCGTGTCGGCCGCGACGCCTGGCGCTATCAGCTCGGTGCGGCGTTCATCCCTGCCGTGCCCCTCGCCGTTCTCATCTACATGTGCCCGGAGTCGCCCCGTTGGTATATGAAAAAGAACCGCTACCCGGATGCGTTCCGTTCAATGCTCCTCCTCCGCAAAGACCCCGTCCAGGCAGCCCGTGACCTCTACTACATTCACGCCCAGCTCCAGGCCGAGCACCTGTTCATCGGCAGCACCCACTATGTGAAGCGCTTCATCGAGCTCTTTACGATTCCCCGCGTGCGCCGCGCTACCCTGGCCGCGTCTACGACTATGCTGGCTCAGCAGATGTGCGGCATCAACATCATTGCCTTTTACTCGTCATCCGTCTTCGAGCACGCCGGCGCCTCCAGCTTCCAGGCCCTGCTCGCAACCTGGGGGTTTGGCCTCATCAACTTCTTGTTCGCGTTTCCCAGCATATGGACCATAGACACTTTTGGCCGGCGCTCACTGCTGCTCTTCACCTTTCCGCAGATGTCGTGGACGCTACTCACCGCAGGCCTGTGCACGCTCATCTCCGGTAACCGCGGTGCGCACCTGGGCGTCGTCGCCCTCTTTGTCTACCTCTTCGCCGCCTTTTACTCCCCGGGATGCGGCCCCGTGCCATACGCGTACTCATCCGAGATTTTCTCGCGCGGCCATCGAGAAATGGGCATGGCGTTTGCCGTGGCGACGTGCCTGTTCTGGGCGGCGGTGCTGTCCATTACGCTGCCGCTCATGCTGCGGTCGCTCGGGGTCATGGGCGTGTTCGGCTTCTACTCGGGGCTCAACGTGGTGGCGCTCATCATGATCTTCCTCTGGGTGCCCGAGACGAAGCAGCGGACGCTCGAGGAGATTGACTACATCTTCGCGGTGCCGACGCGCGTCTTCATGCGCTACCAGGTGACGCGGACGCTGCCCTGGTGGTTCCGGCGGTACCTGATGCGTGACAAGAGCGCGATCCTGGAGCCGCTGTTCCAGCTGGAACTCGAGGACCACCATGCCGCCGACGGTGCGTTTGACAATGACAAGGCAAGGGTGGAGTTGAAGGAGATGGTGGGCTTTACGAAGGGCATTGATCCCCGGAACGGAGAAGTGTCTTCAGAGACGTCGGACATTGTTCATTGATTCTGAATGCTGTTGGGGATTGGATGTTTTGTTACTTTGATCAGGGTTGTGTTTCCTGCCATGTTATGAATAAGGGTGCATTTTGGGATTGACTTGGGCATGGCGCTTGCGGACTTGGGACGATACCCGATGGTTTTGTACATGATGAATTTTGGATAGCTGTATATTAGTTGAATTAGGACATTGCTGACGGATTGGCAAGTTGATGGAGATGAGAGCCATCGACATGGAGGGCTACTCTCCGTCGGCCAAGCATGGCACTTATTGAAGACATGGGTGATTTTAAGACGTATGTGTGGTGACGATAGCATTAATGCCATTAAGTTTATAAACGGCCTACGAATGGATACAGGCAAGGTAATTGATCTTCTAATTCCTGCGCCATCTAGCAGACCTCGAGGGGGGGCGATCAACATGGATGTGAATGATGTGATATCCTGGAAGTTGTCCTTTGGCGGTGGAGCTGGCGGCTGGGTTGTCGTAGATATATTGTGGTTCTTGGTGGACATATGACATGCTGTACTTTGGAGAGTCGAGAGTCTGACTTTAGCGCTGGTATGGAGATTGTCGGGGGATGGTCTGGTTTTAGACACGGTTGGATTCAATGGCATAACATGTCCTAAGGGAGAGTTTGTCCCTTTTTCTTCATATCGAGATAAAGTAAAGAAAGAACCCCGGGGCCTGAGGTACCGAGAGGCAGGTATTGAAGGTCGGCGTTGACACACCATCCTCACTAGATCCCTTGATCCAGTAACTAGTGCATAACCAAGAAAAGACCTGCGGCGCTAATTCTTGCCGCTCCTGTGAGACTTTGCGGTTTGCAGCATCAAGGCGGGTTCAGTGGGTATTCTATGATGTATTGGCTTGCATTTTTCGTCCGAGTTGTAAAGTGCAGCCGTTGGGCTGCCCCCCTTTTGCGGTGGACTGGCTGCCAACTACATACATACGTAATGCGTAGGATTTGCAGTACGCGTTGACATTCCGTCCACCAGCAAGGTCTGATCTGTGCGTTCTCGGCCGCTGATACTGATCACGACCAAGCGTTGATCCAAGAAAAAAACCTGCTCTCGAACCACGCTGAAAAAGTTTGGGGGAATACGAGGAAATATTGGCGGAGCCGAGGGGCCCAGAATAGAGGCTGAGTACAGTACAGGCACTGGGCAGGTAGAGGACCGAGAGCCGTGGTTTACCTATTTTTATCCTTACTGGGTTGGGGCCAAGGCATGTGAAGATTTGTACAAGAATGATTCAAGGTATATTGATGGCAGGATGAGCTGTAGGGGTTTCCCTGTAATAATTGCAGTTTGCTGTTGACTGCAGCAGCGGGCGTCGTTTGAATGAGAGACAACTCAAACAGGGCCAGAGCCCACAGGATTGACGGTTGGTGGAGTTGATGTGCTGTTCAACCTTCCCATAACCAACCTACTGAAATACGCTCTAAAATATGTAGCTGTAATTGTAAAAAAAAAATTAGCTTCTTAGTGATAGGTGATTGTCGGGTTGTCTGTATGTCTTAAGTTCTGCGCTGTCCCGTCTGACTTGCAGTCTCGATAGCCTTGTTTATGCTGTTGGCTGCGGCTGTGACTTTTGTCTGTTCGCAGTGCTCAGCACATCCCATCCTGCATCATGCCGCTACCGGGCCCGTTGTGGCGCCTGAAGTTGGGTCCCTGGCCGGTGGATTACAGTGGGGAGTACAAAGCCGGTGCCGGTGCCGCTTTTGATTTCAGGAGGATCAACCTACACCCATTCTCAACTTTTAGCCAGCGCATCAGAAGCTCATGCTCTAAAGCGGCGGGCTTTTCGATGGACCCCAGTAGCCAGGTACCGCCACCAGGGGAGCCACTCAGGTCGCAGTAGAAAAAAAAGACGAAAAATGAAAAGAAAAAAGACGACGTCAACCCTGGCTCAGTTTCATGTCTTCCCCCTCCACAGTTCTTCTCAATTCTGACTTGCTGCCTTGCAAACACCCTTGCCCTCCTATCTTTCCAGCTTCACATTCTTTATTCATCCTCTTCGTCCCTCTTTTTTTTTGTGATTTTCTCTTCCTCTCCCCTTTATCCATAGCTTCTTCCTCACCTTCCCATCATCCCCCTCCCTCATTCATTGGTGGTGCTCTCTGTTCCTTTCTTTACGTCATTGGTCTCTCAAGCCCTCGACAACGTTACCTACAGGCTTTGTGATAGCTTCCCTAGGTATTTCCATCGCATCAATCAGTCGAAGCCCTTCCTGACAAGAGGCCTCGCCAGCCGACTTGCACAAACCCACGCAAACACTTTTCACACGGCCCTGATATCACGACTCTGCATCTGAAGCCGGTCTTCAAACCCCATCAACCCCGCAAACGAAACCCTTACGCTATTATACACATCTTTTAATTCTTTGCCCCTTTTCCCGGAGATTTCGGTCCTCCCAACTATATTTAGCTTCACATCGCCAATTGCTTGCTGGCTTGACGCGTTTCATCTTGATTTCGACGAACTATCACCCCAACTCTGAAACGGGAGACGACTCCACACGTCGCACACATCACATCTCCCCAGGGGCGCGCCTTGCACGTCTCTTCTTCTCGAATGAACCACAGAAACTCTTCCCGCGCCTCCAAGAGAAACTCGGCCGGCTTCATCCAGCTCGACGGCGGCTCCCAGGTCGACATGACGGAACGCGACATCCCCCTCACCAACGTCCAGAGCTACGCCTCCACCGGCGCTCGCAAGAACGCCGCCGGCGCCGCCAGCCACGCCCACAACGACTCGACCGACTCGAATGGCGAGAAGGCTGGCCACCATGGTCGTCGCAAAAAGGTCGCCCCTGACGGTCTTAAGCGCAAGGGCACCGGCGACGAGGTCGAGCGCAACGCTCTTGGCCGCCTCTACGAAAGGATTGTCGGCTTCTCCGTCCTCACCAGATACATGGTCTACGTTGTCCCTGTCGGCATCTTGTTAGCTATTCCCCTTATCGTTCTCAAAGTGACTGGGCATCGAAACGACATTAACGTCGGAACTGGTCCGGGCCAGGATGGCGCAGACAAGCATGGTCCCACCCTCTTCAACATCTTCTTCTGGCTTGAGATTACTTGGCTGACGCTTTGGGCAGCCAAGCTTGCCGCTCTGCTTCTCCCACAAATTTTCATGGCTCTCTGTGGTATTGTCAGCGCCGGCGTGCGCAAGTATGCCGCCGTTCTCCGCAACATGGTCATTCCTTTTTCACTCTTCTTCTGGGCGTTAGCCACCTGGATCACCTTCCAGAACCTCTTTAGCGAAGCTATTGGCCCCAGACGCATCCAATGGTGCATGAATCTCGAGAGGGTTCTCGGCGCCACCTTTGTATCGTCTGCCGTCTTTCTCGGCGAAAAGGCTATCATCCAGCTCATTGGCGTCTCCTACCACCAGCGGTCTTTTGCTCTACGCATCAAGGAGTCCAAACGCGAGATCCGCCTGCTCGGTCTCTTGTATGAGGCTTCCCGTACCCTCTTTCCAATGTACTGCCGCGAATTTGCAGATGAAGACTACGTCATCGACGACAGTATCGAGATGATGCTGCGTAAGAAAGCAGGTCACAAGCGCCGCGGCTCTGCCACGCCCATGAAGCTCATTGGCGATGTCGGCCGTATTGGCGACAAGGTCACTTCCGTCTTTGGCAACCTTGCCTCGGAAATCACTGGCAAGCAAGTCTTCAACCCCCACTCCTCGCACACGGTCGTCATCGAAGCCCTCGAGAAGAGACTACCCTCCGAGGCCCTCGCCAGGCGCATCTGGATGTCCTTCGTCGTAGAAGGCAAGGAGGCCTTGTACATCGAAGACTTTTACGAGGTCCTCGGCCCCGCATACAGTACTGAAGCCGAGGAGGCCTTTGCTGTCTACGACGCCGATTTGAACGGCGACATTAGTCTCGACGAAATGGTCCGCAAAACTGTCGAAATAGGTCAAGAACGCAAGGCCATCGCTGAAGGCATGAAGGACATTGGTCAGGCCCTTCGCGTTCTTGACAAAGTTCTCCTCTTCATTGTCCTCCTCATTGTCGTCTTCATCTTCCTTGCATTTTTCAGCAGCAGAATTGTTACCGTTATTGGTACTGCTGGAACGGCTCTACTCTCGCTCTCCTTCGTTTTCGCTGTCACCACCCAAGAGTTCCTCGGCTCATGTATCTTCCTCTTTGTCAAGCATCCCTTCGATGTCGGCGACCGTGTTGACATTGGCGGTAGCCAGATGGTTGTTGAGCGCATCTCTCTACTCTACTCGGTCTTTAGACGCCTTGAGAAGTCCCAGATCACGCAGGTTCCTAACATTCAGCTCAACAACCTCTGGATCGACAACATTTCCCGCAGCAAGGCCATGTCAGAGACGATCGAGCTTAACGTTTCCTACGACACCAGCTTCGAAGATGTTGAGCTGCTCCGCCTCGAGATGGAGAAATTTGTGCGCCACCCCGACAACTCCCGCGACTTCCACCCCGACTTCTCCATTGGCATTGGCGGTGTTGGTAATCTCGACAAGATGCTCCTTTACATCACCATCAAGCACAAGTCCAACTGGCACAACGACAAGGTTCGCTCTACTCGTCGCTCCAAGTTCATGTGCGCTCTCGCCGTCGCACTCAAGAAGGTCCCCATTTACGCGCCCGGTGGTGGAAGCGAGGCCCTTGGTGGACCGGGTAACCCCAGCTACTCTGTCGCCGTCTCGGACGAGTTTGCTGCCGCTGGCCGCGACAAGTACGCCAAGGACAAGGAGGCTGCTCGCATGGTTCCTAGCGACCCAGCCCAGACCGAAAAGGAAGCCGCTGCTGCCGAGCAGGCCGCCATCTCTGAGCTCAACACTGTTCCACTCGCCATCGACACTACGACCAGCATGTGGGAACACCGCGACGACAACACCTCCAGCGCAGTCGATGAGTCTGGAGACCCGCGACGCTCTCGCGAGATTGAGGCGATACGCTCTGAGCTGCATAAGAAGGAGAGCCAGCGCGGTCGCCGCAAGGCTGGCGAGGGTCTGACGGGCGCCACGGGATTGACGCCCACTGATGGCCACTTCCCGCCGCAGCAGAGAAGCCCGCGGCTGGAGACGTTCGACGAAGAGGCCACGACGGATATGCCCTCGACGTTTTACGAGCGCAACCACCCCGTTGACAGGTCCAACCTCGGCGGCCACAGCCATGGCGGGTTCCAGAATGTGCGCATCGATGACGAGGAGGAGCCGCGCCGGTCTACTTCGCTCCACGTCGGCAGTCACCCTGTCGGTCGCCGACCCTCGCGCGGCCCGTCGCCTGCCAACTTCAGATGAGGAGAAAAGGGTATTATGTGATTTTGGGATGAAAATTGAGGCTACTGTTGCTCCGTGGTGCTCTAGGTTACTGTTATTTTTTCACATCTAGCATTGTGCGTGTACTACTTGTTTTATATCGCTAGCCATCCATATGGCAGCTGGACAGGCTTATAGACAGAATTCGGAATATTTTACGTTACTTGATTGCTTGTGCCTGCAGGAACAATGCGGCCGCTCTAACTCGGATTCGCACTGGTTGTATTGGCGTGTGGCAGGCGCGGGTGGAGGCGGAACCCGGCGCAAGCTCCCTCAGCGTTTCCTGCTGTCAAGCGTGCCGCTGGACATTTCTTCTTCATCTACCTGGAGTCACAGCCATTCAAAAAATTGAATTCACTCTTGGAAAATCTCCTGCTCTAACAATTTCCTTCAACCACAGCGGGAAAGAAAACCTATCCATTGACACACAAGAGAAAATGCCAGCCAGCGACAGTCTACGTGAGTACTTTGCCCTCCTCCAAACGCAGCTCTCAACTCAGCTCACCCACGCAAACAGAGCCGCCCCTGACGCCCGCGGAGCGCGCGATCTGCAAGTCCTACGGCGGGTGGACGGCCTTTCTGCAAGCCTTTGGGCTGAAGCCGTGGAACGATGAGGACGCGGCCGAGGGTAAGGCCATCCTCGCCGGCCTTGCTGCCCAGGATGAGGCCGGGAAGAAGTAGGAGGAGAGAGGGAGGAATGAATGGGAGGCAGCAAATCAGGACGATGCGGGATGGATTAGTCTTGATATTGGGCCCTTGAACGCTGGAGTTGGGTCGGGCAACGGTACATGTTTATTTGCTCGCCGGGAAGGGCAACACCTAACAGGTATACAGAGTACACTGCCCCTAAATCAAAATTTCCTCCACTGGCAGAGACTTGAGAGCCTGTCAAGGTTGATTGTGTTTTGAAGAACGATATCCACTACCCCCATAGAAGGCTTGCCGGTTGCATTCACTGAGGCCTGCGGAGAGTACGAAACAACGCGGCCTGCAAACGGAGAGTTTGATGGGCTTTACAAACAACCATTGCCTTGTTCCTGAAAACGCAGACGTGATTCCAATCGCCCATCTTCTAACCATCTTCTCCCTAATACTTTCCTCTCTACCAGATGCACAGGCTCAAGTTCCAGCACATCATGGAAGGTAAGTTTCGTCTCTCACCTCTCCCCTTTTTGGGGACCTGCAACGGCTTGGTGCGATTTGCTGACTCTAACAAAAACTTGGCCCAGCAGCGCAACGTGAAGAGCCCGACAACGAGATCAGAGCCGAGCCTGAGCTGCGCCGCTGGGCCCTGCCCGCTCCCGTCTCGCCCAGGATTCTCAAGGCGCTGATGAGCAGCAACGAAAGGAACACGACCCAGATGGAGAGCCCGCCGCCGCCGCCATATCCTTTGAGAAAACCTCGCGCTACTGCCGCTGCCGATGACGGGGGAGGCGTCAAGGAGTACGCGGACGCGGAGGTGGGCAGCGCGCAGACGCGACTCGACGAGGAGGACTTGCTCCTTTGCTACGCCGCTACCGCCGTTGCTCTACCCGAGTCCGAGTCCGAGGATGGCAACGGCGACGATGAAGATGATGATGATGATGATGAAGACGAGCAAGGAGGCGACGGAGACGGAGCGCGTCTTGTGCCGAAGCCAACGACAAGCGGAGGCGTTACGGCGGCGGCGGCGGCAGCAGCAGCAGCAGGGGTAGAAAGCGAGAGAGAAGGCATCTTCGACCGACATCTGATCAATGCGGCACTGCAGCGCATCGAAATCAGTTCCTCCGACGGTCACCGCGAGGTCAATACATGCACCCTTCCGGAGCCGTCGCCTGCTGAGCCCTCTACTGCGGTACCATCACCAGTCGTTTCGGACACCGGCGCCACGGCTTTGAAGCAGGACGTACGGGAGGAGAAGGCTTCCACTTGGTATGCGGTTGCTATTCTCCTTTTTGTGGGAAGTCTTTGGGTCATGTTGGAGCTCACGTTGGGGTGAGTGTTGGTTGTAAGAGGCAAGTTGGAAATTTGGCAGATGGACGTTACGGTGTATTTGCAGTTGGACATGTGAGAGTTTACGGGGAGTAAAGAATAGAGATTACATATTCTCCGTATCATTTGAGTATTTCTTTCCAGTGATCTCCTTCAGATTATTCCTCTGTTTGCACTTGGTGCAAACGGGCTTAAGTAACTGGCAGCCCTCACATCTTTCTCAAGGTTCATTCACCACTCCCCCTCCTCCACCTTAACTTCTTCTCTTCTTTTCGCTTTCTCTGCCTCTTGTCTTCAATAACTAAGATTTTCCTTGCGGATATTCTTTTGGTCAAGGACTTGCGACTGTCTCATGATATTCCACAAGCAGTGCGGAGTACTGATTCTTTTTTAGCTGCCAAATTTTTCGCACTGCTGAGACTGTACGTTGCCTCATAAAATAGCCCATCATCCTCCAATTCCTTCTCCATTTGTCTACATTTCCGTCATTACACGATATTACGCTCTGGGAAGCCGAGACTCATTCGTACGCAGGACTTGCAATGCCGATACGAACCCCACGGGTGAAGAAGGAGCGCAGCTGCAGTGGAAACGCTGGCGAAAGCCACGACGATCGTGGCACCTCACGAGCTCATGACACTCAAGAGGCTTACGATACTACGCACTGTCAGGAAGTCGAATCTAACGACACAACAGACACCAGCTGGCACAAATCCGACTACGACTCCGACCCAGAGTCTGAGCATCAGGTTGAGGGTCTCACCAATGATGCGCATGATAACAATAAGGATATGAGATCACGAAATACCTTGGAAGAAGAGCTCTTGAGAGGTGAAATCAAAGAGGAGCAAGATGGTGAGCAAGTTGATGACGAGGACGAGGATGAGCGCGTCACCGAGATCATCACCACCACCACCACCACCACCACCCAGCCATCCAGCGCTACCTCTATCCCGACACCTTTTACTACGGAGGAGATGGTCGGTCTGGCGGAAATCTTGTCCTCGTGTCCACCGCCTCGAGGCTCAAATCGAGGCCCGCGCTACACTTGGGCAAAGGCGCGGTGGGAACACTGGTCGCTTGTCGATCGCGTATTCTACCTGGCCGCGTCCCAGTACTAGTGAGCAGCAAAGTCGGCCAGACTATTATGGCTACAAAATAAATGGATATGGTCTGTTGAAGCAGAACAATGTAGCTATTTTGAAAATGACAATACAACATATTGCTCCTACCGCCCCCCGTTTAGAGAGTCTAGTTTTACCTGGAGACCGAATCTGTCGTTGGTGGAGCGGGATCATTCAGCCGCACATCACCATCTCTCAAAAACGAGGCGTGACCTTCACGAAGCACGGCTACGAAGCGAAACATCGGTGAAGGAAAAATGGACCTTGAATCATTACTGGAATATCGACACTCCAAGCTGCCGAGCACTTCCAGCATCCGCCTCCTCGAACGCCTTGACTCCGCAACCACAGAGGGCCACCTCACTTTCAAGGTGCACACGCGCCACATCAACGAGTCGGTCCTGAGATACCACTGCCTCTCATACACCTGGGGTAACCCCTTTGCTCACGGCAATGGTTTTGAGGCGGGTTTTGAGGCGGCGTCGGAGGCGTACGCGGCGTCGGAGGCGGCCCGCGTCCCCGTCGTCCTCGACGGCAAATTGTTCTACGTGCAGCGAAACCTACAGGAAGCGCTGCGGACCATTCCTGCCACAGCGTACATGGACCGTTTGAATAGGCATGACACGACGGATGGGGAGCAGGGGGTGAAAGATCTAGAGCGTGCGGCCTCCTCGGCGGCAGATCCCTTGCCCGAAGGCGGCGCGGACAGGTTGATCTGGGCGGACGCGATATGCATCGACCAGTCCGACATTGTGGAGAAGAGTGCGCAGGTCGATATGATGGACAGGATATACAGCAACGCGGGGTACGTCCTGGCCTGGCTGGGGCCGGAGGACGAGCACACGGGCCGCGGGCTGCAGGCCGCGAACATCCTAACCACGCACCTGGACGCCTTCGAAGCAAGCCGCATATCACCTTGGCTGGGCCACGACCGGGAGCGGTACCTCGAGGCCGGCATCCCGCACCTCGCCCGGGCGGACTGGGACGCGCTGGCCAGCATCTACCAGCGGCAGTGGTTCCGCCGCGCCTGGGTCGTGCAGGAGGCCGTTCTCGCGCGCGTCCTCCTCGTCTACGTGGGCGGGTGGCCGGTGCCGTGGTCCGACCTCGGCACCCTCGCGCACGCGCTGCGCCGGCAGGAGGGCCGGCGGGGGTCGTCCAGGGGCACGCGCTACGAGCCCACGAGCGGCGCCGGCGTGTCGGTCGAGTGGAACGCGGCCGAGATGTTTCGGTGGCGCGAGAGCATGGGCGTGACGCGACGGGAGGAGAGCGCGCAGCGGCTCTTTTGCCTGGGTGGGCTGGTGGACGCCTTTTGGACGTTTCGCGCGACGGAGCCTGCGGATAAGATCTTCTCCGTCTACGGCCTGATCAACGCGTTTGCAGAGGATGATGGCGGGCGTCGCGCGACGGACTACGGACGATCGGTGGAGAGCGTGTACACGAACGCGACGAGGAGGATCATCAGAGAGCAGGGCAGCCTAGAGGTCCTGTCCCGCAGCTTGTACTCGACGGGGCGACGGGCCGGCTTGCCGGGCTGGGTGCCTGATTACAGCGTGCCGGCGATTAACCCGATCCCGAGCACGTTTGCCGCGAGCAAGGGTTTGCGGTTTGAGCTTAGTGTCGACAGCCAGGAAGACGACGACGATCCGCAGCTACGGGTCCGAGGTATGCGACTCGGGACACTCTCTCGGGTGGCTGGCAGGCAAGGCACCGGACCGCTCGACAAGTTCACCTTCAACCCGAAATGGTTCAGCATGCTTCTCTCCTTGAAAGACTTACCCGTGTGTGGCGGTCGGCGGAAGCGTCCAGCCTTGGCCGAGCTCCTGTGGCGGACGCTGTGCATGGACATGACGTACGGCGGCTTCCTCAGCGCCACCGACCCCGGCGCGGCCAGCGCGCCGGACGAGTACCGGGAGCAATTCGCGTCCTTTGTGCTGCTCACGCTCATGGCGCTCGCCGACCGCCGGGTGCTGGAGAAGAACGGCGTGGACCTTGACGACGCCCCTGCGGTGAGCGCGTGGGACGCCGCTGCGTACGACCCGTTTCAGGAGGACCTCGCCCTGGCGCTGCGGGACCTCGACGCCATCATCGCACGCGACGAGGAGTCCGCCAAGTTCATGCCGCCGAGCGACCTAGTCGTGCAGTTCTGGAACGACGTCCGCTGCACCATGGTGCGCTGCACGCCCGACGAGGGAGAGGGCAGCGCTCGCGACTTTACCGTGCCGCGCACGGTGCTCGAGGGCAGCAGCCGGTGCGTCGGCGCGGGCCGCGTCTGCACAGAGTCGCGCATGTTTCGGCGGTGCTTTGGCTTCGCGTCGGCGTACGCGGTCGCCTTGGGCTACAGGCAGCTGGTGGCCGTCGACGACATCAACTTGGGGCTGGCGCCGCTGCCGGCGGGTGCGGGCGACGAGGTGTGGATCCTGCCGGGGTTGGCAAGCCCGGCGGTGCTGCGGAGGACGGAGGAGGATGGTGTGTTTTCGTTTATCGGGTGCTGCTATATACATGGGCTGATGCATGGGCAAGCAGTGGATGAAGCTGAGGCCAAGGGGGAGAAGCTTGTTGATGTTGTGATGATGTAGGGTGGGGACTCGTGGTCCAAAGTAGAGCAAGCGAGCGAGCTTTAATAAATTACAGTGACTTCCATATAGGTATGTAGCTGTCTACATTGTGTACCTTTCTTTTTAATTACCAAATTTAAGCTTCCTCGCATGTCAAGGGCGAGCTGTGTCAAGTCGGTTCGTTGCTTGGCGGGGCTTGAAAGCTGTGCCCCGGCAACCATCCAAATCTGGAAGTCCAGTAAACACAGCCCAACCGAAACTCTATGCCAGCATCATCACCGAATCGGACCCCGCCATAGAATCGCCCCTTGCCGCCGCCGTCAATACATCTGCTATCCGCATCGCTAAACATAAGGAAAGGCGGCTTTTTTTTTTCTTAGTCTCAGGCCAAAGTCGCCAGAGTTCTCTTAGTCTGTACGCAAGTTTGTCGCCGTCGCAGCACCTACCTAACCTACCCCTCCAGCCGCTCTGCGGCTCCATTGCCCTGCTAACCGTTGGAATGCAGCCTCTCACCCTCCCAAGTGCAAGCCAACAAACTCCGGCCGGCCGACCGCCTCTCGCCTCACTATGGCTCAATTTCTCACCACAGTGTTAGTTTTCCATTCGTTCACTACCACTCCATCCCTCCCTCTCCCTCCCTTTCCGCACAACGAAATACGGAACAATGGCTTCGATTGCGCGTCTCTTGGGAAGTCGCTCCCACGGCACTGTCACGCGGCTGCAAGAGGATGCCTCCGTGGCAGTCCATGAGGACTCCCCAGACGTGTCACTTGTCGGGCATGGCGGGAGCGCGCGCGAGAAGCCGACGGCGACGACGGCGACGACGGCGACAATGACAGCTAACGAGAGAGTTGTCGACCGCAGCAACCAGCGCGCAAAGAACCAGTTCCGGTCCCGCGTCGGAAAGGGTGGTGCTACCAGCTACCAGCTACGCCAGTACGCCGAGGTGACCCTTGGCGGAGGCAGCCTCCGCAAGGTCGTGAAGCTCCCCGAGGGCGAGGACGAGAATGAGTGGCTCGCGGTCAACAGTAAGTGTATATCTGGCTCTAGGTGAACCTGGATAGCGCTAACACGCGGTAGTGGTCGACTTTTACAACCAGATTAACCTGCTCTACGGAGCCATTACCGAGTTCTGCTCCCCGCAGTCCTGCCCCGAGATGAAGGCCACGGATGAGTATGCTCCCACGGGTATCCAAGTAAGACGGCCTTAGCTAACAATCCTAGATTCGAGTACCTCTGGCAGGACAACGACAACTATAAGAAGCCCACAAAGATGGCAGCACCCGCATATATCGAACAGCTCATGACCTGGGTACAGGCCAATATTGACAACGAGCAAGTGCTACCAAGTAAAATTGGTACGTATACGAGCACGCTGCCGCTGCAGATACACCAAGCCATGCCGTCGCTAACCAGTCTATACACAGGCGTCCCATTTCCCAAGTCGTTCCCAGCTCTCGTTCGCCAAATTTTCAAGCGCATGTACCGTGTGTACGCACACATCTACTGCCACCACTATCCCGTCGTCCGCGAACTCGGCCTCGAGCCCCATCTCAACACAAGCTTCAAGCAATACGTCCTGTTCATCGACGAGCACAGCCTTGCCAGCGGCCGCGACTACTGGGGCCCCCTTGGGGATCTGGTCGATAGCATGCTGAAGAGCGACTAAATCATGGCGAGGGATAGAGTTGTACTATTAATTAGCGTCAGCTGTTGTGGGCTTTGGTTTGGGTATTGGAAAGTGATGCTCACAGAATGGAGTTCTCAGGTTGGATTATTATGTTGGTAGTTTGCGGCTTCGTTTTGTTTTCTTCTGCATGGTACAAAACCTTCAGTTTTAGAATGCATCGTAATTGCAGTGTTGCTAGCAACTCCAAGCAAATGTGACTTCTGCTGGGGTATTCAAGCTAACACAGCGAGAGCTCCCTCCATGGGTTGATAAATACAGATAAGCGACCGTTGCTCTCGTTCAGAGATGAACAGCGCCTTCGAGCAACCGGGCGAATGGTTTAGTGGTATAATACTCCCTTAGCATCTGCTGTACAGTGGATTCAACGATTGGGAGTGGCCCGGGGTTCGATTCCCCGTTTGTCCAACAATTGCTCCAGAGCGTTTCTTTTTGCATCTGCGTATACTTTTTATTCCCTTTTTCAGCTCAAATCTTTGAATGCAATCTTTTTTTCAACAATCCAATTTCATTCACACTCTTTGCATCTCGTTTTGGCTGACCTTCTAAGCCTGTTCACATTCCGCTGACGAAAAACGAGCGGGTGTCATCGGATTACCTAACCCGAGTTGATGCCTGACCAGGCATCAAGTTTCCGAAATTGCCGGAGAAACCTCGACAAACCACCGAAAGCTCTCAAGCCCTCCAAATCGCCCTTTACCGCAGATTTCCCTCCCCCCTCCCTTTTGAACGCCCCGGCATCTCGAAACCACGTCAATTCCCCTCCATCTCGCCATGTACTCCCGCCAGGTCCTCCGTGCCGCCCGCCTCGCCGCCCCCCGGCGCCTCGCCGTCACCCCCGTGCGCACTTTTGCCGCGGCCGCCGCCAGCGACGTCAAGCCCCCCGTCCAGGTCTTTGGCGTTGATGGCACCTACGCCACCGCTCTCGTACGTTTGCCGCTCCCGATTCGCCATACTCCAATAAGTTGTTAGGCCCCTGGAGGTGTTTGTCGGTGCAATTGGGACTGTTGCTCGCGCGGCAGCGCCAAAAAACACATATACCACTCACTCTGCCTCGGGACCTGCTCGGAGACGACAAAATGACGTTTTGCAAGGAAAATGGAAAAGGCTCGCGATTAGCTGACACGAAGTGCCTCGTTTCTATCTAGTACACGGCTGCTGCCAAGTCCTCGACCCTCGAGCCTACCGCCAAGGCCCTCGCTACCCTCGGTGCCATCGTTGACAAGGACGTCAAGCTCCCCGGCATCCTCTCCGCCCCGACCCTGAGCGCCGAGGACAAGTCCGCCATCGTCGCCGAGCTCGTCAAGCAGGCCGGCGGCGGCGGCGCCACCCTCAAGAACTTCCTCGACACCCTCGCCGAGAACAACCGCCTCGGCCTCCTCCAGGGCATCTGCCACAAGTTCAACCAGATCATGTCCGCCTCCCGCGGTGAGGTCGAGATGACCGTCACTTCTGCTCAGGTACGACCTCAATGTTTTTGGGGAGAATTCTCCAAGCGATATGCACGAGCGCAATGGAAATGCTAACGCACCACCTAGCCCCTGGACAGCAAGACCCTCGCTAAGCTCGAGACCGCTGTCAGCAAGTCGGCGTACGTCGGTGCCGGCAAGAAGCTCAAGGTCACCAACCAGGTCAACTCGGACATCATCGGCGGCCTCGTCGTCGAGGTCGGCGATCGCACCATCGACCTCAGCGTCTCCTCCCGCATCGCCAAGATGAACAAGGTCCTCACCGACAGCCTGTAAATCACGACTTCCCACACGGAAAAGGAAAATGGAAGGCCAAACCCACACCATAGCCCAACTGCATTTACACCCCAGCCATCAGCCAGCATTTTACAAGGGAGGGAGAAGACTTTCTGTGGCAGAGATTCCAGCGGAAACTGGTTTCTTGTATCAGGGTTTTAGACGGTTGTCGCCAGGGGCGGAGGAAGGAGAAGAAGGATTGGGGGAAGAGATTGGGGAAGTGAAAATGGGGCGTAAGAGGAACAGTTGCTTCCTCGTCCCATGCTAATTTTTCTTTGTTACATCACAACACACGCCCTTGTTTTTTCTGACAGAGCCCCTCTGCCGCATCCCAGCAGAGGCGATTCCTGTCGTGTATGAAAGCCGTCGATATAGCATGGAGATGGTTTGCATGTGAAATAGAAAGCAAAATTTCATCTCGTTTGTTCAAACTCGCCATTCCACAGCTATGCTTCTTATTCTCCTCATTAGTGTGACGTAGAGTCTGCACAGCCGGGGGACTCGCCTGTCAGGATTGATTTTATATGCAGATGACGGGCAGCGGCTAACGAAATAATACATATTGACTATTATTTTAGATCTATCAGTTCTAGAGATGCTCTCGTATAATGCATGATTGCCGTTCCCATGGCCCAGTCAAAGGCAATTGACCACTTCACTCCCAGCACAAGGGTAAAATCCCCGCCGGTCGTTCAATGATCACCAGCGCCGCCCCCCTTGCCGTTGGCAGACGTCTCAAACTCATCGGCGTGCGAGAAGCGGTCCGACTGCATCTCGTCCTTGTAGCGGCTCAGCTGGTCCGAGATGTAGGAGTGCATGTGGGAGTCGGCCTCGGATTTCTCGAGGGCGGCAGCGGCGGAGGCGGCGGCGGCGGCGCCGTGGGTCAGGACGATGCCGTCCGAAACGGAGCCGCCATCAGAGTGAGCGTCGTCATTATCGTCAAGGACAAAGTCGCTGCGTGCACCGATGGAGCGCGCCGTGGAGGACCTGCGGATGCGGTGCATGCGCGGGGAGTGCGGGACGCCGACCTCGACGCTGCGCTGGAACATGTCGTCAAAGTAGTGCGCCATGCCGACGGACGGCGTGCGCGGCGTCTGCGGGAGACGACAGCTGACACTATTATGGGCTTGTTAGCTTCTTTTCTCTTCCTTTCTAGCACAGTTGTTTTCATGGAGGCTAACCCAGTATCATGAATCATTCTGGCAATCAGCCCAGTCCATCCCGTCTGGTGGCTGGCACCAAGACCGCGTCCTGTGTCACCGTCAAAGAACTCGTGGAACCAAAGATAGTCTTTCCAGTTCTCGTCAAAGTCAAGCATATCGTTACCAGCATTTACACTTCTTCTGCCGTCGTCTGTGCGCGCAAACAGGTGCTGAAGACGGTGCTGAATTTCTTCGGACACTTTACCCAAGTGCATGTAGTCACCACTACCAGTCGGGCATTCAACTTGAAATTCGTGTCCGTAGAACAGATAAAATCGCTGTAGAGATTCTACCAGGAGAAAGTTGACGCACAGCCAGATAGGGCCTCTCCAATTGCTGTTGCCACCAAAGAGGCCACTGTCTGAGTCACCTGGGACGTAACCAACCTTAAAGACTTGTCCGTTGACATCCATGGAGAAAGGGTGGTCTTTGTGATATTTGGAGAGTGACCGGATGCCGTGATCACTGAAGAACTCATCCTCGTCCAACATGCGCTTAAGAATCTTCTCCAGGCGATCCTTACTGACGATTGAAAGTAGGATTCTGTTGCCTTTCCCCCGTTTTCTGATGCTAGCCATGTTTCGTTCGGCCACGTCTAGCCGGTTGTGGATGAACCATTCGACACGCTTACGGAACGACGGCAGCTTATTCATGAGTTCCGGCTCCAACGTCGTTGTGGCATAGAGGGGGATAAGTCCAACAAGCGAACGCACAGGTAGCTGCTGAATGTACGGACCACCCCATGAGATGGCGTCGTAATAAAAGCCGTCTTCGTCGTTCCAGAGAGACTGCTCGTCCTTATTGCCTTCTCTGAAGGTCATAGCATCGCTGATAAGGATGAAATGCTCGAAGAACTTGGACGCAATGTCTTCGTAAATGCGGCGGTGCTTGGCCAGCTCAAGCGCAATGTTGAGCATAGATAAGCAGTAAAATGCCATCCAACCCGTGCTATCCGCTTGTTCCAGCACACCACCTGTAGGTAGGGGCTCTGACCGGTTGAACAGACCAATGTTGTCAAGACCAAGGAAGCCGCCTTCAAAGACATTCTTGCCGTCTGTATCTTTCCGGTTTACCCACCAAGTAAAATTGAGCAGCAGCTTTTGGAACACACGCTCTAGAAAGTCCAAGTCCTGACGACCGTAAAGCTTTCGCTCGATCTTGAACGTGCGGAAGGTGGCCCAAGCATGTACGGGTGGATTGACATCGCTAAAGTTCCATTCATAACTGGGCACAGTCAGCATGACCACGCAATACAAGATCCGAGGAAGACTCACGCTGGCAGCTGGCCGTTGGGATGGCAGTACCACTCTCTGGTAAAGAGATCGAGCTGCTTTTTGGCGAAATCGGGATCTATCATTGCCAAGGGAATGCAGTGAAAGGCGCTGTCCCAAGCGGCGAAGAAAGGGTATTCCCATGAGTCAGGCATGGACAAAATGTCATCGCAATGCATATGACGCCATTGAGTGTTGCGAATTGATCGTCTCTCCGGCGGGGGTGGAGGCGTCGCAGGATCACCGTTGGCCCATTGATCCCAAATAAAGAGGTAATGCTGTTTGGTCCACATCATGCCTGAGAATGCCTGTCGCTGGACACTTCGCAAGTCGTCAGTCATGGGCAGCGGGCTAAGGCGGTAGTAGAACTCGTCGGCCTCTTCTTTACGCTTCTCAATCACATTGTCGAACTCCTCTTCGTCGAGATAGCTTTGTTCTTTCTTTGAGAACCGGAAGCGTACGACTGTCCTCGATTAGCGGTGTGTTGTCCACATGCGTTGGGCGTAGGGGACGGACCTGCGCATTCACCTGGGCTCACGCCACCATCCTCATTGAAGCTAAACCAGGCAGCACATTTTGTGCCGCTTCGCGCAGGATTGACGGCGTTCTTCTCCCCATTCACAATGTAGCGATGGAATCCGTCCTTGACATAGGGCTGTGTGTTCTTTTGGCCGTAGAGGACGTTAACGTTGGTGTCATTTTCGGTAAATATCAGCTCTGGTAGAACATCGTCACCAGTCAACCCGACGCCAGGAGACGGTGATAGCGTGAGATGTCTTTGACCGAGGCTCCAGTGGTTGGAAGAGGCAGAAAGCTCCGAATTGGCGGACATGATGGGCTTCTTTTCTGGGGGCTCAATGCCCCAGCTCCATGTGTTACGAAACCAGACTTGGGGAATGATGTGGAGGGGTGCAGGGTCCGGGCCGCGATTCCATGCTGTGACTCGGAAGAGGAGCTCGTCGGGGTCATTTTCTTCCTTTGCCGTCTCAATGAAAATGTCCCAGTACCGGTCTTCGTCGAAAGCATCAGTGTCAATAATTTGGTACTCTTTATCTTCCTTCGACCGCTTCGCATTTTCTTTGATGAGATCTTCGTAGGGGAAGGCCTTTTGCGGATATTTGTATAGGAATTTCATATAGGAATGCTGTGAAACGTTAGGCGATGACGGCGAGAGAGATGGTAGGAATCATACAGTCTAGCAGTGAGGTCAGCGTTTTGTCATGTCAAGTTGAAGAATAAGAGAGCGTACAGGTGTGTTGTCGACATGGAAATGGGCTTCCTTGACACTTTCGCCATGGTTACCCTGAGGATTGGAAAGGCCGAAAAGACGCTCCTTCAAGAAGTCGCTACAGTGCGTTAGACAGATGCGAACAATGAGCAGGAACACGCGGACCAGCATACTCTTTTTCATTCCAGAAGCTGAAACCAATATTTTGCCAGCCATGGGTATCAGAGACACCGGCAATGCCGTCTTCTCCCCAACGAAAGGCTCGCGACCGGGCATGTTCGTGAGGAAAGTCTGTGAAGCGGTTAGCTAGGCGGCGAGCTGGGGGGATGCTGGGTGCGGCGAGTGAGTAAGTAGACATACGACTCCATGCATCGCCGTCATGGCTGTAGTCCTCTCGGACTTGAGTAACTGTTAGTTATTGCGAATAATCTGGGAAGAAAGGTGCAACGCGGCAATTGCATACCGGTAGCCCACTGTCGTTCGGCGACGTAGGGACCCCATTTCTTCCAATACCGCTTGCGCTCGCGATCATCCTTGAGGCGGCGCTCTTCCTCAGTCAGGTACTCGTGGCCATCGAAAACAACCATGGTTCAATGCAAGGGCCGTCAATTGGATCAAAGAGGATGCGTGCGGGAGAACGGCGAGGGCAAAAGGAAGAGGAGCGAAGAGAAGCTCTGGTGTACATACATAGGTAGCTATGAACCAGTACGGATAGGGTGGTTGCGGCTTATCGAAGTGGCGGGGCAGTTTTTATGATCGGTCGAGCTAAGAGAACAGTGGCTGATACACCCACTGTGCCAGTGTCGGCCGTCCCGGGCTGCTGGCAGGGCTGCTGGAAAAAACGTTGACGCATACAGGATCTAGAGTTGTGGAAGGCGTGATTGGATAATTATTCGCGCATAGTGGGCTCTAGGTACATTGTAATCTGGACACCGGACGCTACGCTGGCAATCTGTGTAAGCATGGAGCTGCAAGTTGTCGAGGCCCAACAGACAATCGATGACGATGGTAAATGCAGCCACTCGTCCACTGTCCACTGACTTGTCCACTGACTGACTGGGGGAGACCAGTCGTTGGAGCCACTGCAGTTACAGGGGGAGAATCTCTGATCATTTATCGCGCTACTATTGTCCGGCATTTTACGATAAACTCGAACCAAAATATTCGACCTATAATATTGCTCTATCTTATTATTTTATTAGTTTCATTCTTCCTTTATTACCAGTACCCAGAACTCATGTTAGACGTGGCATGTCGAAAGTGTACAGCTCAGCCACATGCGCCAAGCCGCAAGCTGCCGCTCTATATTCCCGTCGGTGTGAAGTCTCTTGCGGCAGCACGCACATTACGTATGTATGTATACACGGTACCACGGCATGTCTTGAACAAAGCCTTTCAAGGTCTTTGGCTCGATTTTCTTTTTAGCCCAAATTTGTGTCTTGGTTGTTTAGATCAAACGGCGCGCATTTTTAGGGTAACAGGCAGCCTGCGATTCGGCTGGACGATTTAAAGCCACGACTGAAGCTTTAAATAGGTACTACAGTGAGCGCCGCCGCACTGCCTTGTGTGGCTTGGCTCTCCTACCTAACCCAACCGGCTCGCTGGCTGGCTTGTGAAAACCTCAGCTTCGCTCACTTCGCCACTGGTAGTCGTGGCTTTATCCTCGTCACCCTCGTCATAACCGCTGCCACCAATTTACTTCAAGCCACCATGTCCGGCGCGTCTTTCTTTTCTCTCCGCATCTAAGCATCTACTTCATTTCTCTGCGACTGTCTTTTGTCTATTTTTTCGCCTGCTCTGTCCGCTTCTTCGCCCCAGCGCCAATCCCTCCTTGTCACTTCCTCCTTGTCACTTCCGCTCTTCCGCCGCCCATTTCTCTATCTTCCCTAACTAATTCCTCCTTACTTACCCGCCACATCCACGAACTCCAACCACCATGGCCAGCACCGTGTCGCTGCTGCGCAGACTGATCCTCGAGTCCCCCCCGGGAGAGTGGGCCATTAACCAGCTACGCGAGCTCTTGATCGGCGCTTTGAAGCAAGGCCCGGTCCCCCAGCATGTCGCCTTCGAGATGGATGGCAACAGACGCTATGCTCGAACCCATCGCATGGAAACCGTCGAGGGCCATCATCGCGGCTTCGAAGCACTTGCCAGGGTGAGTCTCTGCCAAACCGAATCGCGCCGCCCGGCCCGACCCCTCGGCTAACTGTTTCCTCGCTAGATCATGGAAATATGTTACAAGTGTGGCGTAAAGGTCGTCACTGTATATGCGTTCAGCATTGAAAATTTTAACCGTCCCAAATACGAGGTGGAAGGTCTCATGCAGCTTGCCAAGGTCAAGCTTGAGCAGCTCACTACCTACGGAGATATCCTAGACCGCTATGGCGCCTGCGTCCGCGTCCTCGGCCAGCGCGACATGATTCGCGACGATGTACTGCAAGTCGTTGACAAGGCGGTTGCCCGAACCAAGCACAACAACAAGTATGTCTCCAATACCAACAGTATCCTCTCGAGGCACGAGTCTAACCAACGAACAGGGCCGTGCTGAATATCTGCTTCCCCTACACCTCTCGAGCCGAAATAACTACCGCCATCCGCGAGACCGTCGAAGACTTCCTACACCCCCCTCCTCCCAAAAATACGCCTTTCTCGCCGTCGCGCATCCGGCAAAAGGTTCTCTCTTCCCAGCATGACGACCGCGACACGCTTCCGACTATCCGCGATGCGTCACCCGACACCCGCGCCGGGGACGATTCCAACGAGGATCTCGATGGTGATGCAGGCGACTCTTCCTCGACCCTCCTCCCTGACTCACCGCAGCCTCGCGTCCGCGCGAAGAGGGCCTCGACGGACCTTTCGAGTCTCCCCAACCCCGAATCCATTACGGCTGATACACTAGACAGCCACATGTACACTGCGCCCGATCCGCCTCTGGACGTCTTCGTCCGCACCAGTGGTGTGGAGCGTCTCAGTGACTTCATGCTCTGGCAATGTCATCAGGATACTCATATTTTTTTCCTCAAGTGCTTCTGGCCAGACTTTGACTTGCAACATTTTGTATTTGTGCTGCTGGAGTGGCAATGGAGGCAGAAGCAGAGGGCGCGAGACGGCTCAGTGCAGATCAAGAGCAACAAGGTGCGCCGGGTGATAGAATAGATATTGATAGATATACCCAAGACGAGGTATTTTCAGTGAGGCTAGCATAGATGTGCCGATCTATACCTACCTACTCTCGACATGACCCCAACTTGGTTTACCTTTGTTTTGCAGTTGTATGTTGACATCTCGGGACTTCTGTGACAGCAGCGCTTTTGCGATCATTTCCACCAACACGGCGTGGTTTTGTACTTTGAACATCATCATCCCATCTCAAGTGGTATAGTTTGTATAGTGCTGATTCATGCACCTCTCCAACTCATAACAGCCGAGGCCGTCCCATCTCTTCCCTCAAAGCAGGCTGTTGTCGAGGCGGCCAAAGCCGACCGGAGTGGGGATTGGGAGTGTGGGTGTCCGGGAACCTCAGCGGAACTTTGGAGCAGCCCCTGCACAGGCATGCTGTCGCGCACTATGACGGAGCTACTAGGTACCTTTCAGGTACCATCCGTTTACCATTTCGTCGCTGCGTCGCTCGCCCGCCGCCAAATTTCGCGAGCGAGCTTCGCGCAGGCCGTCAGCGCACTCTCCCAATTCTTTCCCTCCCACACTTTCACCACTGCCCTGTCCAGCTGTTACCGCACCGTCTCGCAAGCCATGGCCTGAGAGACCTCCAATACAGCATCATTTTTTTTCTCTGCAGGCCATCCCTGCCGCTTTACGACCCTCTGTTCTCACCACGCCCCTCGCTCGGTCGCGCTCTTAGTTGTCGTCCTCGTCTCTCGAGACCTCGCCGCCCGAAACCACGACGCCAGCCAGTGACGGCAAATTTCACAATGAAGTCGGCAAAGCCTACTTCCGCTGAGGCCTCATCCCATCGCAGGTCGCAGCCCGTCCGACAGACTCGCACGAACCCCCCCCGAAGCTCCATCAATGCCGGCCGACTGGGTGCCAGAGAGGCGCCTGCCTCTGGTCCTGTCGGCGACCAGCCCATCGACATATACCCTGCGATAACCCATTTTGCCGATATAATGACTGCCCTCCCTAAAGAGATGGTCCGTCACTTTACACTGCTTAAAGAGGTTGACGCCAAGATTTTTGCTCCCCAAGAGCAGCTCTTCAAGCTCGTCGCCGCTGCCACCAAAGCCTCTCTCCCCAGCGCCCAGTCCCAAAATGATGCCCTCAGCTCTACTGCGCCAGCTTCCGCGCCAATGAGCGCCCAAGGCAGCTCTTCTAGTGCGGCGCAGTCCAACTCTCTGGTGCCAGTCTCGGCCGACGAGCCCAGCACTGCTTCAGGTGTCTTTGACCCCTCCAATATCCCTCGAAGACAGCTATTCCGCCAGACCGCTTTCAAGATACAGGAGATGTTAGTTGCACTGGAGGAAAAGAATCACGTCATCTCGACGGCCAATGAGGCTCTCCAGCACCAGATGACACGCGTCGAGGATGTCTGGCCCTACCTCGAAAACGAGTTCAGTGACGAAGCGAAATGGGGCAGCGCGACACACTGGGCTTACCCCGAAAACCGAGGGGGCAAATCCAACTTTGAGCGAGCTCGGCGTGATGGGGCCGCTGCTATCTCAGCTGCCGCTCAAGCCTTAGCCGACGAAGCTGCCGCGCGTAGCGACGCCAGGAAACAAGCTGTCCAGGCCAAGAAAAACATGAGAAATGCAAACCATGGTGCTGACATGGATGGCTCACGTGAGAAGAAGCCTTCGAGCAAGGCTAGAAAGACTGAGGATGGCGATAATGTTGGCCTCGGTATCTCTGCCCCACCAAATGGGAACGCTTCAAAGAGGCGCAAGACCGAAAAGGCTGCTGCCGGTGGCACTCCCATGGAGAGAACAATTAGCTCTGCTCTTGGAAGCACTGGTTTCAAGGTCAAAGGAGGCAGTCCCCGAGGAACTCCTGCTCCCGAGGGAGCCAAGAAGCGCCGGGCCTTACCAACAGGAAGCGCACCCGCCAAGAAGAAGTACGTTGTCCAACCCGAAGTTTCAGCTGCCACAGATTTCCTAACAACATGCACAGACCCGCCACTTCGGGCAAACCTGCATCCACGACATCCTCGCCGGTCGTCCACAGCATCTCCGAACCAAAGCCTGGAGCATCACCAGCACCAACAAACGCGCCTCGACCCGCATCCTCTCGAGCCCGTCAAAACTCGGTCAACTCTACATCAGAAAACGGCAAGGCTCGCCGCCCATCTATCACAGCAAAGGCCACAAACGGCAGCGCTGCGGACAAGCCAGATGTCGCACCCGAGAAGCCTGCAAACATTACCGAAGTTCCTCTGCCCATTAAGAGCGAGCCTGGCAAAAAGGATGGCGACAGGCATGATAACATAACTACTACAGCTGCCCCCGCAGCTAGCAAAAAAGAGTCAAGGGTGGAACTACCTGAATTCAAGGTCGAATCGACGCCAGCACTACCACTGCCTGCCACTGTTACCACTAAGAGCGGCAGAGCGAGTAAACCTTCAACCCCCGCGCTCGCGACATTCCAAGAGGCTGCCGCCGCTCGGGCTTCGAGAACGCGAAACGACGGTGCAAAGAAAGCTCACCGCAAAAGCAGCACAGCCCAACTTGCTGCGCAGCACACTGCCGATGACGACGCGACCAGCAGCATGCAAGACGAGGATGAAGGTGACATCGATGGTGATGAGCCAACATATTGCTACTGCAATAGCGTCAGTTATGGTGAAATGGTGGCCTGTGACTCGGACGATTGCGAGCGAGAATGGTTTCATTTGGACTGCGTCGGCCTAAAAGTCGCACCCGGCTCCAAGAGTATGTACACCCTATTGTGATGGAACTCTGAACATAACTAACGATGTCTAGCGAAATGGTACTGCGAAGACTGCAAGGAGCGACTCAGATTGGCCGGTAAAAAGGTCAGCACACGGTAAATTGCAGTAAGCAACAAGAGGGCCAAACGCGAGGGCAAGAAAATTGCCCATGAAATTATTACAGGCACTAGCCATGGATTACTCAGATTTGTTGAAGTGATGTCTTTTCGAACAGCTGAGCATGAATATCATAGGGCGTTTATGGGTTGCAGACGAGGGGCCATTTTAACTGGGTGTCGTGGCCATCATTCTTAATTCCGTGAAACTTATAGGGTGCTTTATTAAGCAGGCTTTGGCTTTTTTGTTGAGTCTACATGACTAGTTAGGACAAACGGTATCGTGTGAATATCAGATTTTGTGTAACAAACATTCCCAATGGGTTATCGCCCACAGGCGCCAAACAGCATTTGTGACTGCAATGATACGCAAATGGACTCCTGATGCTTAATTCTGATGTCCACCGTGCAGCCAAGAAACGAGACTGCGAGTAAAACCAGTATAAGCATCGAAATGCTTGTCTCTACGAATACTAAACCATTCACCTAAAACATTGAAGTTGTTAACCGGCTCTAGGGTAAAACCGGTAGATACTGGGAAGCATCGCACGAGCAGTGGGCCGGTGGGGGCGGGGGAGCCGCCGCTTGCCACTCTGGGTAAAAAACGCTGAGCGGTGACTGTGATGACTAAGGTGGCAGAAAAAAAAAGTGGCAGGCTCGGTGGTGGAACAACTTCAGAAGTCAGGCGACGGCGAGAAGCACAATTTAGCAAAACTCTTTGGGTTGGAAGTACGACCCAGCCGAGAAGCAGACAAGATGCGGTAAGTGATAGTTTTGTGCATTGGCTTTCATTCTTCCGAGAAAGCGAATGCCCAGGGCTTGGGAGGTGTATTGGTGCTGACTGAAGTTTTGCAGCATCGAAGACTGCTCGTTCTGCGGACGACCCTCATACCCGTCCAAGGGTATTACTTTTATACGAAATGACGGTAAGCGATATACCACTGGAGCCCTCTCCATCCCTCATATCTCGACGCAGCAAAGCAGCCAGAAAAGCCTTATCCGCCCCCGACCATCCTCCCACTGACCCTCCCCGCCCCTCTCCCAGGAAAATCGTTCCGATTCTGCCGATCCAAGTGCCACCGCAACTTCAAGATGAAGCGCAACCCGCGCAAGCTCAAGTGGACCAAGGCGTACCGCCGCAACGCCGGCAAGGAGATGGTCGTCGACAGCACGCTGCTCTTCAGCCAGCGGCGCAACGAGCCCGTGCGCTACGACCGGGATCTGGTGGCACGCACGCTCGAGGCGATGCGGCGCGTCAGCGAGGTGCGGCAGCGCCGCGAGCGCGCCTTCTACAAGCGCCGCATGGCGGGCAAGCGCGCGCGCACGCTCGCGGCCGCGCACGACCTGGTCAGCAAGAACGCGCACCTGCTGCCGCGGATGCGCGGCAGCGAGAAGAAGGCGCTGGCGGAGCGCGCGGCGGCCGGCGAGGACGTCGACGTCGAGGCCGAGGAGGAGCGCGCGACGCGCACGAACAAGACCAAGGCGTTCGGCGTGGAGAAGCGCAGGCTGCGCATGCGCGAGGACGGCGGCGTCGAGGCGGAGGCCATGGACATGGACTGAGCTCGACGATGGTGTCGGTGATCATGATTATGGGGGGCTACCGGTGCATCTTCCTGCAATGCAGCGAGAAGAAGCCGGAGAGAAAAAAAAACAAAATGGAGCATACGACTGTCGAGCGAGTTTGGCAACACCGAAAAATCGTGGGACAACGCCAATCGACACGTCCTTCTTGGAGTCATTTCTTTTCTTATTTTTGCTTGTTGTTTCAGAAACTTATTTAGGATTTCTGGATGGGTTTTACGTTTCTACTTGTGCAGTTTCTTTTTTGCGGATTTTACCATTACACAGTTTCGGCCTGCCTTTTTGGTCCCCACGTCTCGGATGTTTTAGAGAGGAGGCAAAAAGAAGCACAGGGGATTGCGTTCTGCTATAGAAAGCGAAAAAAATGATGAACATAGATCGACCAGGTCACTGAATGGGATGAATAATTTTGCAACAGGATGCGCTTCTAAGCTTGTCAACATGCGCCGCCGACACCGCGCTCCCAAACATGGATGGACAACTCAAACATGTAATTCAGCCATGCTTTGTGTTGGCGTAGGCCTCTCCTTCAAGCTATGCCTTTGATCCGCGCAACGAGCGCCGAGCTCGTAGCATTCGTGACAGACGGAGAAGCGGCCCGAAAACGTCGGGCACACCTCGCAGATGCCGAAGCTCATGTCCTCGGGCACGGGCAGGAGGCAGACGTGGCAGACTAGGGGACCCGGGTCATCGCCGGTGCCGTATGCGAGAAGTTTCCCGTCCTCCGCGCCACCGTCGTCGGCCGCGAGAAACTCCTCCATGTCGGCGTAGCCGAGCCGCCGAGCCCAGCATAGCGGCGTTCGGCCATACTTGTCCTCGGATAGGAGGTCGACCACCCCGGTCGCCCGGAGTGCGCGGGCCGTCGCGCGCGCTCCGCACCGGACAGCAAGCGAAAATGCCGTCTGCCCGTGGCGGTCCCTGGCATCGACGTAGTCTGCCGCCGCGCCGCGCCGCCCCGACAGCAACAGCTCGACGATGGCGGCGCGCCCCCCCGTAGACGCGACCATCAGCGGAGTCCTGCCATCGACAGTGCACAGGTCTACCCGGGCGCCTCCAACCTCCACCAATAGCCTGGCCATGGTGAGGTGGCCGGCATGCGTCGCGATACTCAACGGGGTGTAGCCGCCGTCGATGGCCGCATCGACCTGCGCCCCGTGGTCGAGTAGGAGCCGCGCTACCTCGACCTGGCCCTGCAACGCCGCGGCGAGGAGCGGTGTGCCTTCACTGATGCCTTCCGGTTCGACGTTGGCGCCCCTCTCTAGCAGCAAGGCCACCGTTGTGGCGTGGCCGCCGAAAGAGGCCGCGGATAGTGCTGTAGTTCCGTTGCCGCCCGTTTCGGTCCCCCCCACGTCGACGCCTCTCTCCAACAGCAGTTTGGCGATGGCTGTATGGCCATTGAGGCAGGCACCCGTTAGCGCAAACGCACCCTTCCGTCGCAAGTCCACTCCTCCGGCAAGAAGAAGCTCGACAATGGTAGCATGACCCCGACCTGCAGCAATTGCTAGTGCAGTGAAGCCGTCCAGGTCGACGGCATCGACATCGGTCCCAGATTCGATGCATAGCCTTGCTACCTCTGCATGCCCGTATTGAGCTGCTAGCATAAGTGCGTTGTTTGCTTGACCGTCTTTGATTTCCAAGGATGCGCCATTCTCGAGAAGCAACTTGACGGCCGGAACATGCCCTAGAACCGCCGCAACATGCAACGGTGTATACCCTTTTGCGCTCACAGCATTTATATCCAGCCCTTTCTCGACCAGAAGTTCAACAACCGCTGCATGAGGGACCGAAACATGGAATAATGTATTCCCATTGATATCTGTTGCATGGATGTTGGCGCCGGCATCCAGCTGTAGTCGCAGCATGGAGGCGTGGCCTCCTCGTGCCGCATGAAATGCCGGGGTAAAGCGGTGGTCGTCAAGGGCCGCGGGATCTGCCCCTCCTTCTAGAAGGAGGTAAACAACTTCTGTAAAACCGTGCAATGAGGCGACATGAAGCGGCGTTTGTTTCGCCGAATTCGTGACCCCTAGGTCAGCTCCAGCAGCTAGTAGCAGCTGGACCAGCTCAGAGTGACCATTGATACAAGCAGCAATGATCGGATTCGAATCAGGATCGTGCTGGTTTTCGGGATCGGCCCCAGCCTGTAGAAGAAGCTTCACAATTTCCACATGACCCATAATGCAGGCAGCATGCATCGACGTGATGTTGTCTCCGGATACTTGGTCAATATCCGCTGCTGAAAGCTCCTGCTCGAGAATGGCCTCAACAACGTTGACGTGACCCTGGCGTGAGGCGAAGTCGAGGGGACTGTATCCATCGTTGTTATGTACCGAGAATCGAGAACCGTGCTTGCCGAGGATGCGAATAACATCTGCCTGGCCTCTGACAGCGGCGAAGTGGCTTGGGGTGTTACCTAGGTCGTCCGTCGCCGAGATATCAGCTCCAAAGTCGATGAGAACCTGGACAATGTCTGCGAATCCCGCTGCTGCGGCGAAGTGTATCGGAGTCCAATCGTTCTTTGCCCTTGCGTCAACTTCAGACGTGGCGTGTGACTGCAAGGAGTTGCCATCATCAGGCTCCACGCTCTGCTTCAGAAGGCTGCGAACGACGTCAAGACGGCCCGCCAAAGAGCCAACATGTAGTGCAGTTTTTGCCTTTTTGTCTTGTGCACGACGATCGGCACCGCGCTTTAACAATATTTGCACGGCTCGGGCGTCTGAATTGCAGGCCGCTTCATGTAGCGGCGTTCTGTTGAGCGAGTCACGCACATTAACATCCACACCTCGATCCAGAAATACCTGCATAAGCTCCAGCCTACCCATTAGCGAGGCAGCATGCAGTGCAGTTCTCCCGTCCTTGTCTTGTGCGAAAATGTCGGCTCCCGCGTTCAGTAAGACCTTTGCCATATCAATATTACCGAAAGAAACAGCCTCCTGTAAGATTGGAGTTCCGAAGCGCATAGTCTTTGCGTTGACGTCACAATGACCGCTATCCATCAAATATCGGGCGGTTTCTATCAAATTGAGTCGCGCCGCGTAATAGAGCGGTCGTTCATCAACTACCTCGTGTGGCTCGTCCTTACGCGTGTCTGCCAAGTCGTACCAACCGCGCCACAACTTCCACACGGAGTCCTCTTGCGTAAAAAAACGATTGCATCTTTGAACAATGTCGGCATGTCCAGACGCAGACGCATGCAGATACCACGCGTCGGCTGCATAGTCGCGGAACGATCGGTAAATAGGGTGAATTGTCTTTTCAGGAGTTTTCCAAACATGAGGCATGCTGATATAATGCAAGCACTTATTGGCTAGTTCACTAATACATGCCGCCTCCATCAAAGAGCGAAGCCGCTCATTGGCTACCATTGTGCTCATTTTCTCGGTTGTGCGGAGGATGAAGTATTGTTTTGCTGAAAAGTGTGTGAAATGCACCGTGTGGTTAGCAGGGTCTGTCCTTGGTCCGGATTTGTGTATCTCTAGAAGCGACGCAGACATTTTCCGTATTTCATTATCAATATAGTCGTCTTCGATATAGTCTGGTAGTTCATCAAGAGGAACACTGTCGCAATCGAGGTCAACGAGGAGCGCCTCTGTCAGTTCGGCAACAGTCAGTGGCCGTGCCGCGAAACCTACCCATCTCATCATAGCGTAGGCTCGTTCCCTGGCCGCAGGCTCGCGTTTTTCGATTATTCCCCAGTTACGATCGTATAGATGATCGAGTCCCGAGGGAGTCTTGTCAATCTCAGCTTCAAGTTTCGCCGCAGACTTGTACCTGCTGAGCCGGGATCCCTGGAGTTTGATCCAAAGGAATTGTCCGTTGCAGCGCTTTGCCATCTTTTGGCTCAAGTCGTCGCACAGCTTTTCATCTCTTCCGAAAAGTTTCTCGTGAATAACAGCTTGGCAATATTTGCCAATGTCTGGATGAACATCCTTTTGCGAAATTTTATATTCAACAGCGGCTACCCCGGCGGTTCCGAATAAACCTTGGCGGATAGCTGTCTCATCGCGGCTTGTGATCAAGATGCGCGCGCGGGTTCCAGAAATTACCCAGCTTAGTGTCTTTAGAAAGTCGGTAACGGAGCAGCTGTCTTCTCCATTCTCACATTCGTCCAAACCGTCCATAACAAATATGCACTCTGGAAACATTTGCACGGCATCCTTGAATGCACTGATAACATCTCCTGTTGAGGCGGCCTGCCCTTGGCTTGACTCGAATCGTCCACGAAGCGCATAAAAGATTGTGTCATTGGACAAAAGCTGAACAAGCCACAAGCGGAGAGCCGAAAAAGGATCTCGACGACTCTCAAGATCATCTGAGGAGAAGAAATAGAAAGCAACCGGCGTTTTCAACGTAGATTGTAAATGAGTAATGAGGGCGCTGCAAAGGATTGTTTTGCCGAAAGCGGCCGGCCCATTGATCCATAGAAACTTGGCGACAAGATCGTCTGAAGAAACCCACTTGAGAAACTCTTTTCGATTGAGAATCCACTGGCATGTGCTTTCTTGCTTCCGCTTCAGTGCAGTCTCGAAGATTTCGTTTGGAGTGTGGCGCCCCAGAAGCCACGAGTGCAGCTCTCTGCGGGTCTTCGCATTAAGGCTTTGCTCAATCTTGAGAATTGCGCTTCGAACATCTTCTCTATCTGCCAAGACACGAGTCAGGTCATCGGAAACCTGCTGATGGGCCGCTGCTGCGTCGTCTGTGACTCGAAGAGGCCCAGAGGAAGGCACCAAGTCGTGCAATTTCTGAACTACCAGTTCAATCTGCTCAACCCTGGCTACGCAAGTGGCCTTGTCCTTGAGTGCCCATTTGAGTCTGGCACGCCGGGAGATGGATGATATTCCGAAGGGGTTCTGAGGGGTAGTCAGGTCGCTACCGGAGCGAAGAATTCCCGTGAGGTCCAGGAACAACAAGCCATCTCTGCCTGCGCAGACATCCCGAAGGAGTATCAGAAGCTTCTTGACAATGTCCGCAGTGCGCTTATCATGGAGAGCGACATGGTGGCGACTCTTAATGACGTCGTCCTTGTCGTTGCCAAAGGTGCTGTTCGGCTGGAACCCGGCGGCTAGGCCCCATTTGTCAAGACGCAGCCGCTCGGCCTCGACACGCAGGCCAAGAAACGCGATATCGCCATCAAACTTCTTCCATGCGTCAAACCTGGCGACAGCTTCTAGACAGACACTGAACAGCCCAGAGAGCCCGAGAACACCCACTGCTAAACCGACGGGTTCCATGCCAGCGTTTTCGGGTCGTGGAGCGGAGGATGTGTTGTGGTTGCGTTAGTTGAAGCAAGAGACAAACGCGGGTATCGGTTCAAGTACTTAACGCCGACAGGATCCCTATAGAAGGGCCAAAGGCGTGCGGCGGGAACTGTAGAACATCATCACCACTCCCAGGAACCAGGTTGCAAAAGTCTGGTTTGCCTCATTCATCAACCATCAGCTGTGGCTTGGCACGCCGCAGCGGCTGAGCGGGCTGTGCCGGGCATGCGCCAAAAGTGTACAAGACTGTACACCCAATCAATCGCTCAGCGAGCAGACGGGGCTCGTCAAATGGAAAAACATAAAGCGGACGCCGTAGGTATTTCCTGTCTATGCGAAGCTGCGAAGTAACGTTGTTGTCCGGAGGAATTTTATCCAGGTACCTATGTACTGAAAGTGGAGGCGCAAACGCAAACCTATGCATTCATCAGCAACGATATAAGGGCAGATACGAAAGATAGAGAGGATGTCCAAAAATAGAAGATAAAACACTAGAAATATTAGAGAGAAAAAAAACGTACGAAGGAAAAAACTACAAAACATATAGAAAGATTAAAGAAATATAAAAAATATAAAAAATATAAGATAAGTTCAAATTACCGCGCCAGACACATATCCGCATCTCCGTTCCTATCCGGCGGGGTCCAGCCATCTTCTTCACCTCTGGCTTTGGCAGCTCCCGCGTTTTCTCTCATCCAAGAAACAATACCAAACAACCGGCACACGACAAATAACAATCTTGACAATCATGTTGATCCAAGAGAGTTACGTCGACGTCGAGACGAAGGCCCGGGGCTCGATGCGTAAGACCTGCTCTCCTAAACGGAGTCATCCGGCTCTGTGCTAACACCTCACCAGGAATCTTTGTCTTTCACCCTGCCATTCCCGGATTTCCCAACGCGTAATCAAGCAGCCCTGCTCTTCCCATTCCAACAAGTCAACGCGCAGCCAAGCTGACACGTGCGAAAGCCGCTTTCCCGGAGTCTGCTTGTTTAGTGAAATCTACCAAGGTCCGTCGACACCGTCCCGCTTGAGCAGATCCGGCTTGTTGTTACCGTATTGACTGACATGCTGCGCAGTCACGGGCCCTGTTGCGCGTTTTGCGCGGCAGATTGCCGGCCATGGCTACATTGTCGCCGCCCCGTCGTCGTACCACGATTTTACCGATCCGGAGCCGCTGAAGTACGATGTTGCCGACACCGACCGGGGCAACCAGTACAAGATTCAAAAGGCACTCTCTCCACCAACATTCTGCAACATGATACCTAGTATTCACCCAGCTAACGGGAACATAGACCCTGGAAAGTTACGATGCCGACTCGTACGCCACCGTCGACCACCTCCTCAGCCTGCCCACCTGCACCGGGCTCATCGGCGCCACCGGCATGTGTCTCGGCGGCCACCTCGCCGTCCGCGCCGCCGTATGTTTCCTCCAACTTCCACTCTAGCATCCTCATCAAGCATTTCTCTAACCTCCCACTTCCCACATGCAGCTTGACCCTCGCATCACCGCCTGCGTGTCCTACTTTGCCACCGACATCCACAGCCGCACTCTCGGCCCCCACGACGGCGCCAACACCGCGGCGGAGGCGCCCCCCGGCAGCACCCACACGCTCGACCTGTTCGGCAGGTTCAAGGGTGAGGCCGCCATGATCTTCGGCATCCAGGACACGCACGTCCCCGCCGCGGGGCGCGACCTCATCCGCGCCAAGATGCGCGAGGCCGGCGTGGTCGCCAGCTTCCACGAGTTCGCCTGGGCGCAGCACGCCTTCATCCGCGACGAACTCAGCAAGGGACGCTACGACCCGGCCGTCACAAAGGTCTGCTTCGAGATTTTACTCGAGGTCTTCGGTCGCGTCCTCAAGACGGACCTGGGCGAAAAAGGCGCCGTAAAAGCCGTCGAGCACGACTGTTAGTTGTTTCATCTGGCTGGCTTCACGACTTGCTGAGGGCGCAAGTATTTTTAATCAAGATTTATTGAGTTATGTCTGTCTGCTCTGCGTCCGAAGTATCCTGCTTGGTCGTAACGCCGTCGCCCGATTTCTGTTCCCCAAGGGCAAAGCAACAGGTTGATGAACAAACATGGCAGAATCGAATGGAACATTGGAAATTTGCACAGGAACAATAGCCGTCGCAATGGTAAGCTAGTTAGTCAATTGTGCGAGCCTCTGTCAAGAATGAAAAGCACGCCACATAATTATAGTGTACAACGGCACAGTCGAGAGAGGTGGCGCTCTGGTTATACCATGTTTACAGAAGAAATAATGAACAGATGAAGCATACAATACAAATAACAGCCTGAAGTGAGAACAACAACATGTAGTTGCTGGGCAATCTTCACCGCCCACCAGTATATACCGTCAGAGCCAACACACAGCGACTGCACGCATAGATACGGGCACATACATACACGCATACGCAAACATGAAAAACCAGCACTCGCATTCCCTTTGCAGCCCATCAAAACATTCCAACAGTTCATTTTCGTCCCATTCTCGTCTCGGCGAGTATCCCTTGCCCGCTTGTCGTATGATGCCATGAAATAAAATAACAAAAAACCTAGTAACCCAAAAGTGTTTGTGTGCCAGAAGAGCAGAAAGAAATTGGACAGAAAAAAGCAAGGACAAAGCAAAACTCATTCCAACAAGTTCATTCATTACAAAACAGGAGCACAGCTCATCGGCTGCAGAAAACTCATCGCATGCGGGCGAATTCATCATGAAGTGGGTAAAAGGAAGAAGCGAAATGCCCCAACGCACAATTTTGCGCTTGTTAGTAGAGGCATGTTTGCTTTGCTACCTTGTTCCACTTCGTTCATCCCCCCTTTTTTAGAGGAACTGGCACTTTCTCTTCTTCTTCTTGGCCTTGAGGGGCGGCAGTGGCTTGCCATCGGCGTTGGCGGCTTGGGCGGCGGCGCCGGCCGACTCGACGTTTCTGCGGTCGTTGGCGACAATGGTGAGGATAGCGCGGTCAAAGATCTCGTCAACACCGAGCATCTCCTTGCTGCTGCACTCCATGTACTGGGCGTCCATTTTGCGAGCAACGGCCATCCCCTGCTCCGACGTGACAGGCGTCAGGCCTTGCGTCTTGAGCATGTCGATGCATGTACGCTTGTAGCGGAGATCCGACTTGAGACCGACGAGGATGAGCGGCGTGTAGGGGCAGAAGTGGAGGACTTCGGGGTACCACTTTGTGCGAGGCCATACTGTCAGTAAGATGCGCCGAGGTAGAAGCGTGCTGGGAGGGAGGGAATTGGGGGGCAGTCAATGGCGAAGCAGACAAAGATCAAGTCGGTCTCTGGGTAGGAAAGCGGGCGAAGGCGGTCGTATTCCTCCTGTCCGGCGGTGTCCCACAGAGCCAGCTCTACGGTCTTGCCAGAAGGCGGGTGGACGGGGTAGGTGATGTAGTTTTCGAAGACTGTCGGGACATATTTCTGTCGGATACAAAAATGTTAGCGACCACAATGTTGCGCCCGTTGCTGCCGCCGTGCGACTTTGCGCCCGCGCGGCAGAGTTGATGTCGTAGTCTCTTCGCACCTCGGGAAAGTAGCCCTGGCTGTAACTGATGAGCAGACAAGTCTTGCCGCAGCCGCCGTCGCCCACAACGACAATCTTCTTGGAGTAGGTGGGCGGCTCGGTAACGTGCGTCGCCGCCGACTCGCGGCCCGAGGCGGAGCTCATGGTGGTGCTCACGGTGCCGTCGCTGGATCTTGTGCGCTGCTTGCGGCGCGGCTGATCTTGGTTGGCCTGGGCGTAGTATGAACTGCGATATTGCTGCTGCGTCGCCATTGTTGTTCTGTGTATGTGTGTGTCTATAAAACCGGAATGCAAAAAAGAAGAAGACGATTACCGTCGAAGAGTGTGACGTGTAAATCCGGTGCAATGTCTCTTCCCCTTTGCGACAGCGGTGGCTCAAGGGCGCTCTTGTCCAACGTTGCCCAGGTGATCGAGGAACCGTCCGTTTGTTCGAGGGTGGGCGTTTATGTGAAACAGCCTGGATAAGGTAGTGAAAGCTCTAGCCCAGAGTCGAGTTGTGCAAGCTGTGAGACTTGGATGGTATATTCAGATGCGGCAAAAGAATAAATAGTCAACGAAGCAAAAATGTGCATGTTGGGAAGGAAAAGGCCGTGGCGATTATCGCAGCTGAAGCGGGCTTGTCTTTCTTTTGGCGGGCTCATGCTGGGTCGTGTGTGGTGCTGGCGGCCCAAAGTCAACATGTTGGCAGGGCAACGCGAGGGGGCCTCTGGGGGCCGACCTTGTTCAAATACCAAGTTGTCGCGGGGTGGCCACTACTTCGATAATCGCTTTCTTTTAATAGTATCGAGAAGAGGGGCTATATTCGATGGGAATTGAGTGTTAATGGTGTCTCGGAGCATTTTTTTCTGGATCGCTGCTGCATTCGTAACCAAGTGTAGATTTGGATCTTGTGCATGCACAGGCAGGCCGTAGCGACGTTGAATCTATCACGAGCTCATAGGTATACAGAGTTGACAGCACGTGTCGGTTGACCAATTATCCACGAGCGGACTCAAATAGGTATTGCGCCTCGTATTTCGAGTTTAGCATTCTATCTGGGTGAGCTCGTACTGGGCAAAGCTTTGCGGCTAGTCAACAGCTGCCAGCTGGCGATGGTACATAGTTATTCGTTTGCTGCCACTCGCCGTGTTTGACGAGTGAAATTCAAATCTTGCACCTCACTTCCTCCTCATCAACGTAGTACCAAAATCATTTCCTTGACTCCATATCATTGCCCGAGAAAAGCCCTGCATCTCCCCTCTTTCACATACGAACGCCATCGCTTTTTAAAATGGCAGATTCACCCCTCAGCGACATTCTGCATCATGAGGCGTGGCGAATTCAGCGATTTGACGTTCACCTGCAAGCAGCAGTCATTCTATGAAAGCCATCGTTCGTGCACAATCGACCATTCTGAAAGACGACATTCAAAGCACTCCAGTGACCGTATGTAGGCTCGAGAAATTGAATAAGGACTGTGTCGCTAACTCGTGACAGCAAAAGCACGATTCATGTATTCTCAAAATTGACATGAGCAAATTTGAGGCTTGAAATTGTCGGCCTATTTGTCAAGTTTCTCTATACTGGATATTACAACAGTGTCGGAGACCGCCAGCAGTCTAAGCTGTCTGATTCGGGGCCCGACATGCTCAAGGAAGGTCTTGCCCACATCCACGCCTACAACATCTCATCGCAATACAAGGTAGATAAGACGGTAAACCTCTCGGTTTCGAATCTAAAAACTCTTCTTCGAGAGTTTCAAGACACCAGCGGCTTAATGTGGGCGTTGCCACAGGCTGTTCGAGAGGCGCATTCTTTGGCAATCGCGCACAACACGGGCTCGTCTATTCCCAGCGTGTTATCCGCATCTTTCGCACATCATCTCGATAGCCTACGCGACGCTGTTTCCGAAATCCAAACTATACCAGGGGTTTTTAAATTCGTATTGGACAACTGTGCACGAAACATCGCGTCATGCAGAAATGCTACCGCCGAGCACGAGAAGAGGACGCAGGAAACGAGGGAAAAAGATGGTCAAAGATCGGCGACCATGAGCGAAGCGATACAGCTGATTCGAGATCGGAAGATTTGCATCAGTGAGACTTGCAAGTACCTTTTTCGCGCCAACATCACGGAAGCATATGAGGTAACTTGCCGGTCCTGCGATCAGAAGCAAAAATTGATACCCACGGCACCAGGCACAGTAGCAAAGGCGATCTCGACCAAGACTGCCAATCCGGCCCCAGCCGCGGCCGCGGCCACAAGCCTGTACCAAGCCTCGTGGCAAACTCGGCACCCAAGCCCATACCAAGCCTCGTGGCAGGCCCGGCAAAAATTGGAGTCTTTGGCACCACTCCGACAGCGAGTCCAGTGTCGAGTACAGCTCCAGCAGTAAGCCCTTTTGCTCTGAAGTTCCAGTCGCCAAGTCCTACCAATCGTCCCCAGGACGGCTTCCGAGGCAGAGGCACACTAAGAGGCCCAAGGCCGTCTCAAGCAAGCGGAAGCTTTTATGGGCAGACGCAGGGGTGAAAAATTTCAATTACGGGTAGCCGAGATATGATTGCAGCTGTTTTGCCATGAAGAACCGATCGAGGAGACTGTTTGATTATGATTATTATGTTGGTAATCCACCCTGTAGCTAGTTACTTGTTACGCGGGCATTGCCCCCAAATCATATGGCTTAGGTAAGCTGGCTGGCCCGTGCATAAATTTATCACATAAATTTAACTCCGTTCACCAGTCAACTGCAAAAATGTTCAACTCCATTGCCGCTGTATCCAATCCATCAGCCCGGCATGGCGTCGACGCAGACTCCCAGCAAGTACGTCACTCTTGTGTCGGGTGACGGCTTTGAGTTTGTGGTGCTGCGCGAGGCTACCATGATCAGCCCGATCATCAAGGGCATGCTCGAGCCCAGAAGTGCGTGAATATCGGATCGTTCCATCCCCACGAGTACTGGGGCCAAGTGGCTTCTCATCATCTCGCGCAAGAAACTGGAAGCTGTCATTTGCTGAGAAGCCTCGAATGCTTACCAGGGAACCCATGCTGCAGGCCAATTCGCTGAAGCACGAGATGCTCGATGCGTTTTCCAAGAAATGAGGTAAGCTTTTCTGCATGCGATACGACGTCTAGCAGCGCCTCCTTGGCGGGGAGGAGGAGAATGACGATATAGGCGCCTTAATCGCCGAGCTTTTCCTGACAGAACCGCCGTGCCATTGACGGTCTCGTCTCCGGCAACGGCTGGTCCTGGGTGATTTCCAAACTACACTTGAACCGACTCTCTTGCCTCGCCTGCTCGATCGTGTCGAATCCTATTCTGGGGAGGGTTCAAAGGGCTTCGATGGTGCTAACCTGGTCCGCCAAACAGTGCCGTGGTCCTCGACAAGGTGGTGGAGTACTTTCACTACTGGTACCGATACCGCAACAGCGAGGACGTACCCGACATGGATATACCGGTCGAGATTTGCCTCGAGGTGCTGGCGGCGGCAGACTACCTGGGTCTGGACCAGTAAGCGTCGAGCCCACGACCCTGAGCCGACCGAATTCTGACTTGATTGACTTGCAGGGGCAAGATGAATAAATGAAACAGGTTTTCCATACACGGTAGGCGTTTTTTGGCCATGGAACCTTGTGTGATTTCGGCGTTTAGGTATCGTTACTGGCGCAACCGAGAAGAGCAACAGCCCTCGCATTACATATGAATGAAGACAATGGACCATTGACGACCGACGGCATTGGAATGTGACGACAAGCTGGGGGCTTGGAGGTGTTTAGGGGATAGCATATCTGCATACGTGACCATGTGTGACTGCACCATTTCAGCATATACGTTCGACTCTTCAGCTCTACCGTGGGTCGAACGTCTATTAGAGATGGAAGATTGAAATATCCCGCTCACTCTGTGTAGCTCAGGTGTGCATTGAGTGTTCACTTTTTCTGCTGGGAGACATTTCTCTTTTCTTTCCTTTTCTTTTTCCCTTGGCCCTTTTAATTTTTTTGCCACTCTTGCCCTTGCTGATTCCCGTTTGCCGGGTGCAGTTGATGAGTGTTCCCGATGTTCTGCCAAGGCGAGCTATTCACGAACTGGATGCAAGAGAATCTTTCGTATGGTGTAGTGATGCATCAACAGTGGTCCACAGCAAAGTGCTTTGCCACGGTGCTGTCAGGATACCCACCACAAATTCCTGCATGTAATAAGCCTGTGAATGGGGCAAACGGTCTTGGGTGAGAAGTAATGAGGTGATTAGTACTCCGCGGCTTGGTGATGGTGTAAGCGGCGATTGGGTCTTTTTGGTGTGTCTTGGGGTGGATACGAATGACTAGAAGAAGAAAGAGGCAACGTCTGTGCGAGGGTCCAAGGCGTTCAGCTGAATGTGCAGTGGCAGCAGCATTTGTTTTAGCCAATTACGGTCGGGATGGTACTCAATCTATCCTCGAGGGTTGAGCTGATAGAGCAACGTCTGATGAGTACAGATGAGATGGATTCATCTATCTCTCGCGCCAGTTCGCCCGGTATCTTGGTTTTTATTTAGCATATCAATTTCCGCCCCCGCGGATTTGTTTAACATTAAAAAGTGGGTGCTCGCATCTCGGCCCTTGACAACACAGACCCAGGCTCTTGGCAAGGTGACATTGGGGCGAGTCGAGGTTGGTGTGTTTTGTTCGGATATTGGCCATGGGTTTGGTTGTATTCCGGGTTTTCCGACGTTCTGGGGGGACCGACGATGTACACTTGATTCAGGCCATCACAGGACAAGGCGAGAGGGAGAGGGAGGCAGGGTACCTACAATGTACCTACATAGGTAGTAATGTACTGTACCTACAGAAGGGAAACCTGGCGCTCGGTACTAGCGGTGATGTGGTCAGCGCTGCAGTGCTTGGCACCTAGGTCCTTGAACTCTTGATTCTGGTGCACACGGGACTAGTTTTTTTTTTTCTTTTCCTTTTTGCGCTTCTGCGGCCCCGTCGTCATTTGTATTATTTTACATTTATTTATCAGGTTTTCTTGCCTGCCAGGATTCTGGGTGGGTGTTGGCGTGGCTTGACGGCTTGCAGTATTAGGCCCGGTACTTGGGACGCCCACCACCGTGAAGGCCATCACACCACCACCAACCCTATCACCGCAACGTCGGGGTCGGCGCCCTGCCAGACTTGAGGACAAAGAGAGCAAGTGGTGGTGAGAGGATCCGCATGATGCGTCCCTCGTCTGCTCTTGCTCTGCATTTCTTGAATACTCACATCTTCAGGGATCCGCCCGAGACATCCATGCACGTCTAACGCTGTGTTTGTTTGGACGGGCGTTTTCCTCCCATTGCGGGATGCGGGATGCGGGCGGGAAGTAAACGACATGTCGGTGTAATGGGGGAAGAAATGACTGTTGGTGACAAGATGGAACAAATGAAAATGAGATAAAACAAAATAGAATAACTAAAAATCGCGATTGTCTCATCGTCGCCCGCCTGTCGATGTTGCACAAGAACCCTTGTGCCTTATCGGACCCCGCCCGCCGGTTGGCGTCTTTTTTTGTTCCTCGTGCTCTTGTTCCGTTTATAAAAAGATTTGTTCTCTTTTTCCGCACTAAAATTCATGGCGCTGTTTCTCTTTTGCGTTTTCCTAAACAAGTAGTATTTCCGACGAGTCCCGAATACTTACCAGGAGCTGAGTTAGTTACGCGTCCTTGTTGTATCTCGTTGACTCTTGCTAGAACCGGCTCGGCCCACCACCTTCGTTAGTACCTACCTGTGACCTGCGGCAAGAAAAGCGCGGGCTTACTCCGTGCAGTACACCGACACGGACGGGGCCAACGCCAACGAGAGCCGTTTGGGATCCCGCATAGCTGGGTGTCGAGCGTGTTCGATTGGAGCTAGTCTGGTCTAGCTCGAGCCCTCGGCCTCTTTCCTTGGTTCATCTTTTCTCCCTCTTCCCCCCTCTCTCCTTTCTCCTTCTGCTTCTTGGTTTCTCATAATAAGTGCTTGCAGGCAGTCCGCGGATGGAGTCACCCAACTAGGCATGACCCCCGCGACAGGGAACAACTCTCACCGGGTCATCCGTGAAACAAATCATGCCTAAAATATAAAAATAAAACTCCCGAATGTAAATCATAGAGCGTGGTGTATGCTGTCAAGCAGTCTAATCATGTCGGCCTCCACATCGTGCAAGCAATTACTTACAGCTGGGCGATCCCAGGCAGCGTCGCAGCCGGGCCACATGGGCTCGTGGCGACCTTTTTGTCAGTGCGGACCCCCGGAGAGCGACGGCCGGTATATGCAAATGGGAACCCCTAGTACTAACTCGGTATTATTGCTGTCCTGTAATCATAATAGTTGGTTACCTGTAGCTCAAATGAGCCCAGTCGGGTCTGCTCTCGGGTCTGAGCCATTGTCCTCGTCGCTCAACTTCTATTCGGGTAATAAAACTGCCCGCTGTTCCATTTTTCTCCTTCTTCCTTTCCCTTTTTCGAATTCTTTGTCTCAAAAGTGAAGATCAGTTTTACCAATTGCGACTTTCGCCGTCCAACCCGCCGCCACAAGGGCCCTCTTCCTCCTTGCAACCTTTCCACGATACGACCTCGTCTCCTCCTCGCTACGACTCTACACCCCAGCAACTTTCGTCCTTGCTTTATTCCCACGGTCTTCCGGATACAGTCTCGACAACTATAACAAGATCAACATGGCTACGCCTGCCGGCATTTCGCACACCGATGGCGCTAAGCTGTCCGTCCTCCGGGGCTACGACACCTCTCATCTGGTTGTCGATGAGACCTGGGTGAAGCAAAAGTCGGGCCAAGTCGAGTTCCCCAAGTAAGCTTATACACTGTGTTTTTTATGGTTATTTCGCGCAGGGGCCCCTGACGCGTGGTCTCAGATCCAAGGCCGTCACGGCGCAAGATGCCATCGCCGAAGGTGGACGGACATATCATGGCTACAACGCCGGCTGTAGGTTCTTCACCAACACCCGTCACCCACCACCATCAACCAGGCAGTACGGATGTTCAGCTGACACAATTCCTCTCTCTCACAACAGCTTACTATCTACCAAATGATCCTGTAAGTTTCCTGCTCAGTGGCAATAAATTTTTACCTTGCGCGTTTGTCAGCTCCAATTTTTTCGCCTCGCGCTGACCAACCTACCTGCAGGAGGAACACGAACGACTGGGTATGTCAGACTATAACCTCCCAACTACCTGGCCGCGCACTCGGCGGGTCTTTTCAGCGTGGCGCCGCCTAACCATGAACTTGTCTCGGTAGATCATCAACACCGCATGGTCCGTCTCATCCAGCATGGCAGGCTGGGCCTCGCACCTGTCCAGAACCCCAAGAACGTCATTGACGTTTGCACCGGCACCGGCATCTGGGCTATTGAGTATGGTGAGTCTGACCGCCCCCGTTTGCCCTCTGCCCTCCTCTCCCTTTCTCCTCTCCACGAGGGACTCTTTCAATTGCACAACAATGCCATGTTTACCTAGTCCGCTGTTCATTCTGTCTTATTCTGTTGACTGACCGCGCACCCGCAGCCGCCGAGCACCCCGACTGCGCCGTCCTCGGCAGCGACCTGAGCGCCATCCAGCCGCGCGAGGGCGTCCCCAACTGCACCTTTATCCAGACCGACGTCGAGAAGCAGGACTGGGACTACGGCGAGGGCCGGAACCAGTTCGACTACGCCTACTTCCGCTACATGGTGACGTGCTTCGACGACATGCCCGCCGTCCTGCGCAAGGCCCGCGATAGCCTGCGCGAGGGCGGCTACGTCGAGATCTTCGACACGCCCATCCAGGCGCTCAGCCTCGATGGCAGCATCGACGGCACCGCGCTCGAGGAGTGGGGCGAGGTCGGCCGCGCCGCCGGCCGCAAGCTCGGCCGCGACCTGGCCAAGCCCCGGCAGTACAAGCGCTGGCTCGAGGAGGCCGGCTTCGTCGACGTCGTCGAGACCATCATCGCCGCCCCGGTCAACGAGTGGTGCCAGGACGAGCACCAGAAGGAGGTCGGCCGCTTCATGTTCCACGACTTTTACGCCCTCATCGGCGGCCTCAAGAAGCTGGTCCTCGCCGCGGGCTACACCTCGGACGACGCCGACGACTTCTTGCGCCGCGCTCGCGCCACCATTGAGGACCCCAACGTCCACGCCTACTACGAGAAGTGAGTCGCTCATCCCGGCATTTTTTCTTGATATTGTTCTATTCTTTTGTTTTGCTTGTTCGTGTGACGCTTCGGATCCTCGGGCTTGGATCCGAACAACTGTCGTGATCAAGGTCAAACGCTAACTATTGCTCCTCTCAACTTACAGATACATCGTCTATGGTCGAAAGCCCCGCGCCGACGAGGTCCCTGCCAAGCTTTCCACAGCCGACGGGGAAAAGGAGAGCACAGAAGCCACCGAGGCCGAGACGCCGACCAGTTTCAGTGGAATGATCATCTCTTCACTAGTCATGTACAGAGACTCTGTGCGCTTGATGCTGAGAAATAGGCTTGGTTTGGATGTTTGAGCCTTTTTCTTTCCTTTTAATGCATTTTCACGATAGCGTCTGAATTTCACTCTTCCTTTCTCTTCATGAAATGTCTGAGTTTTCCTCTACTAGGCGACACCACGGGGTCGATTTTGATTGAGTTACTCCAGGTGGAGATTGTGTTAAGAACCTAGAACCTTGCGCTTTCACCCCTCTACTGTTTTTAGCTCCTTTTCTCACCTTGCTAATATACTCGGCCGATGCCCGATTCAATAAGGCCCCTTTCTTGCTTCCCTCCAACCTGCTTCGTCTTGATACTGTCTTTGGGGTTGGCCGGTGACAGATGCAGGGCCATGCAGGCAGGGGCTTGCGTTGGGTTGCAGTGCGTCATCCGTCGCCCCCGCTCGCCTGCAGACATCTTGTCTCGGAGCTTAGACTTGCATCTGATGGAGCTGAAGGTGCATGCTCCCCGGCGACAAGGCTCGGAGGGCGCCCGGATGCCCAGCCCCGGACCGGGGCAGCCCGGCCCGGTCACCTGCACCGTGACGAAACATGGCCGGTTACTTTTCAGCAGTGGAGACGAGTTCATGTATTTTTCAAACGCGCGAAACGCGCGCAACGTGTTGCTCTGGGACGTGGCTGCGTCCATCGCACTCCAAAGCAGCACCCGGCCGCACTTGCATGGCGATGCAGTGCTGCAGACGAGCCCAGAAGCGGACGGATGAGAAAAGTGTGCTACTCGATTTAAGTCAAAAGTTTGACAATGGGAAAGACTGACATACTGCCTTGATGCTGTTACTCGCCCGAGGACGACGCTCCTAGCCAGCGCAACTGCCGAGATTCGTTGTGGTCTCACCTGTCTCGAATCCTACGAATCCTACGAATCCTACGAATCCTACGGAGATCAGAGTACGTCGCTCCTCCTTGTAGTATGCGCACCTGGGATTTGGTGAGGCTGTATACGTAAAGATGAATGAAGCGTGTCAAGTAAGGGCACCTCGAGGTTGGACACCGTGATGTCCGGCCCGGAGTCCGAGGTCGCACGTGCCTTCCCGTGGCGGGCAGCATGTGACAGTCCCCGCAAGACATGTCGGGCTAGATTTACGAGGGTCTTGAAACAAACGACGGAAGGGCGACATATGGGCGCCGTTGGAGAATGGTTGTGCTTAGGTCCATGGCGGCTCTTGCGCCTGCGTGTTCATGTTTTTTCTACCGAGTGTTGAATATTTCATGCCACTTGCGGGCGACTCAGTGCCCGAGCAATATGCGTTGAGCGATGTTTCAGGAATTCCGAATTTGAGCGTTGGAAGATGCTATTGTGGCAATCTGATGGAGGTGTATCGTCACTAATCTTGGTAGAGTAAAATCACCGAAACAATACCAACTGACGTCAATGTTGGAAGTTTATATTTGCACGTGTCGCTATATGTATGCATACATGCCCGAAACAGTCCCCGCTTACATGATCCTACTTGGCTGCAGGCTCATTTAGCTGCGCGACGATCTCACCGAGCAGCGCCTTGCTCTTCTCCGCCACCTGCGCCTCCGCCCAGCGCTCGAGGTCCTCGGCGCGCGGTCGGCCGTCCGCGTCAAAGCTGGCCATCGTCTTGGCCCCGGCCGGCACCGCGACCGCCGTGGGGGCGACGCGCAAGCCGACAACGCCGAGGACGGTGCGGAGGTGGCCGGCGGCCGAGGCGCCGCCGCGGCCGGCGTAGGAGACGATGCCGGCGGGCTTGCCGCTCCACTCGTGGAAGAGGGCGTCGATGGCGGTCTTGAGGCCGGCAGGGATGCTGCCGTTGTACTCGGGGGTGAAGAAGACAAAGGCGTCGTAGCGGCGGATGAGGGCGGACCAGCGGCGCGTGTGCTCGTGGGCGTAGGCGGGCGTCGGGTCGTCCTTGGGCCGGCCGGCAGGGTGCGACGGCTCGTCAAAGATGGGCAGCCGGTGGTCGGCGAGGTCAACCGTCTCGAGGCGCACCTGGCCTGCGGTGGCGGCGGCGGCGGGCTCGAGATACTCGGTCTTGATGAAGTTGTGGATGTGAGGGCTGAGGCGCGGGGTGCGGGTGCTGCCGATGACGAGGGCAATGGTCTTTCCGGTGACGGTCATGGCGGCGGGGAATGGGTGGTGGTGAGCCGCGTGGTGAGTCTGCAAGGGTGCGTGGGATTTTGGGTGAGGTTGAATGGAGATGAAGCTATCGCCGTCAGTTGACGCACTTGCTGGTAGAAATAGTCGCAAGGAGCTTATTTTAAGCTTTAGGTTTTATTAAAAATCACTAGCAAATGGGAGCTACCTGCCTTACCTAGCACAGCGGACATCATGACCAAACATTAGTCATGAAATGCCGCAGCGTAGGACAGGATGGCGACATTGATAATTGATTGCAATTTTCATGTCAGCACAGCTGCTGCATTTTAATGCATTATTATTAGTTACTGAATTGCAGGTACATATGTACATACATAGTTACGATACTGCGAGTGCCAGACGGTGCCTCCAGTGGCGGCGGCACCTTTCCGCGTGAATCCACCATACAAACAACCACCAAACAACCACCACTGACTGCACTAGAGGTGACGATCCTCCCTCCAACGCGAAAAAACGTGCTTCCAGCAACCCGTCAAGCGGACCAATTCACTCCCCATGTCCACAACAACTCTCGAATCGGGCGGTGTGCGAGTGGCCGTAGAGGGATGCGTGAGTATTTATTTATTCCATTCCTGGAATCTCGCGAGCCTGCTAGCTAATCATTCATGCAGGGACATGGCACGCTCAACGCCATCTACGCCGCCGTTGAACGGTCCTGCAAAGAACGGAAATGGGATACCGTTGATCTCCTCATTATTGGCGGAGATTTCCAGGTATTTGCCACCTGGATCTCTCTTTAAATTGATGGTACCCAATTGGCTAACTTTTCGCAGTCGGTCCGTAACGCGCAAGACTTGGCTGTCATGGCGTGTCCTGTCAAGTACCGAGAGCTGGGCGACTTTCCTGACTACTATTCCGGCCTTCGAAAGGCGCCCTATGTCACCATTTTCATCGGCGGAAATCACGAGGCCAGCTCTCATCTCTGGGAACTCTATTACGGCGGCTGGGTGGCGCCTAATATTTACTACATGGGCGCCGCTAACGTCTTGCGCTTCGGCCCCTTACGCATCGCCGGCATGTCTGGTATCTGGAAGGGCTTTGACTATAGAAAACCCCATTTTGAACGCCTTCCATTCAATGACAGTGACGTGAGGTCATTGTACCACGTCCGAGAGATTGACATTCGCAAGCTCCTACTACTGCGCACCCAGGTTGATATTGGCCTAAGTCATGACTGGCCTAGAGGCATCGAGAAACACGGCGACTCAGGACGCTTGTTTAGTAAAAAACCAGATTTTCGCCAGGAATCCATCGATGGAACGCTGGGAAATCTTGCTGCAGGATATGTCCTCGATCGCCTGCGCCCACCATACTGGTTTTCTGCCCACCTACACGTCAAGTTTGCTGCCCTGAAAAGCTTCAGCGCGCAGTCAGAATCTGTTTTGAAACAGACTGAAGAGCCAAAACCTTACAATCCAGTTCAAGAACCCCTGAAAGAGGCTAATCCAGACGAAATCGACTTGGACCTCGAGGATGACGATGGCGTGCCTGTCGAGCCTGACAATGGCAAAGCCCCAGAAACAGAGGGGCAGGACGGCTCGAAACTTGAGCAAACAGAAACTAACAAAGTATCTGATGAATTATTGGCCAAGCTGCCAGCCTCTTTCCAGAAACCACCACCGCCCCCCAAAAGCACCCCCGGGCAACCTGTTCCTCCAGGCATCACAAACACAGAGCTTCGCTTCCTCGCTCTGGACAAGTGTCTTCCGGGCAGACGATTTCTTCAATTGTGTGAAGTCCAACCCTTTGACAAAGAACAGTCTACCCGCCATCCTCCTAGTGACTCATACCCTCGCTACAAACTAGAATACGACCCAGAATGGCTCGCCATCACTCGAGTATTCCACAATGGACTCGTCATCGGCGATCCCGACTCTCAGGTGGCCGCCGATTTGGGTGAGGATGAGTATGTTCCCCTCATAGACAAAGAGAGATTATGGGTAGAAGACAATATTGTCAAGACCGGCAAGCTCGCTGTTCCTGAGAACTTTTCTCAGACGGCGCCACCATACGAGGAAGGCACTCCAGAAATCGTACACGATCAGCCGGATGAATATACCAACCCGCAGACAGCAGAATTCTGTCAACTTCTCGATTTGACCAATTTGTGGGATGCCAGCGAGCAGGATAGACAAGAACGGAAGAGCCGCGGGCCTGCACCCGTTGAGAGAGGTAACAGAGAGTTCCACGGGGGCGGTAGAAACCGCGGGGGCGGACGTGGCCGCGGCGGGCGAGGTGGAAGAGGCGGGCGAGGCGGACGAGGCGGACGAGGTGGCAGGAGAGGGCACGGTTTTCGTGGGACCTGAAGACATTTCAGTACCTTGATCCGGAAATTTCGTGCAAAGCCATAGTGAAAGAAACATTGCATTTGTAACATGCCTTGCTACATTGAGGGGGGATGCCTCCACCGTGATTTAGAGAAAGTAGTAGAATCACGGCGAGTTTAAAGAATCTTGACAATGTTTAAGCTAAGATATAGCTGAATCAATGCGATTGCTACGCTGTCAAATTGCACCTGTCAAGCACCATGGCGAATAATGGACGATTGTTAACGTAGTTCACTCATCATATCAAGTACATTACAGCCCCTTTCTGCCTACTTTGAGGCGGCAAGGGGTTCATGGGTATCATTTCATCACTCCTCAGCATCGCTTTGCGCCTCCCGCTTCACTCCCCTCGACGCCGACCCTGATCCTTGCCGCCGCCCCTGCTGCTGCTGCTGCTGCTGCTCTCCCCCCCCCTCCTCCTCCTCCTCCTCCTCCTCCTCCTCGTCACCCGGCTTCGTCGCCGTCTCGTCTTTTCCCATGACGTTCTCAAACTGCGACCACAGCGTCTCTACCGACGAGAACTCGTTGCCCACCTATACGCCCCAAGCCAAAAAAAAAAAAAATAGTCAGTAGACGCGTCGCGCGTGCCTCCTTCACGAAAAAGAAAAAAAAGGCTTACCGCGATGATGGACTCTAGCGAGCGGTTGAGCTTGTTGATGTTGCCGAGGACCTGCTCAAAGCTCTACAAAGGAAGCGTTTTTGTTAACAACGATAGCTGATGAGGGATGAGAAGAAGGCAGGGAAGGGGACGGACCATGGCAATGTCGCCGAGGAGAGCCTCGCGCTGCTGCTCAAAGTACGACTTGTCGCGGGACGGACCCGCGGAGGCGCCACGATGACCCGAGGCCATCCTTTTTTTTTTTTTGATCCGAGCGCGCGCTTTATCTTGTTAAATGACCCTAGATGGGATTTTCTTTTCCTCCCGTTCGCGTTTGTTGGGAGATTGAAGGGGGGTGTTGCAAAGGCGTTTGGATTCCGACAGCTGGCTCGCGTCGGGTCGCGTTTAGTGATGTGCGAAGCCGCTATAAACACAAAATGGGGATCAACCCCACCATTACCACCACCACCAACCCAACCCAACAGCCTTCTGCCCAGCCCATCGTACAAGTCCCGTCACACCAACACTAATCCAACAACGCACATGAGAAGAGAAAAGTAGCCATTATTTACCAAATTTCCCGAGAGCTTGGCTTTAGCTTGCCTGTTGACCGATCGTAATTCACATTTACGCGCGCTGTCAAACACTTGCATCACACAGAATGTCTGTGGACGAAGAGCGTATGCGTACTGACATTACGTTGGCCATTAAAGACCTGTGAAATGTGTAAACACAGAAGAATAAAAAACAAAACGATATATTTCACGAAAAAAACTAAACCCCGTAAACTGCGCCTAGCACCGTTGTGCAAAATACCACCCAGTACCATCACATACAACCTCGAAACCATTGGTATCCAACGAAAAGATTCTTTGTAAAACGAGTTTGCTGCAAGCCCTGTTTTTTCCCTTTCTTCTTGGTTCCCATACCATTGATTCGACCGTTCGTAGTAAGCAAAGAGTTTGGAGCATGAAACAAAAAGGAAGTAAATGATAAAAATGAACAACAAATACAAAAGAACCACCAAATCATCGTCTATATTGATCCTGGCGTCGATCATACTCTTGAGGTCGCAAGCCTCTAGACATCATCTCCCGCGGATCTCTTGTATCCCGCAACTCCGGCGGCGGATAGCCTCCGGGGCCAGGCGGAGGAGGATGCTGCTGCTGCGGCGGCGGTCCTCTGGCGTCATAGCTAACTGGTGTATAGCTTCGGCCCGGCTGCATCTCTCTCGGATCACGAGGCACCGGCGTCGACGAGTAGCGGTTGTAGGATGCCTGGGGCGGCGGCGGACCTGGGTCGGGTCCCCGTGTTGTTGCTGGCGGCGGTGCGTAGCGACTTTGCATCGGCTGCGTTCCGTACACTCGCTCGTCCCTAACGGCGTGAGGGTGAGGCGGCGGTTGCGACTGCTGTGGTGCAGGGGACCATGACTGCGGTGGCGGCGGCCCCTGTGACGCCTTAGGTCCGGGGGCCTGCTGCCATCCGTTACCTGGAGGCTGCTGCTGGTGTGTTGGCCAGCCCGAGTCTCGCACATTCTGCGGTGGTGGAGGGCCATGATCTCTCCCTCTAGGAGGGCCATGGCCTGAATACTGAGGAGGAGGTGATGCTGCATGCGGAGGTGGCGCGGAGCCGTACTGGGCCGGGTAGCCGGGCTGGGGCTGATATGTCTGCGACGGCGGAGGAGCATACCGATGAGGCGCAGTCGGCGGCGAGTTTGTCGCTGTATTCTGCGGCACGGAAGGGTAACCGTGAGGCCTATAATAATCACGCTCAGGTTGAGCATCCATTGTCATCCGCGATCCTGGCATTGGCGGAGGCTGCGAGGGCTTGAGCGAAGGCATGCCTGTAGGAGCAGCTGCAGGAGGAGGGTTTCGGCCGTAAGAATGGTACGCCGGCTCTGGTTCGCGGCGTAAGGGTGCAGCAGGCTGCTGTGCGGGGGGCGGACGCGACATGGGCTGTGGCGGCGGCGTCGCGACAGCCCTAGCCGAAACTTCGTTGACACGCTTTGGCGCTGGTGGAGGGTCGTCATTCAGCAGAGACATGATGTTAGACGTCTTACGGGGTTCAGAGGGCTTCGCTAGGCCGCCGGCGGGAACGGGAGTACGCGATTGCGGAGGAGGATGGGGAGGGTAAAGCTCGCCAGATGGTGGCCGTGATCCCATGGTCGACATCGGCCTTGACATCGGGGGTGAGTGGCCTGGGCCAGGATCGCCAAGGAGCCCTCGCCCAGGCTGTGGTCCCTGTCCATAATTGCGCGGCGGTTCTGTCGTTGCAGGTCTTCCGAGCGACAACGGATCGCCTCTGACTTGCCCAAGGCTCGGTTGTTGGCGATGGCCAAAGGGCTCGTAGACGCTATGTTGGGGCGGCATCTCTTCCTGCTTCACGTGCATCGGCTGACGACCAAGATCCCGGTCTCGGTCTCGGTCTCGCATGTGACTATCGCGCAGCGCCATGTCGGCTTTCTGGCGCTCGTGCAAAACTCGCTGATCTCGGATGTCCGGACTGCCAGAAACAGGTGCTTTCGGCGCCAAGGACCCGCGAACATCTCGCTCACGATCAGGGAAACCAAAGGCAGGCGGGGGTCCACGTCCAGTGCGGGAGGGAGAAAGCGGCGGGCCGACTGGCGGTGGCGCCGCTTGGGCGCCGACGGGCTGCCCTGCAGGCGGCCCAAGACCCTGTGCGGGCGCCTTTGCAATCGGCACCCCGTAGGTGGGATATCCCGGCGCACGGCCTGGCTGCCCAACATCCTGTTTGACGGGCGCCGGCGCCGGCGGCTCATTGTGCATTTCAATTCCCTGTGGCACTCCAAAGGGCCCGGGACGTCCAGGGGCAGGTGGCAGTACATCGTATCGTCTTCCACGGCCACCTGTGGTGGGCATTGGTGGCTCGGGTCGTTTCTCGCCTCGCAATCGCTTCGCATCTGCGTCATTCACAATAGCTTCCAGTTCGGGCTTGATCTGGTCCTTCTGGCGAACGAAATAATTTTTTACCTGCACCACAGTGTTAGCTATTTGAATTCTTCACCCATCACCATTCGTTTTCATATCGTAGTGTTAGCTTACCATGACGGCGGTCTTGGATCCCATGTGGTTCGCAATGCCGTTCCAGTCAGATCCAAATGCAGCGAGCAGTAGGGGAAAGTCATTTGATTCGGATACACTCCAGTAACTGGATGCTTGCGTAGCCGCCTTACGATCCTGGCTGGACTGCGACAGATTGAACGTTGCCATGGCTGGCTGCGGCGGCGGTGGCGGCGGCTCTGGTCGAAGAGATGGCGCGGATAACACCTCCGCCATGGGAGGGGGTGCCACCGGCGTCTGCTGTCTATCGATGGGGGTCATTGGTTGCGAGTGAACAGAAAATGGCGGCTGAATGCCAGATGGAATAGCCTGCTCGAAATTCGGTATCGCGGGATGAATTTCGTTGGGTGCCTGTGCGGGACCGTCGGGCATACGTGAAGACGATCGTGGCCGTCCCTTGCTGGGCCCAGGAGTTGATGCGGCAGACAACGACTGATTTGCCTTCTTCTCTTTCGCTTCCTTCTCCTTCTCTCTTTCCTTCGCAGACTTTCTGCCTCGCCTCCTGCCGTCAGCCTTCTCCCCGTCGCCTCGGCCACGGCGCCCCGGAGTTGAGGCAGGAGTAGAATTGTCAGGATCGATGGGCGGTTGCTCAAAGCCCCAGGTCGGGGCAGCAGCGCGCCTTGGACGACGTCTCTCACCATTCTCGCCGCTTTCCTGATTGTCTTCTGTCTCAGGATCGGCATTGCCAAGCTCAGACACCAGGGCACTGGATCGCTGCTTGCCTCGGCCCTTCTTGCGTCTTTTGGGCTGCTTCTTCAGCTTCTCCTTAAGATTGAGGTCCTTCTTCATGAGATAGTAATACTGGATGCAGGTACCAAAGTCGCGATTGGGGATAACTTCCGCAATCTTGCCCCATTGCTTAGGGTGTTCCAGGTATCGCTTCTCGAAAAGCTCTGCTTCTTCGGGAGTAAAGTTGTTCGCCGGCGCAAGAACCTGCCAAGCAGACACTAGCCTGTCTTGGGGAACATATCCCGAGTGGTCCCAGAACTGCACCGTTTGGCGTTCTTCTGCGTTCCAGTACATGCTAGGAATATCGGCCTCTTTCTCGCTGCGGTACTTCTCTTTTTGTATTCGTAGTTCTCGCTCCTTTCGCTCCTCGTCTTCACGCATCGAGGCCTGGAGAACTCGCTCAAGATCTCGCTCAGATGCGAAGCGGCGCCCCGAGGTACGACCCTCTGGCCTAGGTTCAGGCGTCGCAGCGGTTGCAGGTTCCGGGATGGGCATCGTAACGGAAAACTTGTCTCGGCTCTTGACTGCAACCGGATCGCTGGAGGTGGTGAATTCGAGGTAGTGCATATAGTTGTCAGCGTACACATGGCGCTGCTCGTTTTCCTCCTGGTCTGTATCCAGATGCACTTTACTCATGTGCTGTGCTACATAGCTGTCGGTCTCAGGGTCAGTGTTAAGCTTTGCCAAAAACTCGGTGTCTTTATCCCAGGGCTTTGTCGAAAAATTCGGCAAGCTGTCGGGCGGAGGAGTGGCCATGTATTGACGGATTGCATTGACATCCAGTAATACGTCGTCCTCGGATTCGGTCTCATCATCCGCAACCTGAGATGGTGTGCTGGGGACCTTTGAACTCGTCTCGGTTGTTTCCATGGGCACTGGAGGTTCGATAGTCTCAGACTCTTCGGGATTCAGGTTTATAGCTTGAACGCTTCCGTTGACTTCAGGTTCGGGTTCGAGCTCAGGTTCCTTTGTAGGTTTGTCGGTCTCAGAAGCCGGCGGCGGGACGATAGCTGGCTGCTCAAGCCTCGGCTGGGACTTTGGTTCCCACTTCGGTTCCGTCTCCGGCTCCGTTTCCACTTCTGGCTCCGGCGCTGGCTCCGGCTCCGGCCCCGGCTCTGGCTCTGGCTCTGGCTCTGGCTTTGGCACCGACTCCGGCTCTGCTTTCGGCTCCGGCTCCGGCTTCGGCTCTGGCTCTGGCTCCCTCGTTTTGACCGCAGTCTCTAGAGTTTCAGTCACGGGCAGGACAGGTGGCTCATGCGTCTCTGACGCGACCAGAACGTCGCCAACGATGTGAATGTCCTCTTCTGGCTTCGATTGTGGTTCTGTTACACCGGGATCCTCCTGAATGGGCCCAGCCGCCTGCTTCTCTTCGCTTGTAGAGGCGGTTGAGACATCTTCCGGCGATTTGCCAACCATCTTGCTTAGTTCTTCACCGTCATTCAGTATCTTGACCATAGAGCCATGGGAAAGAGAAGCATAGCGCGCAAGGACTTGAAGTGGCAAGCCTGGCCTCTGGAGTTTGCTCAATTCGGATTCAGTTTTGCTGATCTCCATGTCAAAGTAGTCGGCCATGTCCTCATCGTCGTCGGATTCGGAGTCGTCGTCTTTTGAAGCTTTCGGTGGGAGACCAAATCGAACAACACCTACGACGGGTCGCTTGCGCTTCCGCATATTGCGTGGTGGCACTGGCTTAGTGTCAAGCTTCTGAGCGGCTGGTGTTTCGTCCTGCGGAAGCTCGCCTTCATCCAGATCGGCTGCTGGCGGTTTGGCATCATGCATCTCATTTTCGCTCTTAACAATCTCGCCTGGTTCGGCGCTATAATTGGACCGCGATCGGTTGTCCGTGCCAGTGACAGATTCAGAGTTTGCCCCGCTGCTACGGGGGCGTCGTTGCTCAGAATAGTCTCCTCCATACGCAAACGTTTGCGATCGCATAGCCTTCGGTGATTCGGGTATTCTTCTACCGAAATGTCGACCGGGACCTGGGGGAGGGCCGCGCAAGCTCAAGGAAGGACTCTCGGGCCCCAAGTGGCCGGAGGAAGGTGGGCGATCGCTGTGTGCACGAGGCATAGAAGGCGGTTTGCCGGAGCTGTCCACAGACATTGATCCTCTGTTTGGAACGGAGCCAAATGCTGGGGCAGAGGGCGCGACGGGTGGGGGAGAAACGTCGCGGGATTGTGGTGTCGACTCTGCAGGGTTAGGCGTACGGGTATCGGGTTTGCCGCGAAGGTGTTCTCTATCAAGCCGGTCACGGTCATCACGAATATCTCGGCGGCTATCTTCGGGATAGCGGTCTCCTCTGTCTCGATCATCGCGATCCCTACCCCAGCGGCCCTCCTGAGACCGGCTTCGGGGATAACGATCATTGCGGTCATCGTAAGGAGTGCGGCCTCTGCCTCGGTCAGGGCCCCAATCGCCCCTGGCCCCTCTGCCGCGACCTCTCATAAAGCCGCCTCCACGAGCGAAAGGAGGGCCACCAAAGGGCGGGTCGGAGGCAGCAGATCCAGCCGATGGGGGGCCAGCGTCGCGAGATCCCCGACGAGGTCGTTCAACATCTACAGGGGGTGGTGCATCGCGGTCACGATCTCGAAAGTCTCGGTTGGGTGATCTGGGTCGTCCGATAGGGGAGCGTCTGCGGGCAAAATCTCGGTCGCGCCAGTCTCTATCCCTGTCGCGGTCGCGGTCTCTGTCGCGGTCGCGGCTTCGATCGTCGCGATAACGTTCGCGAAAATCGATATCCCTCTCCCTGCCCCGCTCTCTGCTGTCATCGCGAGCCGGCCAGGGGCGGCCCCTGCCGCGACCGCGACCGCCACGGAAGTCTCCTCCAAAGCCACCACGGGGACCGCTTGGCCCGTCGATGAGAGCCTTGGGCCCCCGCGGGGGGTCACGACGCATGGAGTCGCCAAATCCGTCACGATTCGGTGGGAAGCCACCAGGATTCCCTCTAGATTCGGCAGATGAGCGGCGTCTGTCCTGGTCATATGGCGGCCCACGGTCGAAGCGATCTGGAGAGCGGTCTCTTGGAGAGCGCGACCGCCTGTCCGGTTCATATCTTGAATATCTAGAAGCCCTGCAGTGGAAAGTCAGCCAAATATGGACAGTTTTTCAGAGTTTAGGCTCGGTCATCGATGGCAGGTGCCGCATCGCAGACGAGCGAGCGATGGCCTGACAGTCGCCCGCTGGAGGTGGTAGGAGTGATGGAGGCGTACATGCTCGAGAGCAGGCCACTGCGTCGCTGCTTGGCGCGAGAAAATTATAGTTCCATTCATACGAAGCGCGAAGAGTTGGATAGGAGACGCGTATATGACGTTGGCAGGCGATGCGGTGGTGCGAGCTGGATACGTTCGTTGGTGGTCTCCTAGTGATGGGATCGCACAGATTTGGCTCGATGCGCACAAGGACGAGTCAGGAAGGTGACGACGGGTGGCAGCGCGTAATGCGGAGTGCTCAAGACCAAAAAATAGAATAGAATCTTGGATAAAGAGGCGGTCGTACCGCGACAGCGGCGCGCAGCTACAGCAAACGGGGGGGGGGGGGTCGAACAGAAAGGATGGGTTGAAGGGATTAGAGGATGCACGGAGGTTCCACCCCCGGGGGGCAGGCACTTGAAAATGATGGTGCGCCACACCAGCCAAGTCGCGCCGTTCTAAGAAAGTGTACCTATCTAGTCACTTTTGCCTCTTCAGCCTCAGACAGAGACGATACACCTGATGGCTGTCTGCCGCATTTCTATCCCACCTAATTATTAATAACAGGATTCTACGGCAGATAATCAAGACCTGCAGCTCGGTAAAATGCACAATTGCAGAGTTCTGTCGGCATCGATGATCTTCATAGGTATCTCAGGTAGCTCGGCACTCCAGGCAACGATTAGTACCTTGTACATGCCAGTACCTAAATAACTTTTCGTGATCCAACCGCGCTAGTCCCAACCTGGTCCCCGTCGTTTTTAAGCCACGACCCGACCCTATTTTCGCCTGCATTTCGAGAGCAAGTGGCAGCGGTTTGGCAGGTGGCACAATGAGGCGCCCCTTGCGCGAGGCTACCACTGGGGGACAGTGGCGGTACACTTACAGTGGGGTTCAACCAGAAAATTATATCTCCAATATCGAACGAGATGCAGCAGATTGTACGCAAACTAGTAACCAGAACAACTGACAACACTGCGCACACGGCACCATCCCATCATCATGGCTGACCAGTCGGCTCCCTCTAGCGCCAAGGATGCTGTCCTGGTCAAGTCCCAGGACATGCCCGCCGACGCGCAAAAGGTCGAGGAGCTCGACTTCAACAAGCTCAAGGGCCCTGTCACTGCACACGATCTCTTCATGGGCATGCGATACATGGGCTTTCAGGCGTCCGCCATGAGCGAGGCCATTCGAATCATAAATGAAATGGTAGCCCCTCACCACACCCCATATCAAAATTGCCCCCTCATATCTCCTTCTAACATTTCTCTCCGCTCTCAAGCAAGCCTGGAAAGACCCAGACACTGGCGACAAGACCACCATCTTTCTCGGCTACACATCCAACCTCATATCATCTGGTCTCCGCGGTGTGCTTCGCTGGCTCGTTGAGCATAAGCATGTCTCCGCCATCGTCACCACAGCTGGCGGCATTGAGGAAGACTTCATCAAGTGCCTCGGCGAGACCTACATGGGGTCCTTTAGCGCCGTCGGGGCCGATTTGCGCAAAAAGGGCCTCAACCGCATCGGAAACCTGGTCGTGCCTAATGCAAACTACTGTGCCTTTGAAGACTGGGTTGTACCAATTCTCGACAAGATGCTCGCGGAGCAAGAGGCCAGCAAGGGTACCGACGACGAAGTCAATTGGACGCCCTCCAAAATCATCCATCGCCTCGGCAAAGAGATCAACGACGAACGCTCCGTCTACTACTGGGCCTACAAGAACGATATCCCCGTCTTCTGCCCCGCCCTGACAGATGGCAGCCTCGGTGACATGCTCTACTTTCACACGTTCAAGTCCTCGCCGCTGCAGCTCAAAGTCGACATCGTCGAGGACATTCGCAAAATCAACACCATTTCCGTACGCGCCAAGAGGGCAGGCATGATTATTCTCGGTGGTGGCATTGTTAAGCACCACATTGCTAACGCCTGCCTCATGCGCAACGGCGCCGAATCCGCAGTGTACATCAACACGGGGCAGGAGTTTGACGGCAGTGATGCTGGTGCCAGGCCAGATGAGGCTGTATCATGGGGCAAAATAAAAATTGGTGCAGACAGTGTCAAAGTAAGTCATAGAAAACCAACCCCCTGCAGCAAATTTATCGGTTCTACAAGATTGCATCATTGACACCCCCGAACAGGTGTACCTGGAGGCGACCGCTTGCTTCCCATTCATCGTAGCCAACACCTTCGCCAAGGACATTTAAACGGAAATATACGCAATTAGCCTTCAAGCCATCGAGAGACATTCCAAATCAACAACTGAACCGGCCTCTGGGGGCGCAAGCCTCCCTGGCCACTATCATGACTATCAGGGCTCCTCGATAAGCTCTTTGAAATCGCCCAAAGCCTTCTCCCACGTCGCCGCACCGTCTCCGTCGGCCCATGTGCCGACGCGCTCAAGACCCTCTAGGTCTTCCTTCATATGAACCTCTTTTGTGGTTCCGTCTAAGATTGTGACTCCTTCCAAGCCCATGACCAGGGCGTAGTACGCAGACACAGGACCAACACCGGCCCCATCCACAACATCGATGACCGGCTGACTCTTGACCAAGTGCGGGTTCGCACCAATGGTCCAGAAGGATTGGAATTTGATATCGTGCTCCTTACAGAAGGCGCGTAGCCCAACCTCGTAGTTGGTGTCGGGATAGAAACGGTTTTGCACGACGGCGGGCTTGACGGTGACACGGCTATGCAATGCCTCGACGATTCCGAGCGTAGCATTTGAGATGCCCAGGTTTCGTATTTTATGCGGGTGGTATCCTTCGAGGGTCTTCCACGCCGCGATGGTGTCGTTGAGGGTGTCCAGCGGCGAGTGTAGAACAACACTGTCAAGATATACCTCCTCGCCCTCTATAGTGAAGTTCAGGAGCGATGACTGTACAGATTGATGGACCTTGTCTTCAATAGATGCGTCAAAATCATACGGCGCGTTATCATTTTGACCCCCTGGCGGCGTAAACTTTGTTTGAATCTAGAAATACGGACGTTAGGCTGGGAATCCAGAATAACAACAACAATATGTGACTCACAAAAACATCCCCGCGCTTCACAATGCCTTCTGAGACGGCCTTCCTAAAGCCAGCCGCAACTCCCGGCTCGTCGTAGTGCTTTGGCTGAGCTGCCGTGTCGATGCCGCGAAAGCCAGCCTTGAGAGCCGTATACACCAAGTTGGCCGTCTTGTCCTTTTTCCAAGCCGTGCCGTAGACGAGCTTGGGCATGCGCGTCCGGGACACGCCATTTAGTGTAAAGTCTCGCGCGAAGCGAGACGCCTGGGCGCCAATAGATGGCTGCGTCATTGTGTTTGATGGGCTTGAAGTATTTTGAGTTGTCGAATTGAAAGGTTCAAATTGGTAGCTCTATAGGTAGGTTATCGCCACAGATGAGGTAGTAAATACTTAGATAAGCGGGGTACATTTGCGTGAGCAAGAACGAAGAAACAATAGAGGAATAGCTCATAGTAACAATAGAAACTAGGTAATAGAATTTATGTTTCGAGTCGGACGAAACTTAAAATATCTTGCAAGCCATAATATCAACGCCATGTCATGTCTTGATGTAAACCATGTAAGACCAATCAACGTATAATACATGTGTTGTCTTCCTAACTACCACCCGTTGGGAAACCACTCTTAGGGTTCCTCCAAAAGCATACACTAGAGAATCCTAATTTTCAGTACTCAACGCGGTCCAAATTAATAGAATGAAGCGAGTAGCCGCTGCGCATGATGACTTTATTAACTTGGTTCGAAGTTCATCTTTGGCAAGGGCTTTATGATATGTAATTAGGCTAAACTTTTATGGAACCGGATTTTCCCGGAAAGGCGATATGGCCGAGTGGTTAAGGCGGTCGACTCAAGGCTAGGCCTTATCACCTTCAAGGTGGTTTCGACTGACGCAAGTCGCTTGGGTTCGAATCCCAATGTCGTCACTTACTTTTTGCTCCGTTTACCAACAATCCACAAACAAGCTCTCTTTTTTCTTGTCCTTTTTGTCCGTTTTCCGTCCCAAACCTGGTGATGCCTGAGGTACTCAAGGGAAACCTGTCGAATCAACAACTCCTCCAATGCCCCTGGTATTCCGCATCGCACCCAACGTTGTAGGATGCGGCGCTGCAGGCCGGATCGACCCGATCTTGTGGCGCCGTCAAATGGTCTTCTGCAACGCCCAATCCGCCTTTCAAGCCATGAACACCTCGAGAAACGAGATTCATCACACCCCCAGCCTTATTGTTGCACGTCGCACAGCATACCTGATTTCTACCGTCCTCTTCGAATCAGCTGGTTAGCGCGACAGGGCTGAAGTCTTAGTTGGCGCTCAGGCGATCGACGTGTGGAAGGAGAGCAAGCTGAGTATTGATGTGAAGCTTTCTGGCCACTTTTTTCTTGTTCCTACCGGTACAAGATTAAGTGGCCATGTTTCCTATTTGCTTTTCTCCTTGACACTCTCCTATGCTAATCAGTACGGTTTCCATAAAGGCTCCATCTTTACCTGCCAACACCTTTCGACAGACGGCTACCACATTGATAGGAATCCCGCCGATTGAGATGGGAATTTACTATTCGTACTGAGTTTTTGGCGTTTGGATTTGGCGACGAGCATCAGGACTAAAGCAACAGACTCGAAAAGAAATGGGCAATGTCGGTGCCAACTAAACACCTAGGTCCTTTGACAACGACCTTCTCTGCACCTTCAAGTTGCAGTCTCTTGGACGGGTCCTTCACAAAAAACGGGGGGTGGGCTGAACGGCGTGGTAGGCTATGCGTGTCGAGCTGCCTCGGGCAATGGTCAGATCTTTGGCGCAGATTCCGCCTGCTTCCCCAGTTCGCTGGCATCGTACATCAACACCGGTGACAAGTGGCTAACCTCCATCGCCGTGTACTCACCGGGTAGTGTGTGTCCCAATGGGTTCTCGTCGGCCTATGTCATGACACGTTCGGCTAATGACGAGCCACCGACGACGGGTTGGTTATTTCGGACCGCGAGCCGCGCCATGTTCAACATTCTGGAGACTGGTGAGACGGTTGTCGGGTGCTGCGCAGTAGGTTTGACAATGTGAAAGAGTTGCGAGGTCAGGCCCGTCGCTAATTGAGATTTCGCGTGCATAGTGGCTATAAATGCGCCGATGATGACATTTACAAATGCTACACGCCTGGCACCGTCGGCCAAGTCCTCACAGGCATCGTTCGAGAAACTTCTTGCACCCCCGAGACGACGATATTCACCGCACAGTCACTCTCGACCACGACCTCCATAGCGTACGGTCGACGGCTGATCATGATCCAAGGGAGCCCCAATGGAGAGACTGACAATATGGGATCGACTCCGGGAGGCACATCGCCAGCCAACCCACACCTAACACATCGAGCCGCGGCGACGGGTCAGGCGGCTCCAGTCCCGAGAATACGTCAGGCTCGTCCACATACCCTGAAAATACTCGGGGTAGCGGGGGCGGGCTGACGGAAGGTATCAAGATTGCAATTGGCATGACGATACCATTTTTTGCGTTGCTTGTCGGTCTTGTCATATACCTGCTCCTCTTTATCCGCAGAAAATGGCGTGCAAAGGCAGAGCGCGAGAAGTTGGCGAAGATGGCGAACGCAGTGTTGGGGCCATTACCACCGGCTCTTGGTGCCCAGGAGCTGGCACCGCCGGATATGCGTACCAACAGCCTGGTCAAGAAGCGTATTACAGATCCGAGCTTCTGGGTCAGCCTTTATCGGAGGCGCCCGGATACACGGTATATGACAAGGCTAGTGAGCTACAAGGTAATAACCAACAGCTAAGTAGGAGCCAAGAGACTCGTCATCAAAATGCGCCGGCGCCGGCTTACATGGCGTTGGCGGAAAATCGGCATCAAATCACAGATAACGATAATTCGGCGACATCTGCAATCCCCACTCAACAGACAAACTCTCAAACCACTGGACAGGCCAGCAATGAGCCGTGGAGATGGAACCAGCCGCTGTACCCGGACTCACAATAGTATCCGAAATTTTCATACCAGCTTGGAGTCTGTGCATGTTTTCGATTAGCAATAGTTTCCTCCAAGCGCGTATTTAGTATCGTTACATCTCGCTCGCGGGCCCAAGACGAAATTTCAAGTCCTAGCAGAAGATAGGGAACTGCCTCACGCCCTCTCGCTCATTACGAGCTTTTCTCAATGTAAAACGAATTGCGTCCAGCTACTAACTACATTGTAGCTCTTAAACTGGACCCCAAGCAAGGTAACGTTGAATCGTGGCGCGCCGGCTTCAGGACACTTTTGCCAACGGGTCCAGTCAACGTCATTCACAAAACCCCACCATCCATCCCATCCCACCTTCGGATCCCGCTTCAGCGGACGAACAACGCGGGGAAGCTACACAGAGCTTTGCATAAGTTCCCCTCATCATTCACGATATCCGCAGTATTGAATTGGTAACTCAATTCAAACCCCAGATAGCAAAAAGGCCGATTTGGCGAACTCAACGGTTGGTTTGTGCCTCATGTCCCTGCTTTCCTTGGCGATGGCGGGGTAGCTTCGTGGCATGCATAGTAACACAACCACAGCTGCGACAGACATTACTTTGCGAAGCCAATACAGTCACGAAATCGCAATGGCTACCAAAACTCCCTTCACCGTCAAATGGGGTATTCTAGCCACCGGTGGAATTGCTGAGAGTGAGTCAATCGTCACCCACCCACCACCACCGAACTTGGTTTGGCCACTCAGCTGACACCGAACGAACAAACAGCCTTTTGCAGAGACTTGCTCTGCGACCCGGCCGTCCGCGAGGTCTACGATGTCCGCCACGAGATTTCCGCCGTGGCTTCGTCGAGCTCCGCCGACCGCGCGGCCAGCTTTGTCCAGAAGATCAACGGCCCCTCCAGCACCAAGACGTACGGCTCCTACGCCGAGCTCGTCGCGGACCCGAACGTCGACATCATCTACGTCGCCACCCCGCACAGCCACCACTTCCAAAATGCCATGCTCGCCCTCGAAGCCGGCAAAAACGTCCTCTGCGAGAAGGCGCTCACCGTCACCGCGGCTCAGACCAAGAAGCTCGTCGCCAAGGCCCGGGAGAAGAACCTGTTCCTGATGGAGGCCGTCTGGACGCGCTACTTTCCGCTGAGCGTCAAGATCCGCGAGCTGATTGCCTCTGGTACCATTGGCAGAGTTCACCGTACCGTCGGTATGCTAAATTCCCCATCCTCTTTCCCGGCCATGACAAAACGTACCCAGCTAAACCGGCGTCTTACCAGCTGATTTGGCCTTTGCGGACGGCAAGGATGACGGTTCCGTCACGTACCCTGACACCAACCGCATGGTCAACTTGGATCTCGCGGGTGGTGCCCTCCTCGACCTCGGCATTTACGCTCTCACCTGGGTCTTCCAAACTCTGTACCACCTCCAGCAGGACAAGGAGTCGCCAAACGTCCTCGCCGCCATCGACCAGTACCGCACCGGTGCCGACGAGACGACCAGCATCATCTGCCACTTTCCCCGGAACAAGATGACCGGCATCGCCACGACGTCGATCAAGGTGGCCACCGACCCCGACAACCTCAACTCAGCCGGCCCCGCGATCCGCATCCAGGGCACCAAGGGTGAGATCCAGGTCTTCGGTCCCGCTTTCCGTCCCACGCGGTACAAGGTCATCCGCCAGGGCAGCGATGGCAATGTCGAGGTCGTCGACTGCCCCATCCCCAAGGACCCCAAGGTCGACTACGGCCACGGCATGTTCTGGGAGGCGGACGAGTGCGCCCGCTGTCTGCGCGACGGCCGCAAGGAGAGCGAGACCCTTCCTCTAAGCGAGAGCATTGTCATAATGGAGACCATGGACTCCGCCCTCCAGCAAGGAGGTGTCAAGTACCCAGAGCTCATTGCTACTGACGTCTTTGATCCCAAGAGCCCACTGAATGCCGGTAACCGATAAAACGGATCAAACTTTCAAACTTTGAATGTAATATCAGGCAGACATCAAGGTAACCGGGAAAAACCAATTAATGCGATGCGGTCAGGCTATAGACATGGAGATGTTGTTTCATAGTTGGTCTACACAACACACCGGAGGTCCAATGGGTTAAAACACGGCTCTAGAGTTTATATCGAAGCGATCCCGTCGTATTCATCGTTACGCCAAGGATCTTCTCTCCAGCATCTTCTGTCAAATTTTGATTTCTCATGCATGATTCAATAAGTTTATGCCGGTATTACCGTTCGCTAGCGGCTGTTATAGCATCCATAATCCGCTTTTCATATAGCAGCAAAAATGCCAACTAGGATGGATCTATGGCCATGAATCAATGTATAGATCGATGGTAACATCAGTGCGAAATGACTCAGAGGTAGATGAAGTGTCACATGGTATTCACACACCCATGCTTAGTACTGCTTCTAGTGCCATCGTGTTGTTCCATCTCCTCATGTCACACTGTACTGTACTGGACCACTTAAACCAGCGCATAATTATGCTCGGGGTCGTGTAAAATACTCAATTATCCTGTATTGATTGGATGTTTGGGTCTTGAGTATTTCAGAGTCCGCGTTGCTGCGCGGCATGGAAAGAGCGCATGCCGCAGAGGTCAATCTTGAAAAATCCTAGGTCGGTGTACCGAACCGGCGAAGAACCATCTGATAGTTCATCTGAAGCCACTGCAAGTTGAAACAAAACATATCGATTCGGTCTCAACGTTTCAAAAACCGTCTCGTGTCTGGCTTGACGCATGAATGAGCCCCGACACGCGACAGAGGCGATAAGGTGCGACGCCTTGTGTATGGCGTGCCAGGTGCCAGGTGCCAATGCATGATTGATTCATGCGTGCTAATAAAGTCGAAGCCTGAATTTATGCCCTGATTATCCTCCAGGAAAGAATGTAACAAGACAGCGAGAATCCGATAAAGCACAGGCAGAGGGGAGCTATATCAGGCAGCACCGATTCTATGCTAATTCGGCCCATGAGGTATAAGCAGAGGCAGATTATATTCTATATATTCCAGAAAAAGGCAAAGTATCCGAGAAGAAAATGAATATGGCTTCTAATAGGTTGGCCGACAACTGCCGTTGTCTTTCATTGAGAGGAGGGGGGGGGGGTTGAACCTTTTTTCCCTCTGGCACCACCAACCCAACCAATCGCGATACTGCATCACCAACCAGCCGCGATAGAGGACGAGATAATGGGAGTCGACTAAAAGAAAGGACGGAAAAGCCTTCATCAGCAAAGTCTCAAGTTTCAGCCCCAAGGACGAGAAGCGAGACCAGGCCAGCTCCAACTCCACCAAGACACGTCAACCCATCGTTTGAATCGGCCATCGATGCTATAGACAAGGATTCCAGTTCCTTCTCTTACTACCAATCTTAGTTCATTTCTTCGGTACACGCCCTTCCAAAAGGGATTGCCTCTGCGTGTACGCGGCCCCCTCCGCAACAGTCCCGGTTTCACGACCTGCTTGGCACTGCTATGCTGGCATCGTCTCGGCCATTCATTTGCCTCAAAGCCGTCAGCCCACCCCCAAGGCACGCCCAGTTCGGCGAACCAATCACAGGAACCGTCTTAAGGAACTTTTCAGAGCTTCGCTGAAAAAGTTCCCTGCCCCCATCAGGCGTACATAGTCTCGGTTTGCCATTCATACGGCCGCGCCCCTGGAAGCAGGGGGGGTGTCTCTCGAAGAATAGACAACACAACTCATTGGTGGTGTTTTTGCGAGCACGCGGATTTTTCTATACACTTCTTGGGCTTCTGGAGCGGGAAAGGGGAATAGAGGAGCAGGCACCGCAGAGCATTCGGCAAGTCATCGGCCGACGCCAAAATCTCGCGATTCGGGAGTTGACCGTGTGAGACCTTCGCGTGAAAGAATTCCAGATCCTTTACCCCCACTGGCGGCCGCCTCCGGATTTACTTCAAGGTCCCCCGGTCCCAATGGCAACAACTCGGGAACAGCAGCAGCAGCAGCAGCAGCAGACGATGGACGAGGCAAGATCGCCCGCCGCTACCGCCGACGTAGCAGAGGCCTATGAGTCTACTCACGTGCACGCTGTGTACGAGGCCATCGCACCGCACTTTTCATCAACGAGACACTCACCATGGCCCCGCGTGGCCGCGTACCTGGAGGCACAACGCCCTGGCGCCGTTGGGCTCGATGTAGGCTGCGGTAACGGCAAGTATCTCGACGTCAATCCCTCGCTGCATATGCTGGGGTCTGACCGCAGCGGCGAGCTCGTCCGACTCGCGCGCAGTCGGGGTAGCGGCAACAACAACTCAGCGGCCGCATCTATTACTCGTCTCAAACCCACCTCATCTCGTACAGAGCAAAGGGACAATGCCTCCGAGGACAACGCAAAGGGAAGTGATCTCGGTTGCATTTCTGGGGGTACCGAAGTGGCCGTCGCCGACGGCCTCGCTTTGCCCTACCGGCTTGGCGCCTTTGACTTTGTCATTTGCATTGCCGTGGTGCACCACCTATCTACCAGGGCGCGGCGCGTAGAAGCCATCGGCGAGCTTCTATCCAGGCTTCGGCCGTCGTCATCGTCGCCCCCCGCAACTGCTTCAGCTTCTGTGCCACCAACACCCACACCAGGTAGTGGTGACGACGACAAGGACCCTGCCGCCGCCACCACCACCACCACAGACATGGCCACCACCAGGGCCACCTGTTTGGTGTTCGTATGGGCTCTCGAGCAGGCGAGCAGCCGTCGGGGCTGGAACGAGAGCAGCGAGCAGGACACCCTAGTCCCATGGGTTATGCGGGCCAAGGGCCGGCCTAACGAGACGTTTCAACGGTACTATCACCTATACAAGAAGGGCGAGCTCGAGGAGGACATTGTCGCCGCAGGCGGTGTGGTCGAGGAGAGTGGCTACGAGCGCGATAACTGGTGGGCAGTCTTTAGCCGGCCCCAGTCGTAGAAGGCCAACGAGATGGATGGAAGGCACACACACACAGTCACACTCAGACCGCTCCCCCCCCCTCCGAAAATCATGCACGCTCCTTGACAATGTGCCTTCTTCTTCTCCTTCCCCGCGCACACCCCATTGGAAGCAGGTGCCTGCCCGGAGCCAAGGCCCAAAAAAAGAAAAGCGGCAGACGAGTCAACGCAAGAGGATAGGGGCGCAAAATTACGCGAGGAAGACCAGGGGAAATCGTCAGGAAACGTACATCAAAATAGCTGCTGCTTCAATGCGTCACGAGTCAAAAGCGAAAAGGGCCGGATTTAGGAGTTGTTGGAAAGGAAGAAAGACTTAAAAATAACAGTAAAATGCTTTTGAATCACAAAGAGATCTGCTGCTTCAAGCCGCAGCATGATTTCGTCAACTAAAGCCCCAACGTATCTCTTCCACATTGACTTGACGTATGCATGTCATAATGAATTCGTATTATAATTGGTAAAAATGACGTTTCCGAAAACTCAATCGGACAAAGAGAGACAAGGGTCAACAGAAAGCAGCGAGCCAACGAGAAGACGGATATATCAAAAAGTGGTATTCATTCCTTTGCCGTTGATATTAGCAACAATATAGCCCCAATATAGAATCCCTATGACCCAAGTCCCCTTTCCCAATCCACGCCGCATGGTGACTAGGCTGTTTCGGAGTAAAGAGAAATCCAAGCGCTTGCTATTACCAGATCCAGTGCCCTATAACCCAATAACAAAGAATCAAGACAGGATGAAGAGAATCCCAAAAAAATAGAAAAAAAAAAGGACAAACAAGGGTGGAGGGAAAAAAAGGGCCACCAGAGAACGGAGCAAAGAAGTGTATCTCAAAATGCAATATCCTCGCCAAGAAACAATGAATCTAACGCTTATTTATCAAATGTAGCAAAAAAAAACACAACTTTTGTCTTTCTCGCCGGCTGTTCCCTCCAATTATTTTGGAGGTTCGCGCTGTGCTGCCTGTTTCGAGCCACTGTTCTGCTGTGGCCGTGTTTTGCCTGGATGCTCTGGGGGGTTGTCATTAAAAACGTTCCGCTGTTGCGTGCCAGCCGTCTTTTCGGAAACCAGTTGTTGTAGTAGTCTTGGTCGTTGTGTCTCTCTTTGATTTTATACTTTCCAAAAAAAAAATCTCAAATCCGCGCTGCAAAATGCTCGACTCTGTATCCCGCCGTGTAAAATCCTTTATATCCGTCACCGCTCCCATGCGTGTGTCCTGTCATATCATGCGATCTAGTCAAAATTAGAAAATCGAGAAAAAAAATCGAAAAAGAAAAAACGAAATCATGGCGAGGCGTAATTCGAAATTTGGAATCATTGCATCCGTCTTCGGTAGTTGCTCTCTCGCAGTCGGCCGTCGGGGCTGCCAGGTCGCTTCATCCGGCCGTGGTCCGGATCTGCATAGATAGATTGCCCGGGCTGTTGATGGGCATGCTGCGGTGGAATTCCGTGATGCATGCCTTGCTGCGACGGCGGTGGCGGCGGCGGCGGCGGTCCGGACAAGTGTGCCGAGGGGGGCGTCGAGTACGGCGTGACACCCTCGGTCAATTCGAGGACGCTGGGCAACGCTGCCCGCTGCTGCGGCTGCGGTTGCGGCTGCGGTTGGATGGGCGGCAGGCTGTGACCGAACTTGTAGTTATATTCGGCGGGATGAGACGATGGTGGAGGCGGCTGTTGCTGCTGCTGTATCGGCGCTGAGGTCGGCATCGGATGCGGCGGCGGCGGACCAATCTGCATGGCAGCATCACGACGCGTCAGGACACCGGGTGGCCGGGGACCGCCAATGGCTCCGTACGAAGATTGCGGTGGCGAGCCTCGCATCTCACGTCCCACGCTCTCTTGCGAATGCGTGTGAGCATGCCCTCGGATCTGGGCATTTCGACCGGCTGCCTCGGCGTTGTGAGCAAGCGCAAACGGGGTTTGACCTGCTCTTCGCGCCATGTCCTGTTCTCCGAGCTGCCAATGCATGGCTTCTGCCGCACGCCACGGAACCTGCAGTTCTTCTGCTACTTTGGCCCACATCTCGGCTTTGAATCTATCATCACGTTAGCATCGCATCCATCGTTTGATCCGTACATTGTAGAGAGCGCCAACTGCCAAGCTCGTGGTTGGCTGCAGACGTGGCCGAGATGGACAGCTTCAAGAGTTGATACTAACCTGTCATATAGTCGGGCAAGTTTATTCTTCCGCTCTTCATCCCACTCGCTACGTCGCTCCAAGTAGTTCTGGTAGTGTAAGCGGCAGCTGATGGAGCTTCGACCTGGCAAGTGCTTCGAGACGTCGTCCCACTTCATGCCTTTGCCTCGAAGTTCAATGATGATGACGTCCTCCTCGGCAGACCATTTTGTCTGCTTCTTGACCGGCTGTTGCGGGTGCGGATGCGATTCTATGCCTTGCGGCGGCAAATGGCGTCGATTGGAGGAGCTGCCACCTCTGGGTGGTAGCTGAGGTATATGGTGGTGGGACATCTGGGCAGCCAGAGGAGGTGGTCCATGGGGCATGGGTTGTGCAAGCATTGGGGCAGCCGGTGCGGCGGAAGAGAACGACGGGGGAGGTGCACGATTCGAAGCTGCTGCTGAGGGTTTCGACTCATCTGAGTCTTCTCGTTTGATGAGGGAGGCGATATCCACTGTGATGGTCGGTCGAGAGCCTCGGCGAGAGGTAGGCTTCCTGAGACCACTTCTTGAGACACTGCGCAGGTTGATGGCGGCGCTGGGGACCGTTGACGAATAGGGAACCTCTGCCCGCGAGAGGCAGAGTAGCGACTGCGTCTCGATTTGAGCCACGACTGCGATTATGGCGGTTGCTTGCCTGGTGCGGCGAACAGGCAGGCAACTGGTTTTAATAAGGTGCCTCGGGATGATGCGTGAGAGAGTGAGTGGGAGCGAGGGAGAGAGACGGACGGACGGACGGGTCGCAGATAACAGGGTAAGGCTCTCTATTGTTGGGCTCTAGGCAGCATGTGCGCCCTTGAAGGATCGGAAAGAGAAGATGGCTATGAAAACAGAGTCAATGCCCAACGCAGGCCTCCCACTGTGGAAAGTCGGATATTTAGGTGTTGGGTTGTAAATCAGTGGAGAGGGTAGGCGTGCTGAGCTGAGCGACGAGAGGCGGCGAGGGCGGAACAAGAGGTGAAGAAGTCTAGGACGTTTGAATTTGCACAAGGCGTCGGGTATTGTTAACGGTAGGTAGCGTCAGAAGCAGAGGCAGGTGAAGTAAATGATGCGGTGTGTTGTTCTATCTGGAAGGACGGTGTGTTATGTAGTAATAAGAGGTAGGTAGGTGGTGAGGTGGTGTAGGCTCGGCGTCAAGGAACAGTCAAGTTGAAAAGGTGGTTCTTCTTAGCGAGAGAAGGGCAGTACAGAGGTACTTGTACAAAAGAGTGGAAAGAAGAGATGAGCAGAGGGGAAGAGCAGGCCAGAAATGGTCACAGCAAGCAGTGTTTATGAGGCTAGGCGGAAGCATGATTGGACATGCCGGGGTTTCATCCGACCAATGGGGGTGAGATGAGCACAGCAGATGAGGCAGAGGACTGACTTGACGGCGGCAATGAGCTCAGCACAGTCAGTACGACTGTGAATGAATTCCTTGTACGGGGTTGCTATTGTACACGTCTAAAAACGCCTAGGCCGGGGGCGCCAGGATTTGACAAGGATGTGATTTCTGAAAAAAAAAAAAAAATACTTTGGCGAAATATTAAATGACCCTGTATGTCTTGCCAACAGATCGGGTTGCGAAAAAAAAAAAAAAGAATTGAAAAAAGATTTAACGTAGAGCGGCAGGGGTCCCATCCAAGGCAATGAATGTGCTTCCTTCCTTGACCCGAGTCACAAGCATGCCCAAGTCCACATCAGGCCCATCAACGAGGAAAGTGTCAGACAAGCAAGGCCAAGGTAGAAGGAAAGTACGGATTAAGAAATAGGCAATAAGTGGGAGAGGCAGATGGAAGCCCCAGGACTGGAGGAGGGGGGTGTATGTAAGATATGTAGGTGTTCAGGGGGTGTGAGAGCGTGTGAGTGAGTGAGTGAATGTGTGTGGACAAGGGGGGGTGTTTAGGCAATCCAGGACATGGGTTATTTCTCGGGGCATGTCAGAATATACACCTATAGAAGGCAGCATAGGAAATTTTAGAAAGGAAAAAAAAATTCAGATTCCCAGGCTGATTTGGCATGGCTGCATGTTGCGATGATGGCGTCGTAACTTGAGAAGGTGGCTGGGCAATAGTTAGCGAGGCCAGAGAGCGAAAGGGAGGCAGAGAGAGAGGGCAAGTTGCTTTGTCTGCGGAATAGAATCCGGAGGATGGTCGGTCGCCACCCAGTTCATGCCATGCGGTTGCCAGAGGGAGGGAGGGTATCCAGTCCGGATATGCATCTCTGCTGTGAAATGCGTTGTGGTGCCGCTTTGTGTGAGGTGTGGGCGGTGATGGTCATGTACCAAGGCGTGGATGGGGGTGGGCGTTACTTCTGGCAGACAGAAGAAGCAGAAAAGGTGGAAAGGAAGCGCATCACAAGTTATGTGTTGGGCCGGATGGAGATTTGCCATTCATGCTGCTCGGGGCTCGAATGAAGCTGTCGTACAGATGAATGATTGGCGAAGGAATGATTGGCGAAGGATTTGATTGGGGAGGAGGGTAGATACAGGGCTGTGAGTAAGTAGACGTTGCCAGGCTGTTCAACTAGTCAGTGGTTGTAGAGAAAGAGCAATAAAGCAAAAATATATCAGTAAATGAGTTATAAATTATCAGAGAAGAAAAAACGCTGTGAACAAGCCCTGACTGGGAACAAAGGCGAACCGCCCTCATTCACCAACGTTACGGGGGGGCGTGCGTGAAGGAGCGAGCGAGTGATGTGATGTGACGTGCAGAGCGACCAGCTTTGCCGCTACCTAGGAACCCGTGTTCGCGAACAAGAGGCGCCCGAGTGACTAGGCAATAAGAGGAGGAGACGGCGAGACAAGAAGAAAGACAGGGACGGGTAAGAGCTGAACAGGGCAATTTGTGTTTGTAGGTAGTCAGTCGCTCGCGAACTTGCCCAGAAAGGGGTCGGATTCTCTTGTACTTTTATACTGGGCGAGACAGAGATAAGGCTATATTTTATGCAACGGCCACCTATGTGCCAACAGCATTGGGGGCAACTGAATGATTAACCGCGACGACCAAGAGAAAACGACGGTGAGTTGAAGAGGGGGGGGACGAACTAATAACTAACTACTAACTCGACAGCGAATAAGCTTCGCTGGTTCGGTCCGGGATAGGGCAGAGGGGGGCCAAGACTGGGGGACATCGTTGGGTTGTGACGTTTTGGAACCCATCCATGGCATTTGAATGGAACGACCAGGGGTTCGTCAAAAAGCAAAGCGGTGGAATTTGAGAGACACTCTGTACGGAGAACTGGTAGAACAATGAGCATGTTGCATAACTACCAGTGTCAATACTTGACTACAGATTATTACCACACCCAACTAACTAACTAGCAGCTAGATGTAGACAAATTCGTCCTTCTATCAGGGTTCAGAATTAGTTCCGACAACCATCGCAGAGCATTGTCCTTCCTTGCGTTGCACAACGTGGCGAGCAATAAAAGACGCCTGCCGTACATGATCACTTGACTCTGGCCAGGAGCGGCTCCAGTGTCGGGCGGTTTCCCCCTCTCTCCCCTGGGGACCACCTCTTTTTTTTTTTTTTTTTTTTTTTTTTTCCCTCGGCGACTTGCGTACACAGGCCCATGTCTTTACAACATGTTAGAAAAAAAGGACGTTCCTCTTTTTTTTTTTTTTTTTTTTTTTTTTAACCGTGTGTAAGATTGATTGATTGATTGATCTAGCATACTCCACGCTAATATGTCGTGCCATGCTAATGTCTGTGGGCGAGGAAGCAGTTTGCATGTCCACCGTGAGATGTCTCGTGACGGGACGGGGGGCGGGCGAGGCGTTTGGTCAACCGCTCGTCCCGAGGCAATTTGACTCAGAGAGAGAACAAAAAGGTTTTCATTGGAGCAAATGGAAGACGCTGTGCATCCCCATCATCTGGAGTTGGGCTTGCCTCTCGCCTTGCCTTGCGTCGCCTCGCCTCGCCTCGCGTTGAAGAATATGGAACAGGCCAGCATAAGTTTTGGTCGGCCGCCAAGTGTAGTGTGTGACATGGCCTGATGCATCATGTTAGTGTGCCACTTTATTTGTGCCAGTGTCTTGTGCTCTGATATGCAGCAACGCTGGCGCGCATGTCTGGAACAGCGTAGATGACATGGCTGGTTGTTGACTGAGACAAAGTCCACAAATCTGGGAAGAAAAGAGTTTGGTTCTTATCGTGTCTTTTTTCTTCTGTGGATGGGGGCTCTTTTTTTTTCTGAACAACCCTTTATTGACCTGTCTCTCTGCGGCCTTGATTACGATATCGTCCTTCCTATGAACCCTTGTTGCCCTTGACTGTCTTGTCTTGTCTCGCGCTTGTAAGTGGGTGGACGACAGACGAAGCTCCCCCATGTCTGACAAGGCCGCTCGCTTTTTGGTTACTAGCCGTGGGACGTGGGGGGAAAGGCTGGCGTCTCTTTTGTTTTATTCCTTTTTCTAAGATTTTCTTATTTTTCCTGCTGGATCACCGGCAAGGATTTCTTTTGCAGAGATATTAAGTTCACACCCACTTTTTTCACAATGGTTAACTGGAATTGCACGCATCCGATGGGATAAACGAGTGGACAAGCTCGACGAGATGGTTTGAAAGGTGCAGCCGTCTGAACACTGGACTGGCTTGGCAATTTTATGCAATCCATCAAGTGTTCTGGAGATTGTCGAGGTGCGTGATCCAGCGCTGGGTCTCGGCAAGACACTCAAGCTACTCGGGACCGGGAAGGATCTGGGCTCTGTGGCGCTGAGGAGCACTGGTTGGTAGGATTCAGGAATAAAGTATTGTTGCAGAGGCTTTGTGTAGCAAGTAATTCGTACGGATACAGAATACCTAGATAAACTTGCGCACCAGGCTTAGGCTCTACTAACAACCACCGACGAATGACAAGCACCCTAACGATGCCCCTGTGTTGGGCATGCATAAGTTATTAGCTGATGCTAATATATACGAGGTTCTTATATTTAGCTGGCACGGTTGGAGAGGCGATTCGTTGTTCGCAAGCCCCGTCTCCGCCTAGGCTGAGTCTCGAGTGAAACAAGCTTCCGGAGAATTCTTTTTTTCTCTCGCTCTTGTCAAGTCAATCCCTGGGTAAATATTAGACGCCGTGTACTTTGTACTCCGTGTTGGGCTTGTCGCAATGCAATTACAAAACACGTAGCACGACACGGGACTGTCATACGTGATTGTATGACAGTGATTGTATTACCCCAGACAGATGCAGCGGTAGTTAGTTGGCCAACAAGTACGTCCCGAAATTGAACAAAGCGGAATGGAACGAAAATGGAAGGAAAAAAGCTCTGGTAGAATATAAAAACTAAAAATAAACAAAGTAAAAGGTACAGCCGCGTCATTGGACAACGATGCACGAGTAAGGCATTCATGTCTAGCGGGGAATACTACCTAACGTCGATGCAGACCGCTATAACGATGGGGTTGAGACAGGCAGCAGAGGCTTGCGACGGGCAGCCAAGACCGCTAGATAGACCGCCCAGCGGGCCTGACCACTGACGTTACTGTGACACGGGCTCCGAATCAGGCTGTCTGTACGGATACTGGACTGGACTCAATCTCCCAGGCACTGAGGTCGTGGCCAGGAGCTACCAGGTACATGGATGCCTACCGACCGGTCTAGCCTGGTACCTATCTCACTCAAGGAGCACACGCGGCAAAAAAGGTATCTCCAAAGCTCCCCCGCTAATCCCCACCTCCCGCGCACCTGTCACGCCTGACTGACAGCTGGACCTGCACTTGTCTCTCGGTTGTCTGCCAACCCGCTCCTCAACCTTGCTTGCCTTGCAAACGGACACACCACCACCACATCATCCTCACCATCAACAACGACAGCATCACGCACAACAAAAACTCTCAACACATCAACGCCATCATGCCAAGTTCCATCCCACACCGGTTCTTTACCCCATCATTCTCTTGACCGCCTGCGCCCCCCCCCCCCCCCTCGGTCAAGAAGATGATACCACTCTCCAATGCGACGCTAACTACCCGCCCCTACCGGTAGAGTCCTCATTGTCTACAGTAGAACCTCCCACCGTCTCGTTGGCTGCCGCTACGTGCCTCGCCAACTGCTGGCAGGCATCAAGTTACAGTTTATGAGCCCCCGTCTCGTCGGCCGCCTTCTTTCCAAGGCGAACAACGAATGCCGCAGGCCAAATTTGTCATCCCGGTTCGCCATGGTCCCATATCGCATATCTACGCCAGCCTAACCCTTGTTCCCGCATCGTCCATTGACCATCACGCCTACCTTTTGGGCCTGCCTTCTGCGACATGCTGCAGTGTATTTCGTTCCCACGCCCTCAAGATTGCGCGGTGGCGGATCAGGCGGATC